TAATTTAAAAAAAAGGCATAATTTTTATATTTTAAGATATTACTTAAGCTTATCTTTAAGCAAAGTTAAAATTATATAAAATAATTCTTGCAAAGCTATTAAAAGAATTAAAGAATAAATAACTTTTAAGCATAATTATTTATATTATTTAATTCCTATATAGTATAGCAAAATTTAACGTTTATTAATTTAATATATATTAAAAATATTATTAATAAAAGCTTAAGATAAATTGCTTTATATATAATTTTTACTTAATAATTATAAAGCTTATATAACCCTTTAAAATAATAAGTATATAAATAAATAATATATTAATTTTATTTATGTTAAAATTTTAAAATAAGGAGGAAATTAAGATAAAAGCTATGAAATTGTAAGGAAAATTAAAATAAGAGCTAATACTTAAAAACTTAATAAATTATAATAAAGCTTATATAACTATAAATATTATTAGCTTAATTATTACTTAATAAAAGGAATAAATTAATAAACTTACTTTTATTAATACAATAATTAAAAATACTCTTTAAAAATACCTTAAATAAAAAGCCTAAGAAGTATATATAGCTTTAATTTATTAATTAAAAGCTTTATATAATCTTTTAATAGCTATATAAGTGCAAAACTTAAAGGTAAGAAATTATAAGAGCCTAAATATATAATTATTATAATAAATAAATAACGTTATGTAAGAAATTAAATATATACCCCTTAATTTTAAAATAGCAAAACTTTTTATATTTATAAATAAATTATTTATAAATAATTAAAACTTAATATTTTAATTTAAATATATTATTATTTTTATAAATAAAACTTATAAGGAAATTAAGGGATTTATAATAATAAGTAATATTTTTTATTAATTATTAATAAAGTATAAATATATTATTTAAAGCATGCTAATAAGCAAAATTTATAGCATAATAAATAAAGTAAATATTAAAATCTCCTTAGCTATAATAATTAGAATAGTTATAAAATAATTCTTATTATTAAATATACCTTTAATTATTTATATAAATTTATATAGCTTATATAAATACCTTATAAAGCTAAAAATAATAAAGGAAAAGTACTTTATAATTAATATTATATTATTATAAAAGTTATATAAAATAAAAGAAATTGCTAAAATAAGGTAAATAAATAAGAAAGATAACCCTGTTAATATAATAATAAAATTAACTTTAAATATTATATTATAAAAGCTTATTAATAATAATAAGCTTTATATATAAGTAAATGGGTTAATTAAAAGACTTAAAGTAGCTCCTTTTTACTAAAGAAGAAGCAATTTATTGCTAATACCTTTTCCTTTTAACCTTGTTATTATTAGCTATAAAACCTTATACCTTTTAAACTTAAACCTTTAATATAAACTTTAACCTTTTATACTTTAATTAAAACCTTTTTAATACCTTATTATATATAAAAATAACCTTATAATTATTAATATTATTAATAATTATTATTTTAAAGTTAACTTTATTATTATTATTACCTTTTATTATTATTTATTAATAATAATATTAAAATTAACTTTTATTAAATTTATTTATAACTTATTAACTTTTTTTATAATTAAAGAATAAATTAATAATTATTATATAATAATTATAAAGTTTTGCATTATAAATATTTATTTTAATTACTAAATTTCTATAAAATCTTTTTTCTTTTTATTATAATGAAAAATATTAATAATAATTTATAAAAATTATTTAATACTTTTATTAATATGCCTTATAAGGATAATAATAATAAGTAAAATTATTTAATAAACATTATATTTGCTTTTTATATTAAAAATATATTTAATATAATTATTATTATAACTATTATTAATATAATTAATATTAAAGGTAAACTTATTATAATCCTTAATTAAAATTAGGATTTCCTTATAAATATTATAATTATAACCTTAATTAATAAAATAAATATTGTAATTATAACTTTAATTAATAAAATAAATATTATAATTATAACCTTAATTAATAAAATAAGTATTATAATTATATTTTTATTAAGCAATAAGATAAAGATTAAAATTATTATTAAAGTTGCAAAAAGGGCTAAAATTATCTTAATTAATAAGAATAAAAATAAGCTTATTAATTTTATTAATTTTTATAGCAAGATTATTATTAATAATATTTATTTAATAAATATTAATAAGGATATTAATAATAATAACTTTTATTTGCTTGCTTATTTAATAAATATTAATAAGGAAATTAATAATAATGATTTTTATTTACTTAATATTAATAATAATTTAATTATTATTAATAATAAAGATAATTAAAATTAGGTTAATAAAACTTTAATAAAAATTATAAAAACTACCTTTAACTTTACTTTTATGCTAAGCATTAAAAAAAGCAAGCTATTTATTAAAATTAACTTTTATAGAATTATTAAAATTAATAAGCTAAAGGTTATGGCTATAATTTAAATTAAAATACTTTTCTTAAATAATATTATTATAATAGCTATTATTTAAATTATTAATAACTTTTAATATTAAAATAAGTAAATATCTTTTAATAATATAATTAAAAAGCTATATATTTATATTAAAAGCATTAAAACTTTTAATATAAGATTATATAATATTTTTAATAATAAAAACTATTAAGGTAATTATTATCTTAAATATTAAATTATTATAATCTTTATAATAAATAACTTAATAAGAATTTTAATTTTAAGTATTTTTTATATATATTAAATTAAAAAGATTTAGCTATTAAAGAATTAAATTGCTATATTAACTTAGCTTTAAAACTTTTTATATTAAATTATTAATAAATATATATAAAGCTTATATATAAAAAAACTTATTAAAAAATATATATTATTACTTAAATAACTTAAATAAAAGATAATTATTAAGAAGATTAAAAAAAATAATAAAAAATAAGAAAAGGACTTAATAAATAATTAAGTTGCTTATAATGCTTAGTTTTAAAAAAATAAAAAGTAGCTAAAGAAAAATAATTTAAAGCAATATTAAGTATATTTTAATAATAAAAGTAAGGATAAAAATAATAATATTTATATTATAAAGGTATATAATAAAAATAAATATAAGCTAAAAGATTTAGCATTAGCTTTATAAATATTAACTTCCTTTATAAAGAAGAAATTTAAAACCAAGGCCTTTGCATAAAAGTTAATAATCTTTATAAAAAAGCAACCTTAAAAGCTAAGTATTAAGAATAATAAATATAATATTTAAGAAATAATATAATAATAAAAATTATAAGTTTAAAAAGTAATGTAATAATAAAAATTATTAAAACTTACTTTAAAACTTATAAATTATAATTTTAAGCCTTTTTAATAATACTTTCTTATAATAAAGATTATATATACTTAATATATAATAAATTATAATTTTAGGGCTAATTATAATAAGAATTATTAATTATAATAAGGATTATATATACTTATTAAAAGAAGAGAAAAACTATAAGTATTAATAAATATAACCCTTATTACTTAAAAGACTACTTTAGTTATCCCCTCCGGGGCACGTAGCCTCTTAGAACTTAGATAGAACAACACCAATACACGATTGCTTCCCATACGATTATTATACGTACGAGAGACCTACCAACAGTATCAACCGCCTGAGCACCGCGACGTTTCGACATTTCTGTGTAACAAGCGCGTGTGTGGGCTGTTCATTGGTGCCTGGTGTTTCAGGGCATGCAATGGTTCTCGACAGTAGTTATGGTGTAGCAGGCCGCCCAAACATCCAAAAACAAGCAGAGCCATGACGCTGTGCAGCGGTTGATGCCGGTCTTGGGAAGCCTTCGGTGCGGACTGACTCCGTCCCAACTCTGCAATGTCCTTCCCGAACTGTGACGGGTACCACCACGGAGGTAAACCTTAATCCCAACCAATCCCCTCTTCAAAGATCGTTCGGGACCTTTAGGGGTCAAACAAGCATCAGTGGACCTGAAGCTTACTTTCTCACCTTGAAAGAACGCATCGTGGGCGGATCAGCGGATCACCTGCGCATCTCGAAAATAGTGGTCATGATTCAGGCAGCCAGGTGGTCATGTACAATTTATGGGCCAAGCACAAGGGCTGATTCTATTATCCCTTCGGTCTGATGTGTTCCCGCGTGGCTGGGTTGCACACGATCTGACCTTGGCGTGTGCCGGGAACGAAGTCAATCTCCTGGGCTTGCCGTGTGCTCTGACTTGGAGAGTCAGTTGTCCGACATTTGGTGTTTGGGACAGGCCCAAAGGACTAGCTCCCGTCTCTCTAGCCCGCGCGCCGTTGGAAAAGAGAACTGCCACCGAAAGAGCCTCAATGCTCTGAAAAGCTGCCTACGTCAATGTCGATGTCGTCTATATCGCCATGTGTGCAGGTGAATACGGAGGCACGTACTGCGAATTAGGGTTGTTGTCCAAACCTAACATCAGACGACCACCACCCAAAACTGCGCTCGAGACACACGCAGTATTCAACAGCCGTTGCAGTAGATTAATAGAGCAAATGTTGCTGCCATTGAGCGTCTATTGATGAGGCTTCATCGCCAAGTGGAATGTTCGGCACCTATTATGGCTGCGCGAGACCCACCTCTTTCAGACCGGGGGTTCCATACCAAAACCTTAAAGCTCCCATCTGCGTACGTTGACCATGATTCGCCATGGCTGAACTCGGGGCTTTTGGTTTCCAAGCTCAAACCCCAAGATGGGGGAAACAGGAGAAAGGGCGAGGCCAATTTGTCATGCACCCTCCCAATCTGCCCTCCATCTGCCCCAGGCTGGACGTAGGAAGGAAGAGTATGGAGACATAAATGGTGACTGCTGCCCCTTGTCTGACATCGTGTGGGATGAGGTACCTCATCGCACTTCGGGACGGATTCATTCGTTTAATACTCACTTTGTAGTCTTCCAGGGCAGTACCGCATATCCTCTGTGAGGCTTTTCATCTTTTGTGATAAATAGTAATTTCCAGTCCTTTCCGTCACAATGCGACTTGTTCAGCTCCTGTCCGCGGCCACGGCCATTGTGTGTATCGCAGCTGGGTCTCCAGTCAACGAGAGGCGGGGGAAAGGGCTCCTACCTCGGACGATAGGTCAGTCGTCACGATCCTGAACGACACTAGAGACGTGCTCAGTAATACTGACACCATACAGAGAACGCAGCAACGCCGGTCGACTCGGCCGCCAAGCCCGCTGAAGCTGCCCCTGGCGAGACAGCCAGCGCTGGAGGAGAGGGAGCAGCAGCAGGGGGAGCAGCAGCAGGAGGAGCAGCAGCCGGCAACACGACCGTTGTGGTAGAGCAGGGCCAGACCCTCGGCGCGATCGCGAAGCAATTCGGTACCGGAATCTGTGACATCGCAAAGGCCAGCAACCTCGCCGACCCGAACCTCGTCGAGGTAGGCCAGACCCTCACGATCCCTCCCCCGACCGCAACGCCGGACAACACATCCTGCCTCCCGCCGCCGCCGCCGCCTGCCACGGAACGCTGCGTGCTCGGCGGGCCAGACCGCTTGACGATCCCGTCGGACGGCATCACGGTGGAGCAGGCCGCCAAGTTCCTCAACATCACGCAGGACGCCTTCGTCGCCGCGAACCAGGCTGCCGTCCAGGGAAACAGCAGCGAGAAGCTGGGCGGGGGCACCGTGATGCAGGTACCTGTGTGCCCTAACTCGCAGTGCACCATCAGCCAGGGAACGGTGAAGCAGGGCGATATCTTCGATAAGATCGCAGCCGCCGCAGGGTCGACCACGGGTCAGATCCTGGGCCTGAACCCGGGTATCGACCGCTTCAACCTGGCTGTCGGCCAGACCTTCACTCTTCCGAGCAACTGCCAGAACGTCACTGCCGAAGCCGGAGCCGGAGGCAATGCGACGGCTGCCGCACCAGCTGAGGTAGGGCAAGGCAAGGAGGCTGCTGTGAAGCGGTAAGCCGGAAGTGCCGCTGCCAGAGAGGAGATTGCCCAGAGAAGGATCTAGGTTGCGAAGTCAATCGGAGATCATGCCCGTGGAAGACGGGCCGGTTTAGGTCAAGTGGAGGAGAGGCTGTTGAAGGATTGCATAGTAACTTGGGACCCAAAATGCACTTCCTATGCCCAGACATCCGAAATGATGCTTTGGCTGGGAAGCAGAAGGCAATCCGCCTTTGAACGGCCTGACGAGGTTGCCCTGGAGGGGCGCCATTTGTTTCTTCCACCCTGCGATCTGGTTATCTGCGAGGCTAGATGCCATTCATGTATGGGCCGGGCCAGCTTGAAGCTGACGCCCTCAGGTTAGAACTTTTTTTCGTAATAAATTACGACCGCGAACAGAATTTCCGGTGGCATCCGGATCCGCAAGTCTCGTCCCTGCGCCCATCTCCACCGCCGAAACCGTGCAGACAGTGGGTTGCCGCCCGGATCAAGCGGTCCCGGGTGTCCAAGGCCGGTCCCGTTTTCTGCCCGTCGCGATGACAAGTGACAGCGGCCCTGATCATCCCATGAATAGAAGCTGTCAGATTGGGAGTTCGTCAGCGACCCCTTCCAACACCGGACGCACTCATCCGCTTGAATATGATACAATGCGCGACTTCAGGCGCGCGACTGCGAAGAAAACTGGACCCTGATTCAGGAACGCGTGGGCAGCGGCGGGCCAGCACTTTGTCGCCTGGTTCTAGGCCAGTTCCTCGCGCTCACCCTCACGGGGCAGCCAGAGCTCCAAGGTGTCTCCCCGCAGTCGGGCGTGGAGACGGCGCAGGCTGTGCATGCTGATCGGTATCTCAAATGTTCCTTCTGTTCGATTCACTTGGGCAGAACGGCCGTAACCGTCGCCCGCGTCACCGAAGGAAGCACGGCGTGACGGGAAACCCGGGTTGAGAGTGCACAGAGGGAAGATTGCGCGTGGCTGTGTCTTGTGTTTCAGGACACACAAGACCGATCGCAATGAGACGGCGGGTGGATGGAGTTTGTCGTGTTTGCGATGGGATCTGAGACTCGGGTGGGGAGGAGTCTGGCAGCGGGAGGACGTGCTTGCTGCCATCTCCACCTTGACTGCCGTGTGGTGCCAGTGCCATGCGTGTCGCACGTGTGAGTGACGGGACATTGTAACGGCAGCTTACAGTGTACGAGAGGTGAAATGTTGCTTCATCTTGGTTGTGCTTTTGTCGGGTGGATGTGCGAGGTATGGGGGGCGTGGAGTGGAAATAGATTATGTACTCTGTACCGTGACACGGTACCAAAGTCACTGCGAGAGTCATGTACCCGGGTATATGAGCCCACGATAAGCTGATGATAGCAGCCAAAACGGCTTTTCGGTCAGGCCTGACTGACTCCAGGAATTGTTTTGGCCGCGTCACTGCCAGCCAAGGTGGTGCCGCTATTGCTCGCCGTCCCCTCATCCCCCTCTAGCCATTCTTACTCGAATACGAGCAACCCTTGACGGTACGGGTGAGGCAGCCCTTTTCGGGTCTAGGCGAGTTCATACCAAGATTTTCTTGAATCTTGCAGACTGGAAACGGCAGCCTCTGATGCAATCTTGTTGTGTTGCATTCATTAATCCGTACAGTCATCACAGCCATGACACAACCAGGTTGTTACAGTAAGCCGTGCTCGCCGTTTGCCTCTGGTCAAGTTAAGTTTAGGTAGTGGATGGGCTAGCGACGCGAATCCATCCACAAGATGTCAACGAAGAGCGAATTCTCGGTGGTGGAGAAACACTCTCTTAGAGATTGCAATCAGACATGACATTGTGTTTACCGATCGCAGCAATTTGTCCGTGGCTTCTCGGGTGCCTGGTCTACCAGTAATAATAATAAGACGCTGGCATGGCCTGGGATTCGGCCCAGCAACCCTTGGGAGACAAATGAGCGAGCCAAGTTGGCCCTGCCGTCGTTCCTGTGGGCGATACGAGGTCTGCACTGCCACGCCACCGCACCCTCGATTGGCCAGGGCGACTCGCCGTAGTCTGAGTCTGCCTGACAGAAGCTACGGATTACACGATAGACTGACTGACTGCCAGTACTGCGCAGCTGCCCAGAGACAAAGACGAGTGACCACGGACCACTGGAATGGACTTTGGCGGTCAGCGGACCCGTAGCCTTGGGCTGCTGGAGGGAGATCATGACATAGCAGACTACAAGCTACTGCTGTACACATAGCGTACAAAGTCCTGTTTTGTTGCGCGCAGGACGAAGCAGGGTAAGGATTGTCTGGGCAGTGGGTCCTCAGCGGCGGCCCGCTGTTGATCGAGAGGACGATCACAACAGCTGCCCTTCCCAGCTGGGAAGGCCTTGGAACGAGATCCCGCCTGTTCTGCCCATTTCCGTCCTAGGCGGGTCCTCGGACTGCCCAGAACCGGGTCGGAAACGGAGCTGTCTGTTTCTGTTTCTGGGGCAGGATGAGGAGGAGGGGGAGGGGTAGGGGAGTGCCCTGAGCCTGAGTTCCTGCTGTTCCCTGGCGCTTCTAGTGTAGCGGTCTGGTCCAGGGCCCCGGGCCGGGAGCAAGACAGTGGGAGGAGGCTGGGTTCTGGGTCCTGGCTCTTGGACGGACGCTGATGACGGGCCAGCGACGGGCCAGCACGCCAGCACGGCAGCAACGCCAGGTCTAGAGGTGAACGTTTTTGGCGTTTTAGCGCCCAGCCGGCCTCGGTTTGGTTGGCTCTAGGCTCTAGTGACCGTCTGGGCACCTGGCACTTCCTGGGCACACCCCAACAAACACCCGATCGACCTTGCCTTGCTCAGTCCTTGACGTCGTCCAGCTACCTACTTCTGCTTTTGCTTCCCGACCTCCCGCCTTCCCACCTCCAAATAATCTCACCACCACCCTCATACAATCCCGCCTCGCGTGTCAAGGACGGGCCAAAACGTGGCAGACAAAAGGGCAACGGGCACTCACACGCAGCTGGGGGCACGGCTTGCTCGTCACTCGCTTTTTACCATCCGTCCGATTTCTAACTCGGGCTCTGGCTCGGCTCAGGATTCGGATTTGGCTTCGGTCTCGCCTCACATGTGCCAACTCTCTCTGGCTGGCCTCTGGCATCCGCTCGCTAGTCATTCCCGTCGAGGACCTGACTGAAACATCGAAAAAGAGACCACAAGAGAACAAGTCCCGACCAGGGCAACAATATATAGGCCTTGTGCCCAACCCACCGACTCTCCACAACCCGCCCGCGTGCGACCGACCGACCCGACCGACCGACCATCCGACCGTCGCACGCCTTGCCGACTTTCGTGCAATCGTCACCACCGACGCCGACACCGCCAGTCATCATGCGCTTCCCACAAGCACAGCGACTTCCGTTATTCCTCCTCTGCCTCCTCCGCCTCTCCCTCTCCGTCAACGCCGAATATGTCCTCCAGACAACATCGCTCAGCACCTGCCAGGCAAACTCCGGCTTCTCCGCCAGCCTGTTCGATGTCGTCTTCACGCCAAATAACGACTCCGTCGCCGTCGACATGACCGCGACCTCCACTGTCGAAGGCTATGTGACTTTCGACATTTCTATCACCGCCTACGGCTACGAGATTATGCACAAGACCATCGATCCCTGCTCTGCCGGCGATGGCTTCAAGGGCTTCTGTCCCATGAGCCCCGGCAACCTGAACAACCCCTTCAACATCCAGATCGACCCGAGCGCGAAGTCCCAGATTCCTGGCATCGCCTACACTTTTCCGGATATCGATGCGAAGGTCCGTGTCTATATCAACAAGACCGATGGTAGTCCTGTCGCCTGCGTCCAGGCTGCGGTATCCAACGGCAAGACCGTCGATCTGGTCGGGGTCAAGTGGGCCTCTGCCGTCATTGCCGGGCTGGCCCTTGCGTCCTCCGCCTTCATGTCCGGCCTGGGCCACCAGAACGCTGCCGCTCATGTGGCTGCCAGCGCCCTGTCGCTATGTGGTTACTTCCAGTCCCAGGCCGTCATTGGCCTCGTCGCGATCCCGCTGCCGCCCTCCGTCCAGGCATGGACCCAGGACTTCCAGTGGAGCTTGGGAATTATCAAGGTCAAGTTTATGCAAAACATATTCACCTGGTATCAGCGTGCCACTGGCGGCACTCCCGCCTCGCTATTCGATTCCCTGACCAAGTACTCGGTTCAGGTGCAGAAGCGCTCGTTGGCCCTGCAGGAGGTGCCACCCGTCAAAGGCCTGTACAGGAGGGCCGTTGCGATGATGCCGAGAAGCGAAGTCACGGCGAAAGCGGCGCGCCACCTTGCCAGAATCACAAAGCGGGCGGGTAATTATAAGAGCCCATCCGGTGACTACGTCGTCACAGGCGTCCAGCGGTACGCATACCAGGCAGGCATCGAGACCACCAACTTTTTCTTGACGGGGCTTGTCTGGTTCTGCATATTCCTGATCCTGAGCGCCCTGGCCGTGGTTGCGTTCAAGTACATCTGTGAGGGCTGCGCAAAAGCCGGCTGGGTCAAGTCAGATGCCTTCTCCGACTTCAGGCGGGACTGGCGTACCCACATGAAGGGCATTCTGTTCCGAATCAGCCTGGTTGGCTTCCTTCCAATGTCTGTTCTCTGCCTCTGGGAGCTGACGCAGGGAGATTCACCAGCCGAGATGGTTTTGGCCGTCTTCTTCTTCTTGGGCATTTTGGTGTCACTGAGCTGGGCGGCCTTTAACGTCATCCGCATGGCCAGGCGTTCCATCTCGCTGCATAAGAACCCGGCCTATGCTCTATACTCGGACGCTCACGCACTCAACAAGTGGGGCTTCTTGTACATTCAGTATCGCGCCTCGGCGTACTACTTTATTGTGCCAGTGCTTATCCACACTCTTGTAAAGGCCATTTTCATCGCCTTCGCCCAGGAGTCCGGTGTCGCACAGGCCGTCGCTCTGATTATCATCGAAGTCACCGCATTGATTGCTACCAGCGTTCTGCGGCCCTATATGGACAAGTCGACCAACGCCTTCAACATCACTATCTGCGTCGTCAATTTCCTCAACGCCATTTTCCTGCTCATCTTCACTGATGTCTTCGACCAGCCTGGTCTGATGACCGGCATCGTGGGCATCTTGCTGTGGATTTTGAACGCGGCCGTTACGCTGATCCTGCTGCTGATCCTGATTATCACAACCGTGATCATCTTCTTCAAGACAAACCCAGATGGCCGCTACCAGATGGCCGACGACCGCACCTCCTTCATCAAGTCGCGGTCCGTTCTCAACACCACAACACAACTTGACGCGTTGGCGGCTACCGCACGCGGAGACCACGAGGGTGGGTACATCAAAGCTCGCATCGAAGATGAGGACGACGAGGACACTGGGTCGTCCCGGTCGGGCCTGCCTCATCACAATGGCGTCCCTCACACACGAGGTCATGGGGACAGGCGCAGCGGTGCGAGTCTGGTACCGTCGGAGGAGGTTAATGAAAAGGACGCCATGGTCCAACGGCCGGTGTCGATTCCAAGCACAACAGACTCGGCCAGCCTGAGAGATATGAATCGCGCACCTGTCCCAGTAAGCCCATTGGCTAGTGGAGTTGGCTCAAATGGAGCCCACCAGCCACATAGCGCCATGTCGGCGCAGAGGGCCGGGGATCACACAGGGTGAGTGCGATGACAATGCGTATGATCCCACCTGACGATCTTTTCTGACAATTTCTGGCAGACCATGGCAACGCGGCCTTGGCTACGACTGATTTATGAACTGTTCAACCAAAGCTATGGATATATTGTAACGTTTGAACATAATATAAGCGTGAGGGCGTTTCAGCAGAAACTGGGTGGACATAATTGGTAATATGCCCGGCCCGCATCACACATCTATATGCCTTACAAACACTGGGCAAAATATCGGAGGTCGGATCTATTTGTGTATTTCCGAGCTCGTTCTGATGATTACCTGACGGAGTTTGGAGGGAGGGAGGCTTCTTTTTGTTTAATCGGGAGGAAAATGGCTGGGAAAGTTAGATTTTGGACAATCTCTGACGGTGGGCTTGGGAGGCGTGTCGCGTACATAGGTTGTACCGTACAATCACATTCATTCTTCTCGAGATCTTGGATTACCTTGCTTGAATGGGTACCATTGCGTAGTACGGATGGGTTCATGTCGACTGAAAAAAAAAAAAATGGCACTGTCTGAATGTGTAATTATTGATTGGATCGTTAACCTGTATGGCGTCGCTGTGGTTTTTGGCATCCGTGGTATTTCGCCGATTTGGTCGAGCTTGCAGGTAGGTACTGGATAGGCAGGCACCTACTTATTCATCAAGAGGTACAGAGCAGGTTAGTCCACAGCAGGTTAACCCATGGTAAGTTATCCCATAGCAGGTTGACCCAGAGCAGGTTCTCCCAGAGCAGGTTCTCCCAGAGCAGGTTCTCCCAGAGCAGGTTCTCCCAGAGCAGGTTCTCCCAGAGCAGGATATCCCATGTAAAGAGTCCGTGGCAAAGCAGATGAGCCAGAGCGCAATGTAGTGTCTAGGCTCGGACAAATTGGCCCCTACCTAGAAACGACTTCATCATCACTTCCGATAACTTGTCTACGAACCAAGTCCTGCTTATTTCCAGAGACGTGGAATTGTGAAGTCCTGGGAAGCGTCTCAGCGTCGCCACCGTGCAGATCCCCCGGCTCGTCCCGGCAGTGATACAGACGCTTGCGAGCAAAGCGCGGACGTCATGTTGACGATGCGCTTGATGGCATGTATCTAGTGTAAATACACATCTCCCCTACCGTAACAGCCCCAACCAGTCTTTGGATTCCCTCACCCAAAAATCTCACCTCTGAGTACGGTCGCAAGCACATCGCAAAGCCCCTTCACTTCTTCATAGTACAGGGTCTCACACACCTCCCAGCTATGTTGAACAAACCCAAGCACAGCGTTAAACACGACAAGGTGCACAAAGAAAAATCCCACGTACTTCTGCCCAACAAACCCCCCTCAAAATGTCCAAAGTCGCCGACGACGTCAAGGCCGGGCTGAAGGGGATCCGAGGCGCGGGCGAGGCGGTCCGCGGCGGCGCCATGGAGGCCACGGACGAGCTGCTAGACCGCAACCTGGACCACCCGCAGGCCCGGGTCAGCGAGGCCGAGAACCAGGCCATCAAGGAGAAGGGCAAGCGGCAGCTCGCCAGCGCCGACGACACGATAGGCCACCACCACGGGACACGCTCCAAGACCGCGGCTGCTGCTGCTGCTCGGGGCGGCGCGCCGCCGGTGGGGGGTGGCACCGCGGTCTGACCTGGTGCGACTGCGGATTGGGGGAGTATGGAAGTCATTTGAATGCCGGGCCGTGAGTGAGACTATCTCTTGGAGATGGACGGGAAGGGAAGGGAAGGGAAGGGAGGCAAGGGGTGGGTCGTGGAATGTTACTGGAGTTTTCATGTGTACCTGATGGCGCGGTGTATCACGGAGATGTGATCTGAGGTGTAATCTTCTGATTCGATTGTTATGAAGGCCAGTTATTCACAGTGAAGGCGCTGTTGTAATCCAGCTTGGTCGCAGCAACACCAGGCGGATGCCTGTGACCTACTTTAACTTTGCTCGATCATGCATAGGGAAAACTGTTCCCGGATTCTCGTTGATGCTAGACCTCCGCGCAAGTTCCGAACAAATTGCCTGCGTCACTGAGGCGTTGCGCATAATGTGTATTCATGTTAGATTGATTGATTAATTGCAAAAGCATCTTGCTAAAGACATAATCAGAAGACATGGTCACCGAAACGCTATCGACGTCCTCCACAAAGCTCTCCGGTGAGGGCTTTCACGGCTACTACTGAAGCCGAACGTCCACAACTACAAGATCAGCTCACGCTTTATCATTTCCTCTAAAAGCACTAGGAACAGACTCAAGCCTCCATGTACCGTCTTTCGAGGGCAAGCAATAACCGCGACGCGGTGATATGCACATTTCTGCATGCCTTAGCATTGGCTCATCTTCTCCGCCCCTCATTTGACATGGCTCTGACCATCGGGAAGCGGGCCCTACAGGGCAGCAAGCGTCTGCTGCTCACTGGTGATATTGATAGCAGTGAACTTGACGAGACTCGGACCTTACTCGCCACTACCTACAAAGTCAAGGACGGCGATGACGACTACATCCGTGTCGACATCTTCCACGACCAGCTATTCAAGAATTTCAACTATGTTCATCCCAGGAACAACTTGGAAGTGTCATTCATAACAATACATCCAAATTAATCCAAATAGTTCCAATAAGGCCCCAGGGTTCGGCTGCAGGCTCCTGGAGGAACCAGATCTGTCATAGGTGCCGTCCCAAAGTGGACGGCCGGCTCGACAACCCACGCGCTCAGTAAGGAATTTAAGGCGCATGAAAATTACGAAGAAGACACAGAGAGAGACGTGATTCCATCACCAGTGGCGACGAAGAAGCACGTGTCTCCACAAGTCGTGGTCTTCCTCCCTGATCTGAAGGCTTAACAATTGCTGGCACGCCAGCATCTTTAACACAGCCTCGGTTGGCACGAATGATCATATTTAGACAAGGCACAATTGCTGTTAGTCACGAGAACGCGCCAGAGTCCGGGCAACACTCGGCCGCGACTGTGTCACGAACGTCACGTTGGCTACTGATAGGCCGTGTCTTCGGCCTGATGAAGGGTGCTTTCTTTTTACGAAAAGGTTCACCTCACAAGCATGCAGCTAAGCGACTCAAGGGAAGACGATGTGTTCACAGGTGGATTTCTAGAACGAACAGGAAAATGACAGTAGCCTCGGGAGAGGAAGTCCATTGTGGCGACGCAGGACACAGGATCATGAAATGGTTCAGGGATCAGCCGCGCAATATCGAAACATCCTCTATCGGCAGCTAGGCTTGTAATTCAGGTAGCGAGGCTGGTGGTTCGATTGTGTCCCAGATTGGATGCTACACTGGAACATCCGAAGACCTGAGCGCAGATGCGACATCATTCGTCCCGCACTTTGTATCATCGTACGAATCTGCCTCTTTTGCAGGCGATCACATACCCCGGCTTGGGCTAGAGCAGGCATAAGATAGATGACGCTCAGATCGCTGCGTTGGACAACAATCCAGGCCCGAGGATGGACGACATGCTTGACCGATGAATGATATTCGAGTCTCTGAGATCAATGACCTGATCTCAGCCGTAGAGCTGTCTGGCACAAAACGGTGTAAGGGAGATAGCCTTGGCTGTGCTCATCATGACTTGAAAATCACCTTAGCTGAGGTTGAAGCCGTGGCCACATTCACCAAGCCCCAGCCAATGCCACGCAACAGTGCGCCAGCATTATTACCCTGCTTATCGCCAACGCAGTTGTAAAGAAATTTCAGTAGTTCCGGAGTCAGGACTCGTTGTTTGGGATCTATCAGCGAAACAGTGAAGAATCCGCTGTCAGCCTTGGGGACATGCAGTCAGCAAGGGACGGTGCAACTCCTCCCATGGGCTTACGAAGTCCTTACATTTCATCCATTCCCCAGGGAAAACCGCGGCATGGGGTGTGTCTAATGATCATACGCTCTGTACTCATCAATGTTCCCCGAGGAACGGTAGCGCATGTCTGGCTCCCGGACCCATCTACTGTCGCCGACCCTGGTGTGAATGGCCGTCCCAAGTCGTCTAATACCGCATCGCAATTGAATCATCTGGAAATATTCAAAGCGACCTAGGTTTTTGTTCACGTTACAAGAAGAGGAATTACGTCTCAGGAGGGGAGCGACAACATCGTGGCTGAAGATGCTGATGACTTGGAAACGACAGTCGCAGACGGTACTGACTCTGAGGAGTCGGAGACATCGGCTCTGGTCTTGGAACCTGCGTTTTCTGATACTTCTTGGCTCAAAAAGGGCTTCTCTGGTCGTTCCTGGCGCTGAAGATATGAGGCACGTCAAAACTTTAAAACACATCAGCGAGCACAAATAAGTCATCTCGCCCAAGCAACATGTGTCGTTGGTCATAGAGGCGGACACGTTTTCAGGTGATAATACGAGATCTCACAGAGCTGTACCAGGCAACATGTGCGATAGATAAGAGTGTGGTGAGGCAAACGAAGACTGTGTTTCAGGAGACAAAAGGCTGGTCTTAGGGGTGATTGAATACTAAGTTGAATCGCAATGAGTTGCCATTGACTTACCAGACCACACAATTATAATATTGCATGTTTGTTTGGTGCTTAACAAAGGCATTGTCTTGGTGCCAAAGGGTAGGTCCCGCTCGAGTCTTTCTTTGGAATCCCACAATGCTGCTAAATTGAGTTCCTGAAAGACCCTTGTTCTATCCACGGCATGAAAACAATTGCATTGTGGCTGCTTTCCCGTAGTCCAGTGCTGGGCTTGAGTATTTATGCAAGATAATACTTCTAACTTAGGCACTGGTTAGAGCATACGGACATACCTGGACATACCTGGACATACCTGGACATAACTGGACATCCACATTATCTTATACCAACGTCTACGTCTGCCTTCAGAGAATCAGCTTTTATCACAACATGCAGCGCCTCTCGGAATTCGGCCAAGCGTCGCTTCGAACTTACACGCAAATTGTCCTCGCCTTTCCGCTCTCTGGGAGAGCCCCAGCCTCGACCATCTATCAACACCTTAGAGCCTCTTTGACCCGTCTTGGGAATTCCTTCCCACTGCTGGCCTCTGAAGTGCATCTGAAAAAGTCACGGTTTGGTGAGGAGGCATTCATCCTACCACCCTCATCGTCAGGCATTCCCTTATGGACTGAGATCAGCGATACAAACTACGCCGACCTCGCCGCGCGCGGGTTCCCAGCCCAGAATTTTATTCACCCCGACTTGGACTTAAACAACACTCTCAATCTTAACGAGGGCCCCGTTCCTGTGGCCCACGTGCGAGTCAAGCTTATTGACGGCGGCTTCCTCCTATTCCTGTCTCTTCATCACACGCTCGGCGATGCATATTGTCTTGGGCTTTTCGCACAAGCATTTGCGGCCGCAACTCGTGGGGAGCGGATCGCAGTCGAGTCTTCATCTCCAGAGCTACATCTTCCCCAGGACGAAGATATATCTTCTAGCACTCTATTGACCTTGTCTAGGCACACACCTGAGTACGAGGTTTTATTAAACTCAAATTCAGGCCCAAGTTTGCCCGACATACTTCCTGGAGGAATTCCGAGCGAGGAGATCCCTGGTGTCAGTAAAATCTTCGCGCTAAAGATTGACGACATAGAGCAGCTTCGCAACAAGGTGCGTGACGTGTGGGGGCCCGTAGCCCGAAAGCCTTCTGCATTCACTTGTATGGCGGCTCTGACATGGGCCCACGTTACGAAAGCGAGAATTGCAAGCGAGCCAGGCATTGCGCCTCCGAGTGAGAATGCTAACATCGCGAAGCTTTTCACTTTAGTCGACTTCCGCCGCCGATTTCACGACGAAACGGAGGAATACTTCGGCAACGCAAATGTCACTGTTCCGACAGAGACTTCAGTCGAAGACCTTGATTCGGCATGTGAGGGCCAAGACGTGATGGCCCTCGCAAAAATTGTTGCTCGGATCACCACCACGTTCTCGAACGTTGATCAAACAGCTATTCTCCGCCGCGAGGCGCTGTTCAAGAGGATCACTGACTACCGCCGTCTCGCGCTCAGCCAGGACCGGAGAATCCCCGGACAATTGCAATTCAACTCTTGGCGATATTTTGGAGGAAACGACGTCTGGAAATTGCCAGGTGTGGGCACAAAGAAACCGGACTCTGTACGTAGGGTCCAAGGCGAGGTGAGCCTTGGAAATGTGCTTATCCTGCCGCTGAATTCGGAATCGGAAGTCTACGAGATATCGGTCCAAATTCCTGAGATGTCGATGTCGGCGCTTTTACAGGACGATGGCTGGATGCACTGGGTTCATCACACCATTGGTTAGAACATTGCCAAGTGACGTCTTGGTGAACAATAGAACATTCTTTTTGTAAAGGGTCAAAATCCGTCATTTCCGGGGCCTGTCTTCCGTGCTATTGCTGGAATGCTTTGCAGCTCTCTATAAGAGGTAGATAGACTGACCAGAGTCATCCGTTTTTGAAGATACATTTAGAAGATTCTATGATGATCCTTGGTCCCTCCATAGTCCTGCTGCTACCCCAGTGCGAGCGGAGCGCGGACCCGGGCACCTCCACAGCACACGCCTATCAATGAAGAAATTGGGATCAAGTCTATGTCTCGAACCACTAATCCACTGGCCTCGGTACCACTTCCTGGAATGTATTTAGACTTAATGATCTACTTTTGAGCCGCTTCCAACCGAGCATGCGGTTACAGTTCTCCAAGTTCGGTCCAGATGATTATGTAACAAAGGCAGAGAGTCGACGCAGAATGTCACTCGGCGTGCCACCGAGTACGTATTAGTATGAGGGGATGGATCTGCAGTAGCCGGAGCTCGTAGTTCCCACTGCTCGCTGATCTCGTCGGCAGTTGCAGTGCCTCTGCTGGCTCTCTTCGATACGCCCAAGCCAAGCCTCTGAGGATGTCTGATCTTTCAGGTGCAAGTTGCTCGAATTATCACTAGCCTTGGATGTTCGGAGTGATGATACCGATGGCTGCCGCTGATAGGGAGGCGCGGGTTGACCAGCTCGCTGAGAGTTGCCTGCTCGCCCTCCCACTCCACATCTAGACCCGGCTTCTTAGATATCAGATCCTGTCAATCGTCCAAGTTCATAGATTTAGACAGATGGTAATACCTGAATGGAATGAATCCACTTCACGAATTACACTGGTACTAGGTGTGATTGTGAACACGTTTAGTCTGTCTGTGCGCAACCAAACTGAACAGCCTCTTCATCGCCTGTTAGTTGTGAGGTCCAATAACCACGTACTACTGACGCATAGCAACATATGTTGAGGAGATCTATGCTGTCAATAACGTATCAGAGTGCTAATAGCTTTTCTGCCCCTCCGAATAATTTCACTCTTCAAGCGCCAAGACGAGCCTGAAATGCACCGTTAGCCAGCAGCGTGGGGTTGAATTCGTCAATGTTCTTGTGTCTCTGGATAAGACCATTCGGAAGTGGAAATTCAAAGAGTCACTATCGGAATGAACTTAATCTCTAGGTGCTGAGACATGACGTGGTTGTGGCGGCATTTCAGACTCGTCTTGATGTACGTAGAGGATAGTGACAATACCCCGAAGTCGAGCCTCAAACAGCTTAGCGAATACACTCGTAAAGTATGAACCACTATCGTACTAAGACGAGCACAATGATACAGTGGACTGTAATTTGGTTAGAAAGAAAAACCCGCAGCTGGCTTCTGAAGCTGGAATTGTACCAAGCACCCGAGAGACGATATGATAATTATATCTCTAGACACACCCAAGCAGAACCGTATGCCTTCATAGAACTCTGCAGGATGTGCTAAATGATCTCATCGGACCCTCAAACACTTGGATTCCACGGGTCAAATGCGAGCTGTGGCAACATTTTGTGCATATGGTGACTACTGAACCTCAGTGTCAAGCAATCCTCTCGGCGCTTTTAAAATTGGCACAACGAATGCGTGGACATAGCCGTAAACAAAACTTGTGCTATTATCAGTTAGGAGAAGGTCTGAGGACATAGTCGATTCAGGTAGTTTTAGTTGCCTTGAAGTACTCCATTAATTAAAGGCAAGCAGTATTCGTTAGTAGCTTCTAAATTTCAGTAATCTAAATACTTTGAGAACATTTGAATCTGTTTGTCGGGCGTCATTTCTGGAGACAGCAGACGCCTTTCTTGAATTATAGACACGGTGAGAGCAGGGCTTCGGCCAATTGTTCAACGAGTACAATGGGCTTGAGGATTAACAACCGATTCTAAAGTTTTGTGTCTTCATATATGAGCCTGAACTCAGGTTTTAGAAAGCCGGTCTTCCCAAATCATTTCAGACGATATCAGTATAGAAGAGGTGCTTTACATGAGTGCAGGATGTATCCGAGGGAATGCATTACCATCGTGAGATGGCGACGCTATGAATTACTCTTGCACGCTCGCGTTGTCTGGAAGATCAACGAGGCAAACAGGCCACCGCATAACACTGGCATCTATTCGGAGGTCCCCACCGCAGTCCAAGGAGAGGTTCGCACAGTATGTAGCAATGGCATCCGACGAAAATCATCCGAAGTCAAAATTCATCTGGTCTCCGGGGCAGCCCTCGAAATTACACAGTGAAGCTACCAGCGTGTGGCGAGGCCTGTGAGCAGGAAGATGCGTGTGCCGGTTGCAGCAGTATGCCTTTTCCATGAGCCACTGTACTTAGGCCACGATGAGCGTATTTGACGATCGCGCGGCAAAACTATTTAGCTAGCGCCTGTGCTGATTACATTATTCTGGATACTCTTCCGTACCATCATGAACTTCGATAGCGATATTTCATGTAGAGAGAGTGGGCACGACACTTTTGCTTGGCAGCAAGGAGCTGTACACAACACGTTAAGAAGCCTAACACTGGCGGGCCTCGTCACCACTTGATAGCAACGGGTAGGTAACCTGGCGACAGGCTACATAATCAATGAGGAACATCCAAAGTGCCTTCCGCGAACGATGTGAATAACGACGCTCCCAGAACACTAAGAATGTCTGGGCGTCCGGTGTTTCAAGTACAAAGCCTGACATCAACCAGCGCACAATTGGCCAGACATCGACAAGGAGAGCAAATAAACTGGATCAAACATGAGTCGCCACTGAGCGAAATATTTGCGAGGGCGGTGGATCGGGGTCTCGAAATGTCGAGCGCGCACATGTATTTCCGACAGATATGGACATGCACAGTCTCTCCACCCGAGTGATCCTCCTTGGCCATCTTGCACATAAACTAGAACGAAACCCATGAAGTCACCTCCTCAGGGCCGATGGAGATACCCTCTTCTCACGGCGGCTACAGCGGGCGATCGGCCACCCAAGCCAGGCAGCAGCACCGGGGACACTCGACCACGCTGGCAGCTTCATCGGCGCCACTAGGCCCAAATAGCAAGGTCCAACTGGCCGGTGACATCAGGATGGTGCCTCTGTCGAGCACAAGTGTGGTCCGAGTCCGGACAGAAGGGACAAGCAAGGAAAGCGCCGGATCTACCGGGAGGAAAAGGCCAGTCACATCCCACAAACTGTCTCCCTCTCTCTCCTCTTTCGCGAATCTTTCGTTATGGGGGTGAGGAGGGTCCTCAAGACGATCCCCGCCCCATTCGAGACAAGACTGCGTTAGATATAATTTCGAAGGGCGGCTCGAGGGGAGGTAACGTTATCTGCGCACGAGGCATGGTCAGTGTTGACCGACCGCGTCGGAAGGGCCCACAAGGGCCAGAGGCAGCCCAGCTTCTGCCCCATCCCCTCCCTCATGGAGCAGCAGCAGCAGCAGCAGCAGCAGCAGTAGCAGTGGTATCAAGCAGTGTTCAGGGGCAATGTCGGTCGGGCTCTGACCAGCCAAGACGAGGAAAGGTGTTGTTGTCCGATCGACAAGAGCACGTTCAAGAATGGATCTGGGGTATCACATCGTACCCAGAGTTGCAGTAGATCTCAACGGCGCCTCAGAGCCAACGGTTCCCTTGGGATTTTCTTTTTGCCCTTCTGTCTCTTTCCCCCTGTCATTTGTGTCCCGGTCCTCCAGCTCCTACCTACACTAGGTAAGGGAAGCGGGAGAAACAGAGACAATATGGGCGATCGGAATATATTTAGACACGTTTTCGGCCTACATCCGTAAACCGTGCTGCTATTTTTAAAAATAAACCTCAGACAATGCCTCACCGAGACTATCTATTAGCGCACCTGTAAGACGGGGGGAGTCAGGAGGGAGAGAACGGCCGCGTAGTGGCTGGGTGGGTGGTCCCAGGGGGCCGCGCTCCTCGTATTCACCCCCCCATCCATGCCTGCTGGCCTGCCTGCTTATCCACCCGACTGACCCCGGAGACACTCGGGAACTAAGGGCAACCAGAGACGAGGGCCGGGTGAGCTACTGGGCTATTACGGAGACTGGCAGATTAACGGGGTGGCATGGTTGTTGAGAGGTCCTCTATATGCCATGGGGCAGAACGTCAAGCCCAAGAAGCCACACGGACGTTGACGCGACATGCCTTAGTCGGTAGCGGGACAGCCTCACAACATACCCAAGGTACCTAGCTAACAGAAAACCTGACGTGAGATTCGTGAGCGAGACATGCGAAATCACCTTGTTCCCAACAGATGCTGAACATGAGATTATCATTAATTATTAGGTCCCCTGCAAAAACTCAGGCCGCTAGTCGACCCGAGCACGGCAACAACACAGGAACCTTGGCGATGACAGTGCCCGTGAATTGAACTGACCCTATACGAATCGCGATGTGCTGCACACTTTTTTCCTGGCGTCGCCCTCATCGACCGGGGGTCCTTTTTTCATAAACAAGCTTAAACAACAACTATTTCACGCACTGTCTGAGATCTTCTTTTTGATCAAGGGCTGCTTTACGCCCAAAACGCCATGATTCCCCTTCCACGTGATAGCAGGTCACAATCTGCTGGGAACCGTATCCTCCTCCGTGAACCAGAAAATCAGGACAAGCCGAAGGGCAAACCAAAAACGCCACGCCATGCAAGATTACCATCTTTCCGGCTCTCGGTGGACATCCCCACCCCACCGAATCCGAGCCTGCCTCCGTAGTGTGCAATCCAAAAACAACAGTCGCTTATGCAGTCGGGTATCATGATCATTATCCGTAAGGAGTGTCGTCTATGTCGAAAGAATCCGCCATAATTGTTGAGCAGCTAAAGGAGTGTCTAAATATGCTTTCATCCATGCCGATGTGTGAAAAAGGAACGTCTAGAGTGGGTATCATCGTGGTCGAACAAAGGAGTGTCGGGACGTATCTGGCGATATGTCGTAAAATCGAGTCTCGGAACAAAGGAGCGTGTCCATGTATCTTGTGATACATGGCGAGGTTCGTATGCTGATCGGAAGGAGCGGCTGGGCGACAATGCGCACCTCAGGACGGAAGTCCTGCTGAAGGACAATCGATCGTTGTGGTTGAAGGAATGTGTTGTGCAATTGCGGCTGTGTTGGAAACGAAAGTCGAGCGACAGCTCGAACAGGATTAAAATATTATGGGAATATCGAGGAGTCCGTGGCTAGGGCCTCCAAAAGCAAAGTGGTAGGGAATCCTCATGGGGTACTCCTTCTCTCCTCAGCCTGGTGGTGATAGCTTGGTGGAGCGGAGGCCGTGGAGATGTGTCGATGGTGCGAGTATGGATGCGAGTAAGCGACGACAGGAGATTCGGGAACCGGAAGCATCGAAAAACCCCCGGGGGCCAGGAAGGGAGACTGTGGACCTGCTGAAACCGGGGGAAACAAGGCGTTCTCTGGTACTTGTTGAGTGGGGGTTGTGCTCAAGAAAGGCGAATGAGTCCTGTCCACGAACAGTCAATTCACTTTCTCGCTTTCCGAGCGGTTGCGGCCAGATGGACCTAGTTCCACACAGGCTGGAGTTGTGGAGTGACGAACCCAACGCCGTAAGGCCCGCCCAGGTGGGAGTGGGTGCCGGCGAAACCCATATCGTAGGAGCCATAATCCTCGTTGTCGCTGTAGAAGACCGGAGACGCCTCGTAAAAGTCATCCCCGACGCTGGAGGCCTCGCAAGTGCTTGACACAGGACTGTAACATCCATTCATTGGAGCAGGAATGTTCAGATACTGTTGGTTGCTGTACGGAGACGGCATGGCCATGGGGCTGACGGGGACCCCCGGGGCACTGCCCTCAGTCTTGATGGACAAGTTCTCGGTGCTGTAGCTGAAAATCGGGTTCTCAGCGTATCGAAGGCCATCTGGCATTGGTGCTGTTGTCATGGGCAGGCTGAAGTCTTCGTAGATACCAAAAGGAGACGGAGGTGCCGGTGCGTACCAACCCATCCGATTGCGGAACTCCTGTACCAATTGGGTGGCGTAGTCCATTAGCTGAAACAGAGACTGCAACTCGGGATGATGCTCCCCGTATGTCAGGCTGATAGATTTAAGGCGCCGAGAAATGTCTTCCAGAGGGCCGATGGAGAGACTGCCGAAGTAGGCAGCGCCGATCTCGGGAAACATGCGCTCCATCAGTAGAGCCACGGCGTAGTAGTGCGCGATGATAATCAGCGCGCTTGGGGAAGCCTGCGTCTGCTGAAGTTGCATGACAGGTAGCCAGAAAAGCCAGTCCCTCAGCGGCTTGAGACGTTCGAATTGATCGGCTACCTGCAAGGCGGGGTCCACTTTGCGAGTTCCTTTGAGGAAGCTGACCAGTTGAGCGACGAGCTTAGTGTCCTCTCGATTTTGCTTCAGCTGAGCCTCGAGTTTCTGCAGGTGCTGAAGCATGCGAGACAGGGAAGGCTCGACGTCATCTTTCGAAGGCAGTCTGGGCTTGTGATCGGGCGTAGGCGACGGAGGAGCTGTCGGGAAAGTGGTGGTCTCGGCCATGAACTCGGCGAACTGAGACTTGTCCTTCCATGATTCCATCAATTCTATGATCTAGAAGACGTTAACACACACACGGAGTTCGCCAGGATCGGAAGCCTTGAACTTACGCCACGGGTACCCTGCATGTGATGTGTCCAGCTGCGCCTGAAGAGAGTGTTAGTCATGCCAATGCCTCCCATACCAGATTCACCTGCAATCGACCACTTACCAATCTGTCGCTTGCCAAGAGAGCACGAGAGTTGCACCCAGTACAGCATCAGAGTTGGCCTGAGAAAAGGCGTTGATGGCCTTCGAAAGCCCAGTCAGAGCGTTACCGCGGTGCTCGAAGGCCATCTTGCCGACCATGGGGCAACCGGTGATACTGGAGAGGTGCTCTGCGGAGAATGCCAAGAGCGCGTCCATGACGAAACGGTGCGTCGTGCCGATTCCGATGAGACTAAATGAGCGTTAGCGAGGATGAGGAGGTGCGATTCTGTGCTATCGTGCTCTAATCTTACGTTGGAATCTTGGAGGTCCACAGGGTGAATCCGTTGGCGTCAAGAGCACTCAACTGGGAGCTGATGGAGGCGACATGATGGATCAAGCGCAGCTCCTCGAAGGTGTAGTACTGCGGTGCCGGGACAGGGTTGACATCGAGGTCAAAGGGAAAGATGCCTGTCAGACGCCACTGTTCGATGGCTGCCTCGACCTCGGGCGTCCACATCAGATCCGGAGGGCCATTGGGGCGAGCCTCCTGGACGGGAATGTCGTTGTAAGGACATCGGATCTTGTGCTTGGTGCAGTTCTTGCACTGAGGGAAACTCTCGTCACATCTGATGTGCCGCTTCTTGCAAGTTTCGCAACCCTTGCGAGACTTGGTGTGGCTACAGAAAGGAAGTCAGCATGCCGCATATCGCAGGTCAACACGTTCAACGCAAACGAACCTTCGTCGGGGAGGACCGCCGCCGGGACCAGCCATTGTTTCAATGTGTCGATGGATAGGCGGCTTGTGTCTTCTATTTCACGTCAGTGTCATGGTCGCGGACTATACGCATCGGGCTGACGGGGTGCGAGCATGGAGGAAGCGAGGTCCAACTAACTTTCTGAGAAATCACACGCAAATTTACGTGTGATCTGTGGGCGAGAAGAGCGTGTGAATCACTAGAAGGAAAACCGGAGCAGGACTTGGAGAGTCAAGCGGATTGCAATGTTCGAGTGTCGTAGAGCTACTCGAATGTTCCAGATGGCGGCCTAGGACAAGGTGGAGCCTCGGAAGCTACAGCGAGACAGAATATTTGGCAGACAAGCGGTAGAGGTTTGTTACTCGAGGACTTCTGGTCACAAATCCTATTCCCGTGGTCTTACTCCCCAAGCTTCCTGCTGGGCGGTAGCGAACGTGGTGGGTTGGTGGTTGTTGTTGAAAAGCGAGTGTGGGCAAGATCGAAGAGTCTTGGGTTTACAGGAACATCTGGGCCCCGTTGTGCACAGCGGGATCAGGTTGGGCGTGAGCCTGGAGTGAGATGAGCTGATTTGAGAACAGAGATGATCTGAGCCAGGTCTGCGCTGTGTTGGGTTGGGTTGACGGAGATATGATGATCGGTGGGTGATAGCCGGGACCTTCGATGAGAGAGACTAGGCGATGCAGGGTGGATATAGAGAGCCCCTGGATGCGAGAGTCGAGGTGAGAATTGCGGGTACGGCTGCTAGTTGATGTTGCCACGCGGGGTCGAGGAGTCTTGGGTTTTGTGATGGATCAGAGTAGCGGGATCACACAGGTTGGCGGAAGGAAAACAAAAAAACAAAGCGAATGACAGGAGTCGACGAGGACTTCCTAAGGTTGTTTGCAAAAAGCGAACGTGGGTTAGATGCAGCGACAGCGGCTGAGACGGATTTGGGCGCAGTGACAGGTTTTGGAGATGATAGAATCAACAGAAAGGGCCGAGGGGCAGGGTGGGAGACTGACAGTGTTAAATAAACCTTGAGCACAGAAACAGGAAAGCGCGGATCGCGTTGGCGCTGGCTCTGGCACTGGGCAGTGGGCACTGGACGCTGTGCTGGATGGCTGGCTGGCACCGGCGTAGCCTCCTTCACCCCCTGCCGCCCTCCTTCCCCGACTGCATCGCCCCCCTGGCCCTGATTCCTCGGGAAGGTACCACCTGGGCAGGCTGTCAGCGAGAAGCGAGTACCGCACGCAGGTATTTCTGGGCACCTCCGGTACTCCAGTCTTCCACTACGGTGTGTGTAGGCAGGTGCATGTATGATAATGTGCTGGTCGCTAAGTTGCTGTATGTGCTCCGAGCACTCCCGGTACCAGCCGGACGCGCTCTCGAGGCCATACCGTTCCGCAACGGAGCACATTCGAAGGTTGGAGCTACCCCCAAACCACCAAAGGTTACAGGCCGCACTGTACCCGGGCGTGCTGGTGTGTGCTGGTGTGCCGGTCACCAGTGGAAGGAGAGGAGAGGGGGGGCAAAGCCGAAGGAGCTTAGCGGCTCTTCTTCGGGACACAAGTTGCTCAAGTGGTACTGTACCGTGGGAAACAGCACAATGACAGTGACGGTAACATGCCCCCTCCCCAGAAGGAGCTTCGCCTGTGTCTGTACATGGTGTCTGTCGCTTCCTTCCTCTTCCTAGACCTTGACGCATGATGAGGCCCTGCAGGGAAAGGGCTGCCTCGAGGATGTTGATGGGTGAGAGCCGTGCCGCAATGGACAGTACAGTGCCCCAAAGACCCAGAGGTACAAGTCGAGTACTCGCGCGCCTCACTACTCGCTCCTCACTCGTCGAGCGGACTTGATCCCCACTAGACAAGGGCGATGCCCTTTTTTTTTTCTCTCTCTCGTTGTTGGACCCGGCTACTCGGTAACTATGTTCGCTCAGTCCTGGACCTACGCTTTCTGCGCTGCGCGTCTTGAAAGTCCATCGCTCCCTGCATCGATCAAGCGAGGCAACACCAGCCTCGCTCGAGCCCTCACAGTCCTCATCAGGGGCCACGCATCAGCCGTAGACAAGGAGCGAGAAGATGCCCGGTCAGTCTTGGTCTGGTACCGTGACTGATGGATCGTCTTGGGTGTGGCCTGAGCCAATGTGTGGGCAGTGTGGCAGCGGACACCCAGGTACTTAGGTACACTGGGTATTCTGGTACAGTGTGGCGATGACGATTGACGACCAGGAATCGGCGGGAGCAGCCCGTCCTGGGCACGGGGCATGGGCATGGGGCAGGGACGGGCATGGGCATGGGGCACTGCCCAGGAGCAGCATGAGCATTGAGCATGATCTACCTCGATGCTAGGGTACACAGTGAAGCCCTGTTCTCCCTGCCTCGAGCTCCACACTGTACAGTACCTAGGTGTTTTCCCAACCCTGTTGCTGGGCTGCTGGGGCTCCTGGGGCTCCTGGCTCCTTCCTGCTCCTCCCCACACAGACGTCCAGTCGTCGGGCTGCAAAAATGCACCGTCACATTCTCCATCTCACCCAGACTTGACCATCGCCCGAGACCAGGCGAGCGTCCTATCTGGCAGTCTACAAAATAAACCGACCGTACCTCAGTACCAGAAAACATACCTCTCAGTACTTCCATTTATTTATCAACCACAACCCTGGACCTTATCTAATGTCTTTATATCATTAGAATCAGACGCCGATTCTGAACATTTGAATATAATTAGAACCGAGCACACACTATTTGGTTGTTGAGAAATTCGGGTTGCAATGTGAAGGGTTTTGGTGGGATACGGGGTCCCGGTCGGCTTATTTTGCAGACTGCCAGCCTATCCACCACTCCACCTGCCCACCCAGGGGGCCAAGCTGCACAGGGCCGAGCAGCAGTCTGGTCATGCTGCCGATGAGCAAGATGCACTGGACTGGACTGAACCGTGCAATGTACCCAGACAAGGTATTTCTCCCACCCCCTATACAAGTAGCCAGCCAGCGTGCTGACTGACTGACTCAACCGGCTAGTTTCCAGAAAGACCTCAGGCTTCGGTTGCATTTTCAACTAAGCCCATGTGGCTGGAAAGACCAACAGATGGCCGGTGACCCGACTCCCAGAACAGCAATGGAATTGAATCAGCACCAATCGAGTCGTGGTGGCGCCCTATCGTGTCTGCCACGAGACGAAATGGGGAGAGCAGCGTCACGCCGTCCAAGCTTACACCACGCCCGCAGCAGCGTCGTCCACGCGCGCACATACACACACACACCTACGCACACACGGACACACACACACACTTCCAGAGACCGGTAATTGAGGCTGTGCAGTCCCACGATCCCCGTCCTCCCCCTGAGGCCTGACGGCCACCTCCCCGAACTTTGTTTCCGAACGACCCCATCGTTACAAGTACAAGATCTCACTTCGGATTATTTTGTTGTTTCGAATCCTAGTCTCCTGTGGAAAGGGGTGGGCAGATCCTGAAAATCCTGTCCCAAACAAGAGAAAGGAAAAGAAAAGCACAGAACTCCAAGTGGAAGAGGCAGAAAAGCCCAACTCCACTCACCGTTACTGGAACGCTTCTTCCTGCATGACATCTGCACGCTGGCTCCACTGTACACAGTGCAAGGCCAACCCAGCTCCTGTCGCTTGGTCGACGTGGTGCCTGAGCATCGCCTACTCACACCACAAGCATGTCACCCGCCTCGCAGCTTGCTTACATGGTACCGTGTAAAATGCAGCATCAAGCGTCTCATAATCATCATATGGGAAACAGGCGCAGCATCCCAAAGGCGTCAACTTTCGATGGCTCGTTACCTCCGTTTAAATCAACGAACATGCAGACGGGAATCCCAGCAACCCCGGCAGAGGACAGCAGTGGAATCATTCCAGCCACCTTTCGCTCCCAGCCCTATCGTGTCCGAGAGAGGCAAGCTTCCACTCGTCTGGTGGTGCCCGGCCTGACGAATTTGTCGACGTCACATCCTCGATGCTCTGTCTGCACCCCTTCGGCCGCTCACGGCGGAAAGCTCATTGAGATGCCACCCCAGTCCGCGCGCGTTTTGGGTGAGTACCTGTCCTGGATCATCAGGCAATGCCCATTAAGCACCTTGCATGGCTTCACCGACTCCACTACTACTGGTGTGGTGGTATGCGCCTATTGAATGATTTCAACCCTAACTCGGACCAAGCCAATCGCGGCAACGGCGAGTCTCTGGGCAGGTACCTCGCAATCACCGGAGATTGGACAAGCTGCTACGACCCCTTCGCATCCAAAGCCTGTATTAATCCACCCGAGCCATCACACAGCCAGCCGAGTGCGAAACCCTCGGTACAAGCAGCAGTTTGAAAGAAAGCAGTGCCCGTCTCTTGTCTCCTTAACAGCGCGAGCAACCACCCGAACAAGACCTTCACGCGTGTGGCTCCCAGCCGCAGATTCTTGCCAAATACAATGTTTGGAGCATGACTTCTAGAGATAGCCCCTCGAGGCAACCGAACGGTCCATAATGTAAGCGTTTGAAAATGACTGCACTACATAGCGTCACGGCCAACCGGGTGCCTAGCTCCAGCTTGGACACCAGCAGCTTCGGGAGGCATGTCATGCAGAGCATCAAGTGGCCGTGAGACCAGCTCACAATCCGTCATCGAGCCAACTTGTATTCGGTGGAGTGGTGACTGCACATGCCGCCTGATTGTGTACTTGACGGCAAGGATTCGATACCACTGTGTTTGATCCGACGACCTCTCCGTGTCACTGTTCTGTCGTTCCGCAGACACAGATTACGTATGGTTACTACGACTTGCTCATGGTTCCACAGTTGAGATTGACGGAGTCAAGCGTGCGAAGACAAGCGAACGATGCCAGCAACACCAAGCCGGCGGGAAAAGGGGTAGCCCCCCCGCCCTCTCCTTTGGCGTTGAGGCATTGCGGACAGACCTCGGCCATAGTTCAGGAATCTGTCAATCCAACTCAGAACAGATATAATATTCAGGGATGCGAGGCATGATATGATCCGCCGGTTTAGAGTATCGAAGCAAACTGTATGGGGGTCGACCAGGAAGTACGGGGCACGACAGTAGTACCCGGCAAAGCCCGGGCGCACCTAAGCCGCAGCGCAACCCAAGCCAAGGTCTGCGCGGCAAACCTTCGAGGGGCAGCCGCGGTCCACGCGCCGTGGAGTCTATTCATTTCCACGCGAGCCATCAGGCGACGAAGCCACAGCGGCTGTGGAGACCCGAGCCGTTGACAAGTGGCTACCATGTTGAAAACTCCTTGACTATTAATGGGACAAGGATTCTGACTCCGATGATATATCAATCTCAGGAGGGGACCTCGTCGTCTATTCCAAGGACACCGCGGTGGCCGCGAGTACCAAAATTCAAGCCCTGGGGTAAAAAAGCTCCGGAGCCAAAAGCTTAATGCTTGGCCGGTGCCGATCTTTGGCTACCCGATAGCTATTTCTTGACTCCAGTAATGTGCGCGTCCAAGCTGACTGACAGAGTTCCAAAGATTTATGGTTCCGTTACCATGGCCATCAGGTGGGCCTTGCCTTGAGATTATGGGACCCGATAAAGTCGCCATTATTGCCGGAGCTGCCAGAGGTTCAGCTTCGATTTTTGACCCTTTTTAGCAAGCGAGATGTGTTTTTGGCACTTGGTGATGGAGATTTTCCAGTCCCTTACCTCACGGGGCAGATGCCGAGTTCGTCGCCGCGGGTCGTTCAACAACTCCGCCCGGTGTGCTATGATGTTCTCGGGCACGCAAGGGTGCCCTGTTTCAGGCTTCCAGTCCCTTGTCAAGGAGAAGGGGCTCCGTTGTCTGCTGGCTGGCTGGGTAGGTGTTAGGGGATGTGAAACACTCATTTCTCGTGTCCATTCATGACGGCGGTTTCGAGCAACGGCGTTGGTTTTGTCGACAAGGACAATGTGGGCAAGGATGAGTTGAGACTGACGCACTTTGCACTGGTTGTCCTTGTGGGTCAGGACCAGAGAATCCGCATCGGGATCGGTTTCGCTGGGACCTCAAGATCATCATGGTACTTTTCAGCAGCCCCGCGAGATTCGATCTCATCGCCAAAGTTGGACCACTACGTACGACTAAGAGCCTAATCTTGGCCCGATCTGGAATGGCCGGGCGTGCCGCATCGTGCCAGCCTTACTCAGCGGAGATGAGATGTAGTCGGATTAGGTTTAAGACGTGCCATTGCCGCCGACGAGCCTCAAACATGCCGCGAGCCTTCTGGGCCGCCGCTGAGTCTTGCGAGGCCTCATCGGGTTCCACAACTGGCAGCTGCTGCAACCCCAAATCGTTGTCCTGGAAAATTGTCCACCGAACGACTGCGTGGAGAAGGATCAAGATGCTCCCCTCCTCGTGCCCACGTTGGCATTGCCCGCTCGCCAGCGCGACTCATGGCTAATGCAGTGCAATTTCGACTTTCCCCGGTGCGGTGACTGGGTATTGACACCGTTGACTTATGGCAAGAGGGAGCCCACGAAGACCGCGACAGCAGAGGGAAACCGCACGCTGGGTTCAATGATTTCATTATGCAAATGTCCGTCCGAGGACCCCGAACTCCTGCCAAAGTCCAATTTTTGCGGGTGTGGAAAAATACCCACTGCCGCGGTCGCCCGAAATGGAATTGTCGAGAGGACCGAGGTTCTCCATCTGGTTGTTGTCCGAGTCCAACGTGGTGTTGCTCGGGTTTCCTTGTCCAAGCCACGAGGAACCATCTCCACCAGCAACCGGCCCGTCCAAGGCATTCACCAAGCTTGCAATGCTCGTCATATTGTGTGGGTGTATGGGCTGTGTCCAGTAGTGGACATGGGCACTATGATGATGATCTCGTGGGACTAGCGGGCGGCTAGCAGAGGAGCAAGGAGCTCATCCACGGGGAAGAAAGCCCTGAAGCCTGAGACGGGCGCGAGATGTCATGGGCAGCCCTCCCAGCCGAGATACACACTGTGTACTTCTGGACTCCAGTGCTGCCAGGCATTCGGGGCAACTCGCAGATCCCAGCAGCTCGCTGTGGAATCAATGCCGCGATGCTCCAACGCTATGCCTCTTGGGGGAAAATTTGTTTCTATTCTTAACTTAACCTTCTTTGGGTTGCTTTTTTAGCGTCCTGTTTCCTCTTTTCCACTTTTCCCTCCCACTGCACCGTCGGCCGATTGATTTCGCTCTGCCCTGCGGCTGCCCTGCCCCCTGTCCCCTTTTCCTCCCGTTTCACTGGCATTTGTTTGTGGCCGTGCCGCCCGAAACTCCGGCACGCCCTCGAAAAGCAACGTTCCATGCCTCTTGCAGCCACAGTCCTTGAGAACAGCAGCAGAGGTGTGTCTTGCAGATGACGTCTTGGCATTGACGCTGAATTGTATTTCATGTACTTGTGTACCTGGGTGTGCTGGTTTGTCCTGGTTATCGCCTCATGGTCACCGTGCGGTGCGGTGCACGGGCTGATTCAGGTGTCTCTCGACAGACATTTTTGCGCCGAGCGCGTTTACCAGCCAACCAGCGTGTAAATGACGCCCTTGGGTCAGCCTGCTGGTCGCTCGATCGCCATCTTCTCTCGTCAGAGCGATTGACGGAGGCATTCAACATCAGGGAACAATGACGAACGAACGACAGACCGTCCTTTCGCGCACGGCAGGTATTGCCTGCCTGGTAGGTCCAGCAACAACTGTCGAGCAGCACTAATTACCAATCCATGATCTACCGCAGTCAATATCGGCCGAGTTCCGACTAGGACAGGTCCTTCTTTGCGCCGGCCAACCTCTCGGAGCAATTGCTGTTTTGCAGCTCTGCTCGCTGATCCCATGACCTCAGTCACTGAAGATCTCAGCCTTCTAAGGTCTTGGGCCGAGGTTGTTGTGAGGCGAGCTGGTGTTTGTTGACTTTTGTCTCGGCGCCGTCTGACCCGACGGACAACAAGACCGTCTGTTTGGTGCTTTGCGATATCCGCGGCGGGTTTGTTTTCGCGCTTTTTGAGGATGACTATATCAACGCGCGGTGCGAGTTGCTGCGGGATCTGATCGCTGAACCTGGTAGCGCCCGTCAAGCACTAAGCTACTGTGCTTCTGCCCTAGTCTGCCTGAAGTGATCTCACTTCGTGGCGATGTCACATAGTCCACAGAGCGACAGCCAAGCCCGGGCCCTTCCTGGCCACAATAAGCTCGTCAGTCGATGTGACGATCGGTGGTAACGATCCCAGGACCGGCCGTTCAGTGGCGACGGGCGAGACGAACATGTTGAAGGAGGATGAGCATCGCCAATCCCTTTACCAGCAGATCACAAGCATTAGCCTCGCAGCATCACCGGTAAATCCGACAACAAATGCTGTGCGCCGTGCCACCTGTGCATGTCAGATTTCCTGATTCTGCTCTTGTCTGGGGATTTGGGGATGGACGCAGCCGGCGGGAGCCGCTCTTGCAAGCCAAGGGCGGTGAGGCGCCTTGCCTGGCATGCTTCACATTTGCAAGTGGCTGCTCTCGACTGGAGTGCGGCGGCGATCCACCCGAAACAGAATTATTACCGACGGTACCGAGTCACCTCGTGGCCGGCGAGCATGATGGCATGGGCATGGCATGGCATCGCGCCGCCCAGCTAAAGCAGAGCATGCCATGACACACCAAATTAGAGGGGTCCGCAAGACCTGTCTCGCACACCGGCGCGGCTGCTAATTGGACATGGCGCACCTGGCACGGACGCCTCGCCTCGGTGGGTGTCGCGGAAGCTTGAACATCCCCGGGCTATCGGTCGCCTTCACCTTCCACGAGGCGCGGGCTCAACGGGGGCACATCGTGAGATCTATTGCGACAGTAATCTCGGGAACCTGGACGAGTAGTGATCATCGCCAGACCCTTCGCCTCTCGGCGTACTCGACTCTCGCTCTCCGCACCGACAGGCCCTAGGAAAGGGACCGGAGTGCTGCGAGCGGTCGCCCCACTCCCAAGAAACAATGGACGAACCAGCCCCCCATCCTACCAGGGACCAACTTCGCTCATGGCAACTGTGGTTAGCCGATTACTAAATATAGCAGCATCAGCGTGCACTTCCAAGCTGGCCATCCGCAGCCGACCCACGCAGACAGCTTTTTTGCTGACCGCACAGGTAGTCTGGTGGTCAGTGGCCCTTCACCACTCCTGGGATAGAGGAGCACAGCACACAGTATGCTGTGGACGACCGCCACGCAGCCACGCATTTCGCACTACTGCCCTTGGGCTCTCTCCTGTCAGGCTGTCCATGACGGACAGCAAGCCCCTCGTCCGACCTCAGTAAGGTTGTGGATCAAAGGCACGACAAACCTTGTGTCAGTCCAATTAGCGGCCCAGCTTCAGGAACCCGAACGCCAGCGAGCATGCAACTTCCACGACACTGCAGCATAGCACCGAGGCTATCTAAGCTTTTCATGCGGGTTCATGTGCATTGATTGATCACGCGGCCGGGGATCGGGCAAACCACAACGAGGGCCAGCATCCTTAGCGTAATGGCCCTCTGGTCAAAGATCTACGGTGTCGACGATTGCTTCCCTTCCCTTCGGTTGGAGTTTCCGGTCCCCGACGGACAGGTGGACGGGCAGCAGGACGGGCAGTCAGGGCAGGCAGGTCAGGCAGGTCAGGCCCCAGGGAACCTTCCGCCTGCACTGCAAGGACGTTATCGCTAGGTTGAAGCCGCCGGCCTGCTGCCCGCAAGCAAAGGGACGCAATAGTGAGACAAAGAGGCCCACGAACTGACCGCTTTTCCTGTGGCCTATATTACGATCACCATTTCACAGCAGCTTTCAGGTCCAGTAGGGGGGGGGGGAGGAGGAGGGGTTGATCCATTGGACAACCAACCACCTATACCAGGGTGAGTTGGGTGACCTTTTGGGTTGTTGAGTAGCACGCCGTTTGTTCCTGGCGTTCTTCGGGTGACACCCTGTGAGGTACAGCACCCCCCTTCTCTCCCCACGTACCTCGTGCGGCAATGAACAGCAGGCAGAGCGAAGCTGAAAGACCGCCCGCATGTGGACTTGGGCATTCTCGTGGGGACGCGGCAGATTAACGTGGTTGATCTCGAGCATCCACCACCCTCGCCCCCTCTCCCTCCGCAAAGCGGACAGCTGCTTCCAATATCTCTGTGCAAGCGCCGCCGGTAAGCAGCGCGACACGATAGGAATTCTCCGACGTGGGCTGCCGCCGCATACTTCACTCAGGTCCACGTAGCACGGAAGCCGCCGCCGCCTGCTCCTCGATTCTGCTTTCCGTTTTTCTCTCTGGGAAGCTTTTCATGACATAGTCGCGGGCGATGTCATTGCTCCCAGGATATGACCCCAGAAGCACCCTTGGCAGACCGTTGAGCGCGCCAGCCAGGCTGCTTCGCCGAGGGTTCGGGGTGGGGATGAGATGGCTATTCCCGCCCCTCGATCAGTCAGTCCTCCTGGGTTTCTCTCGGAGACTCATAGTGACTCACTCTGTTGCGGCGTGACTGTCAGATGTTTGCTCGAACGGCTCACAGCGTGGCAGCGAGACACCCATCCACCCCAGGCCCATGTCCAATATGTCCAATATGTCCAACATCGGGGTCCCTTGGGTGGCTCAGCCCTGCGAGGCTACCAAGGTAGCCAAGCTGACAACCGCATTCCTGCCCTCTCCCTCCTTCACCAGCGTGTGGTCGCATTGCATTCTTCGCACCTTTCCAGATCGGGGCATGACGAGAACGTAGCCACGACGCGGCTGAGCTGACCGCGTCATCCGGGAGCACACGTTCAACTGGCCCGCGCGGGTTCGACAACCGGAGGGGGGAAACAAGTCACCCAACCCATCACAGGAATGTGTGGTGTTCGTTGCGGCGTACTTTTGATGCCGTCAGTTTTCTTTTTTGCCCGGTTGGTCAGAACCCCCTTTTTTTATTGTTTTGCTTCTTTTTGCCATTTCCCCCCGGGCTGCCGTCCTATCGGGTCGTGCCTCCCTCTCACCGCACAATAGTATACCGTCATATTGGAACTTGGGGGCGCCGCCCGCCGCTGGCGGACAAGGGAGTTCGTACGCCAAGGGCATGAACGACGTTTGCCTGTCAAAAGCTGTGTGCTCTATATTTGGGTAGGTTGCTCGCACTGGCCCCACTGGATGCGGGATCCGGATCGTCAGGCACCTTAGTTGGCCTGCATGTCAGACGGATAAGTTATCCTCAGGAATGAGTGCTTATTCGCCCGCCGGACGGCACTTCATGCGCACGAGGGGGGGTGGCCGTGTTCGCCCAAACGGGCTACGTCTTAATTGCTGTCCTTTCCTTCTTTCGTCTTCTCACCGCTTTTGCTCGCCCCGGCGTCATCTCGAGGAAGCTTGAACCTGGACGATTTGGGGTGTGATTCCATTCCCGGCCCCTCGTGCAAAGGGTTTCAGCTCGCTGCTTGTGCCAATCAAGGTTACGCCGCCTACGGGCCGATTGGCTGGGGCGGGTTGGACGAGCGTGCTCCTCCTGATTGGGATCTGTTATGTGGTCAGCCACCCAGTGGTCAGACGGCTCCGTGCTCACGTTGTGGCTCGGCCGGCTACGTGGAGTGTCGTGAGGCATCGAGAGACACTGGAATATAGGTGTGGTGCCAGGGAATATGATCCATGGTCCCATATGGGAATCTACAGAATCCGTAGAACGTTACTTTTGGCCGATGAAGTGAATCCCATGTGTTGTTGTTGTTGATGTTGTTGAGACACTGGCTGACATTGTGCAGCTGGCTACAGTCATCCGTAGATTGATGTCCCCATCTCCTAGTCACTAGAGGCATGATTGATCGAGGCAAGCCTAACTGATCGGTATAGTCGACTGATCTTAAGAGGAGCCTCAGTCATACCATAGCGCCATAAGCAGCTGCTGGCCATGCTATCCTAGTCCCTGGATGACAGGTCAGTAAGCCGGCGAGGCGTGAATGAAACATCACCACGTGCGTGATTGATCCCTTGAATGCTACGTGGTGTCGATGTCTCCGTCGAGAGAGCGCTCCTCCTCCTCCTCCTCACTGCGACGATCCTCCTGCTGCAGAATGTGGCGGTCTCCCCGTTGGTTGCGGTGAGCCTGTATCCTGAAAGAAGGCGAGAGAGGGGGGCGGGGGTAGGGAGCAGACGCAGATCAGCATCGAGATGGCGTCGATGCCGTTACAAAGGGATCATTGAGGCCAGAGACGGGGACGGGGACGGGGACGGGGACATGCGTTGTCCGAGGCGGGCTTTGGGTGTCATGCTGACCCCCACGGTGCTTCTTCCTACGGTGGGCTTCTTCGTCTCTCTTGCTGTACCTGAGGAGGGCTGGACTTACCATGGGCTTGTGCCTGGACACACAGTTCTCTCAGCTTTCGCTGCTCCCGGGTGGCGAGGCCCCGGTACTTCGCGTGTAGGTCAGAGCCGAGTTATGTCGGTTCTCTTTCTCCATGGCGTTCTTCAGAATGGGTGTTCAGGATAGAGGGATGCGAGAACCCCGGATGGAGCCAGGTGTGGTGGGAAGAGCATTACCGGCAACGAACATATATCACTGTGTCGAAATGAACATCACGAACAGTTCCAACGGGAAGAAGCGGACAGCTTTGTGTGGTAGGTGTTACTTTATTCTGTTCGCAAGACCAAAAAGTCGCTCGCTAGTCAAAAATATCAATACATCACCACCCACCAACCCAGCTAATCCGGCGTGTGCTTGCTTCGTGTATTGCTCGCTACGGCTTCTTCTCCAGCTTCATGAACGTTGGGATATCATGTCTTGTACAAAATCACGCATTAACGCGTGCCCGTCCCGATCCCGTGTCTTTCCATCCCAAAAGACCCTCGCTGTCCCAACCGACCGACCAACCTACCAACCAACCAGCTTTCCTTCCATCTCTCCTATTTCGAAGAAGCACGCCCGTACAAGACGGCCGGCCATCCGTCTAGCCTGTTGTCTAAATGCACAGAAAGAAAGGATGAACGTAGAAGGAATCTCTCGGCCCAGCTGGCTGTCTCAGAACAGCCCCTGTCCTCCAAGTGAAGGGACCAAAGAAATACCAATGCATTGCCATGCATAACATCCTGTAAACACCTCGCCATGCGGACCCTTATACCGTTGAAACAGACACAAGCAGCCAATAAACATATGAAAAGGAAAAGGGAGACCCGCGTATCGTGAGCGTGTCTTATTTACCACATCGGGCCTTCCGGGAGCAGAGGTTCGCCGAGGCCGATGTTTACCTCCTGAGCCACCAGCCCAAATATCCAGTTCGCCTCCATCGCGCTGCTGCACTGGAAGCACCACTTGGTGACCTTTCCGGACAGGCCACCCGTCTTCGGCGCGAGGCCGACGTTGTTTTCCTCGTCGCGCACCTCCTCCCACACGTTGAGGATGATACCCCGGCTTCCTAGTCGGCTGAAGCACTTGGACCCCAGCACGACGTCCAGCACGATCAAGGGCTTGTCTTTCTCCGGGTTGGATGATCCGAAACCAAACGACTTCTTAGGGATTTTGGTTACGATCACGCGCTTCTCCATGCCGTGCCTGATTCTCAGTTCCTGCCTCATCCCAGGAGGTGGCCGTGTGATTTGTAGGTTGCAGTTGCCGTGATCCTCCCATTTCGAGGACGTGACGAGCAGATGGCAACGGATTCGTAGATTGTCACTGCCCAGGACTTGGGTGCGGCCGCTTGCCTCTGCCAGAGACACTGATGGGGATCGCGGGGTCGTGATACCGTCAGCTGAAGAGGAGCTGCTGGTGTACAGGGAACCTCCTGCCCCACCCATCGCTGAGTTGGGGCGGCTGTAACGGTCGACATATGACTTGTTGATGTTGAAAGAAAGATTGCCGGTGCCGGTCAGGCGCTTGAGCAGGGACGGCGCCGAGATACTGGATGATGTACCCTGAGATTGAGACAAGGACTGAGACGGAGCGCGAGTCGAAGCACGGTAGCTGTTCTTCCTACCAAACAAGCCACGGCGGTTACTGCTGCTTGACTGCGACTCCGGACCTTGCTGGACTGCCTGGGGTTGTCCAAAGGCACGGAACCGGGATTCTTCTTCCAAAGCTCTGTATTTCGCGTTGTTGAGGCGGGCTTTGTGTACAGCCATGTAAAGTTCCGTGCCCTCGTTGGCAGAGGGTGCACGGAAGCGGAAGATCTTGCCGTCGATCTTGGAGAGCTTGCAGTATGGCCTAACCGGTGAGCGAATCTCGAGGTCAAGAATCGTACTCTGGCGTATCATCACAATGGGTGTCAACTCAAGGGCGATCAAAGGCTGCGTGCGAGCAGGATCGGAATCATTTAGCTCAGATGAGCCGGACGAATTGAGAGCTCCTGGGCCAGAGATTGAGTGCACAGCGAGCGGGTAGGCCTCAATCAAGCCCGGGGTGATGTTGATGGAGCACGGCTCATCCAGTGCCTCTGTCCACTGGCCCTTCTTGTTGGACCAGTACGAGATGGTCGCAATAGTCTTGATAATGTACTCGGGATCCTTGGCACCTCCTGGGCCAAGTCGCCCATACAGACCAACTTGAGAGGCCGATTGGGAAGGGGCGATGCTATTGTCAGAGACGACGGTTTCAGCGCCTGTTATATCCGATTCTTGCTTGATACTGATAGCCGGCTGAGTGTCTGGCACGTCGGCCTCATCAAGTTCGTCGCCGGAGGATTCGACTTCCGAAGCCGAGTCGCTCTCAGTCTCCGACGAGTCAGAAGAGACGTCGGATGGGCGGTACTCGTGTTTAAGAGGCGACGAGCCACGGCGCCTGATCTTCGACGCAGGGGGGTTGAGGTCCACTGGCGGACTCAGGGTTGGAGACTTCTCGGAAGAGAAAGTGCGGTGAACCGGAGGTGGAGGGGCCCCGTCTTCACGGAACGGCTTGTTATTCGGGGGCGACTTGGTAAGTTTCCTGGGCTCAGGTCGCATGTCCTCCCGCAGCGGTGTCGTTGGAAGAGAATGGGGCCGAGTGTTCGCAGGAAGAGAATTCCGAGTCGGGGTCCTCTCTGGGGACTCGCTGCCCAGAGGGTTCGATGCCACTGATGTCGGAGTAGTCGGAGTAGTAGGCGAGCTTGCGTGGCGTGAGTGATAGCGGCTCGGTGTTTTGGCCTTTGGCCGATCCCCAGTCTCATTAGATGCCTGCGATGAGGTCAAGCGAGGCTCATGAGACTTGCGCCGTCCGGCCTGCCCCGTGCCTGTTCGCTCTCCCCATGGAACAGAGACATTTGATTTGGGCGACGGGACAGGGGTGACGTCTTCGATCAGAGTGCGGTTTGTGGCCGGTGGCAAGGGGTTTGTGCCTAGTATATCGAGCCAGTCCAAGACCTGGTCTTCGAGATCGGTGGATAGCGTGAACACTTCATACCACTCTTTTCCATTGTGTCTGCCACGGACCATAACAACTAGAGCGCCAGGCTCCCCGCCCCGACGAGCTGAGATCGCGGTCTTTGGGATGGGAGGGAACATGAGGCAGCATCGTGCGTGGCCAAGATCCCGTATAAGGATGTCGCCCCGGTCGAGCGGGTCTTTTGGCTTGTCTCGGTATATCACCTCAACCCGACATTCAAGTCTCTGTCCATGAGAATGGGTGAGATCCAACGAGAAGTAGTCCTTGGCGTTGACTTGCCTGCTTGGATCAATGAGAATGCGGTCCATGACGTTCAATGTTCGCAGGTCGCAGCATCGGCTTGTGTCAGTATTGTTTGCATCCTCGTCCGTCTTGCGAGCAACCTCCTCACGATGGCGTCTGCGTGCCTTTTCCTGGAGGGCTGAGAAGTCATCGATCACCGCTGGTAGATCTGGATGTTGATTCCCGAAAGCTTCCGCGCTCTGTTCAACTGTCAGTTTCCGTCACATCCACGAATGCCACTGCAAGAGTACGTTACCTTGAGGAGCTTCAAGAGGCCCCTGATCCGTGTCACCGGTCTGGTCAGGAGATGTTGAAGATCGACAGGCTGTCCCTTGGTGTCCACGACGTCTCCATCCTCGTTGCGAGGCATAGCATTGACCAGGGAGTCCTCGTCGTCAGCTCTCCCTGGGGCTAGGGCAAGATTCACAACAATCCCCTCAAAGCCAAGACGCCAGACATCCAGGTATTTATCGTATACAGGGTAAGCGGTCAGGAGCCAGCTGAGGATTTTGTTGACATCGTGCTGAGGTGCCCACTTGTGCAGGTTCCTGAGCTTCTCCAGGGCAATACCCATGTTGACCACTGTCTTCCCCACAGAGTCCACCTGTCCATCTGTTGAAGGTCCGAACAGATCGGTGGCGTAGTCTTGCTTTCCATGGACTACTTGATTCAAGAGGACTGGGATAGCTCCATCCACCAGGGTTTTTAACTCCCGCTGATAGAAGTCTTCGTCGACGGCAAACTCTCTCAAGAGGTCGTCCACGGTACCCTTTCCCAGCCTGCTTGTCCGCCTCCGCAGGCTGCTCGTAGATCTGATACTTCTGGCCCGTATCGGAACATCTTCTTCCTCCGGTAGAGATAGGACCGAGACGAGATCAGAGTGCTTCGTGAGACGGCGTTTCAACCCCGAGCCTTTGCTTCTTCGTGAGGCCGCAGTGGACCTAGTAAGTCCTGTCGTCTGCGTTACGGTGGTTTCTGACAGCATCGACATGGTCTCGGACCCGACTGTGCTCGCTGACGCCTCTGAGGCGATAGTTGACAGCTCATGCAACCCACTTGTCGGTGGTGGTTTTCGTCGGGGAACAGCTGGTGTCATGTATGGGCCCTCGGTGTTGCTGCTGACATCTGTGGAAACGTACGATGATTCCGGCGACAAGGAACGCCTCCGGCTTTCCTCAGGATAATGGCGGCTATCATGTCCTGTGTGCTCGTCATTTTCGTCAACCTCATCCATATAGCTGACGTCCGATTCAGTTCCCATGTCCTGATAGCTGGAATAAGCCTTCGTGGGGAGTTTATGTCCGCTGGACTCTCCTCTGAAAAGGTTGTTCAGGGTCTCGCGCAAAGGCCTCTTGACAGGGCTTTGCTTCAAAGGAGAAGAACCACCCCTAGTAGCCTTGCTCCTCTTCAGGCCTGCCGAGGGACTAAAACGTGACTCTGCGGGCTTCTCTGGCACCTCAGTTTGGCTGTCGTCGTCGTCCCTGCTCGGATCCTCGGGAATTGTCTGTTGTGACGGAGGCGTGCCGGCTTCTTTCTTAGGCTGCAACTCCGCAGATGCTTGTCTCCGTGCCGGCTTCTCGACGGGCTTTTCGACCGACGCTGGCTGAGCAGATTTGTCCACGAACGGGTCAACCGTCCCATTGAGCCAGCTTTCGATGCTCGGTGGCTGGTTTGTGACCGGCTTAGGCGGGTCGACCCTCTCATGTACGATCTCCTTGGCCCCTGTCACAATCTTTTTGAACGCCTTGGGCACAGCCTTGAAGCTTGAGGTCCTTTGCGCCTTTGGCCGCCTGATGTGGTGGTGATCTGCCCCTACCGGCAAGTCAAGCTCGCTAAAGGCTGAGTAGCCGAATGGCACTTCTGCGAGAGATTTTGCGGGAGCACTGGATGGCCGATCGGAGTCATCCTGCGACGCTGAATCCTCACTTGTCCAAGACTGATCATCCTCGGACAAGCTCCCAGTCTGTGTGGTGGCTGTTTCGTTCACAGTCAGAGCTGGGCCCGAAGCGCTACGCATCCTTCTGGGTGGTACTCGAGACTTTGACTTCCTCGTAGGAGTAGTCTCAATATCTGTTTCCGGCTCTTCGATAACTTCGATCCTGGCTGACGGCGTTCGGTCCCGTCTTGTGCTAGGAACCCTAGCCCTCTTCTCTCTTGATGCTGTCCTTGAAGAAGCTGACTGAGCAGGCGCACCATCTGATTCAACGGGGCGCACTCTGATCCCGTCATCCGGTAATTGCGCCGCCGTCTTGACGGGCCTGACTCGGATTCCATCGTCGCCGCCAGCTCGGGGACTGGCCGTACGCATTGGCTTGATTCTGATTCCATCGTCTTCTGTCCTACTGCTCTGGGTCTTCGTGGTGCCTGATAGCCCGCTGGCAGCTTCCTCGACTGTGATTGTCTCTCCACACCTGGTGTTGTACTTTTGCGTCGGCCTGGAGGCTTTTGGAATCTCGACCTTGGGAATCTCGGGAGGCTCCGGGGAAGCCGGTAGCTCAACTTTGCTTGCCCAATCCTTGATTTTGTTCTGCTTTTTTGGCGGTACGGCCGTCCTCTGCAGGAAGTCCTTAGGGATCGGGCTCGGGCCCAGGCCCACCGCTGCTCCCGCTTTGTTGCCAGCTGCAGTGGCCTTGGAATTGTTGTTACCGCTATTTCTTTTCATCCAGTGCTCATCGCTAACTATTCTCTTCTTCGGAGGGCCTTTGATGCGAGGATCGTCCGGTATCGCCACCTTGGGTATCGCCTTTTCCTTCGGCTCTGCGGCTGTCTCCTTCCTATTCTCAACCTTCCCAAGAGGAGACGCCTTGGGCGAGGTTGCAGATTTCCGCCGGGGCTTTTGCCGGGATTTGATGCGCACACGATCTTCCTCGGTCACGCTGTCGGCGTCCACATGTACAGCAACCTCGGTCGGCTCGCTGGCAGCCTCGTCGGGGTTTCCTTGCACCATGGCGGTAGCATTGGCCTTCTGCCATGCCTTGACCCGAGCCTGAACCTTACCAGGCTGTTGGACGCGGCGAACGGCATCTTGGCGCATCTGCTGGTGCAACTCGGCCCTCACCGCAGCGGCGTCGAGACTCTTCCGCTTCGAAGCAGCGACACGGGCGGCCGAGGGTCGTCCGAGGAGGAAGTCACCCAGCAGAGTGGGCTCGACAGGTTTCTTGACAGAGGGCTTACGGACTCCCCCAGTACCACCTGCGGCGCCAGTCGCAGCAGGAGCACTCTTCGGGGTCTGGGCGGAGTTTCTGCGGTTTGGGGGAGTGGCGACGCCATTGTTTCCGGATCGTTTGTTGCCTGGGGACGGATTCCTGGCAGCTGAGGCGCGGCGCGGAGTGAAGGGCTGTTTGTCCTTGTCTTTGCTGCCCTCGTCGGCTGACGGTTTCGCAGGGGCCATCTTCTACAGTTGAACTTGTCAGCACCGCCTGGATCCCCCATTGCTTCGCAGTGTATATGTATGCCTTGGGCCGTCAATGTCCCGTTTGGGAGGTCGGCATGCGCGGTGAAGAGAGAGAAGTGGACCGGCTGAGCAGGGCGTTATGACGTTGAGGGTCGGCCCACCGAAATTAATCTAGAAGGGACTCTGAGGGTTGTACGAACCTAGAAGAACCACATGCTGTCATAACGGGGCGGCAGAGCAACGGAGGCCACAACAGTAAAGGGCAGAGTGAAGGGAATTATGGTGACAGCCTTGCATGTGAAGGTCTAGGGAGTCTCTAGACTACCGCGTACTGGTATCAACAAGTGTGTCTTTCTGTCTGTCCCTCTGTCCGTCCGTCTACCACTTCGATGCTCGAAGGGGTAGGGAATGGATCGACAGGCGGAAGAAAGCGTGACAGGGACAGGAGCCGACAAACAAAAAGGATAGGTCGATTGGCTGCTGCGAAGTGGGCACAGCACGTGTGTAACAAAATGATTGTCGAGAATGACAGGCAGAGAGAGACCGGCAGCCAGACAGCCCAGGCCGGGACTTGACAGCGCAGATCGCAGGAACAGCAGATCGAGCGATACTCCAATGAACGAGCGAAGGAGGGAACGAAACGACCTCGCACTCTGTCCTCGGCTCACGGCAAGCGAATAGATGCCATCCGACACGGTGCGACGGACTCGAGGAGTATGTACAAGTGCGAGTGCGAGGGTGTGGACGCATGTTGGAGGAGAAGCCTGGACGGGGCGATCCAAGCCAGACGGGCCCGAACCTGGCACAGGGCAGCTGCAGCTGCAGCAACCTGAAAATGGAGGCTAGGCAGGCCGCTGGCAGGGCAGCGTCCCCAAAACAACAACTCCAGAGGGAGCTTTGGCCAATGACGAGGCGCGGTGCAGGCTGCAGACGGCAGCAAAATAAACAAATGGAGCCCGGGTGGCCCCTGCCAATCCCTACAGTAGCTCCATCAAAAGATCCGATTCTGGGCCCCGCCGGCCAGAGCTGGGCTTCCACACATGCCAAAGTTGGCCCCAGCTCCACTACCAGCCTCTATTTTATCCAGGCCAAGTTGCAGCAGCCCTGCGCGGCATGCCCAGCTAGGCCAGGGCATAACCCTGCTTGCACTTCTGGCGATGATCCCAAGCTTATCACCTAGCCCAAAGCTTGCTTGACATGGGAGATTCTATCAAGATATCAATCTTGGAACCTTCCGAATAGTCGAGTCCTCCATCCTGACGGCCAGTCTGCCATGCTGATGTGATGCTCTGCCATCCTGTTGTTGTGCACAGTAATACGAGATGAGCTGTCATATCCTCTCTCCCCTCATTCATCATCCCTCCCCCATCCTTCTCTTCTCTGCTTCCAACTCCTTCCCTCCCCTCTCCTCCCGGCAGTCCGAGGACGAGTGCATCTGTGGTTTCACAGCGCGCGCGGGATGCGATGCGACTACCCGTCGCAGGCTTTTCCATGTTCCAATGAGGCCAGCTCAGTCCGTTCTCAACAGCTGACATCCTATGGGTGCTACGCTGCCTTGGTATGCGAATGTTGTTGGGTTATGCATGCATCCATTTGTCTGGTACGGCGAAAGCATAAAGCCCGGACAACCGCCCTCGACCTTGGACAAGCCATCCTCGTCGCCCACAACCAGCCAGCCTCTCCACTTTGCCGCTATAATGTTTCGAACCTGGCAATACCATACCGTATTGTCGTCGCGTTCTGCCAACTTCGTTGTCCGTCCGCCCACCCTCATGACAATAGCAAAACCTGGAATATCCTGCCCAGGCCACCATTGCGAGCGCCTCCTGCAGAGGATAAGCCCATTCATTTATCGTCAGTCAGCATTAGCACGTCTTGGCAAAAGAGCGGCTGAGCCGTCTGCACCCTTTCCTGACCGGTCACGCCCCAATGGCTTTTGACTATGTAGGACCACGCATTGCACTGCGTAAGCACCTCCAAGGCCGGACAATGATTTGCGATGGCGCTTGTCGGGGCACCATCGCTTCCATGGCTGAAATTTGTACAATAGTGCTCTCAGAGGCCCCTCCCCCTCGACCTTCCTATCGAGGCCCGCCTGTGCATGCAAATAGTCGCGGGCCGCATAAGGGAGCACTGGCAAGACAGCTCGCGGTCATCTCTAACCACCCTGCTTCCTAGCTTTCCGATGCTTGCTGGTCGTCCATGTTTCAGAACTTACATTAAAGGAATTGTCCTGGCTCATGTTGGGACAACGACTCCCCTTATATAACCACGGCAAGTAGAGATAAGATAAGCGTGGCAGAAGATCAAGTGGGGCGTGACGACCGGTGACAGGACCCATACGCAGGTCCTGCTGTGCCTATGTATGCTTAAATGATTAGGCGTCCCAACCCTTGTGGTCCAGCCTCAAGATCAGCCTCTTTTTCCTTTGCCCTTTTGGCAAACAAGTACTGGAATGACTCCAGTCGATATATCAGCCCCACAAGATTTTCTTGGTAATGGTCTGATCTAACGAGCACCACGACCGACAAACATTTAAAGGGGCAAGACAAGCTTTTCTACTATTGTACAGTACACCTGGGCAATTCCACTTGCAAACATTTATCCGCGGGCGTTATGGGCTGCTACCAATGAAAAAGAATTGAGTTGTTCAAGAGGGCAACATTGTTCAACCCCAATAAATAACATTTCCGCTTCCGCACAGGCGTTGAAGGGGATCTCAACTCGTCTCATTTAGACATGAAAAGAGACGACGCTCAATGACGGGAACAAGTCCAACAATCCATCGAGTATAATACCTCGGCGGTAACGATTATAGGAAGAAGTTGTTTCAGACCTCACGATGCTCGTTCAATCAGGAGAATGCGTACTTGATGGTATCAGCCTGCCACTTTCGAGGCCACAATGCACCTCTCAGGTGTCCTCCAGGGAAAATGTCAAAGGATCGACTGTTCAGCTTCTAGAGTAGGTAAATACGATCCATAAATGTGCCGAGCCTGCAATACTGAGCGCTTCTGTCCATCCTGCTGGACAGCAGTTCTAGGAGCACAGGGAGCATCCTATAAGCACGACGGCATCGCTCTCCCAAATAAACACTCGAACTGGCCATATATAGTGCCAAAGGTATTAAAAGGTCGCATGACTATTGACTCGCAGTGAACGGGCCCCTTCCATCTACAGACGCATTGCGCGGCCCCATCCACTTGTATCTCCTCGATCAACGCTCGGGCTCCATCTTTCGGAATACACAGTTCCGCAGTCTACCAAACGGGCAGACGGGCTGGGTAAATGCTCTTCCCCACATAGTGGCAGCCCTCAAAATAGGGCCGCATCGCCCCAGGGCGGAAATTGCAAGTGGGAATGATCTCCCCTTTACGCGTATACACAAGCAGATATCGACTACGGGGTAGAATGGCTCCGGGGGCGGAAGCATCTAGGCTCGAAAAGCCCATGCTGATATATAAGTGAGGCCCCTCGCCGGCTTCAACGGCGATGGGAATCATGTTGTAGCACAGCGCCACGCACACACGCTCTCTCTCTCTCTCTCTCTCTCTCTCTCTCTCTCTACTTGTTCATTCATTCTTTCGAGTCTGGTCTGGAGACATTCACGACCATGGCAGCCACTCTTTCACCATTAGCTCTTCTGGTGCTCGGCGCCGCCACCGCCGCCTCCGCCGCAAACTCGACCGCCTGCAACGCCGATACCTTCGCGGCCCTCACGCTGGGCAACATCAACATCCTCTCCCTCGATGTCACCCCCTTCCGGAACCAGTCCCTGACCGAGGGCTCATCCGGGAGCACCGGCGTCGGGGTGGGGATCATCTCCGCCTCTACCGGCGAGGCCGTCTCGGCCGTGGACCTGTGCAAGATCTCGATCCAGTACACCCACCCGGGGCAGGGCGACAACGTCAACACCTGGGTCGGCCTGCCCCTCGACCCGACGGCGTGGAACTCGCGCTTCATGATGACGGGCGGCGGCGGCTGGACGGCCGGCAGCGACAGCTCGATCCTCGCGCCCGTCGCGTCGGGCTACACGAGCTCGTCCACCGACGGCGGCCACAATGCCACCACGACACAGGCGCAGTGGGGCCTCGTGAGCGAGGGCAACACCAACTGGCCCGCCCTCAATGACTTTGCGTCCGTGGCCCTCGACGAGGCGGCCAAGCTGGGCAAGGCCGCGACGAAGCTGTATTACGGGAAGGACCCCGTCTACTCGTACTGGAACGGCTGCTCCACCGGTGGCCGGCAGGGACATATGATGGCTCAACGGTTCCCCGAGCACTTTGACGGCATCCTGGCGTCGTGCTCGGCCTTCAACTGGCCGGAGCTCCAGGCGGCTTCGGGCTACGCGAGTTTCTTGGCCCAGTTGCTAGGTAAGTTAATCATCACTCCGTGGTCATCGATCTGGCACAGCAGATAGACATGAGCAATCACTGACCCGAGACTACTTAGATGTTGTGCCTCCCCAGTGCGTCCTCGACGCCTTCTCCGACGCCGCTCTCGACGCCTGCGACGAGCTAGACGGCGTCAAGGACAGCATCATCGCCCTCCCGGGCTCGTGCACCTTCAACGCCTCAGACATAGTCGGCCAGGACGTGGCCTGCACCAACCCGAACGGCACCGTCACCATCACGGATAAGATGGCGCAGTTCGTACAGGGCTTCTGGGACGGTCCCCGCACGGGGGCGGGCGACTTCGTCTGGTACGGCTTCGGGCACGAGGGCCCCTTCACGAGCGTGTTCCAGCCCAACTGCACGACGGTCGACGACTGCACCTACACGCCCTTCTCCGCCGCCGACGACTGGTACGGCGCGTTCCTGGAGCGCAATTCGACGTGGAAGCTCTCGACGGCCGGGCTGACGCAGGAGCGCTTCGACCGGCTGAACCGCATGGCCGTCGACCAGTACACGTCCGCCATCGGCACCAACAACGTCGACCTCACGGACCTCAAGGCCCGCGGCACAAAGGTCATCACCTGGCACGGGACCCACGACGGCCTCATCCCTTACAACGGCACCGTCGACTACTATGACCGCGTCATGGCCTGGGACCCGGATGTCCAGGACTACTACCGCTTCTTCCTCGCTCCTGGAGTCGGCCACTGCCGCGGCGGGCCCGGGTTTGACCCCAACAGCGAGGTCCTGAACGCGCTGATCAACTGGGTCGAGAACGGCACCGCTCCTGAGTTCCTGCCCGGCACTGGGCCGGCGACCAAGAACGCCACCGACACCAGGACGGTCAACCTGTGCTTGTACCCCAAGGTGCTGACCTTTGTCGGCACTGACCCGGATGATGCTGCCTCGTTCGAGTGTGTCTAGGTAGCGCACATCGCGCAATTCTTGTAGATTATATTTCTTAGCTTTCCTCTGATGGAAGGCCCTGGGCATAGGCATATGTGAGAATTTGTTTTTCACAACCAAATTGTACGGTCTGGTTCCATCAGTGAATCAATGCAAATGATGAATTGAAGGAAATATACCTTGAAGAATTCAAGGTCCTTTAACTCCACCACCTCTTTTACTATCTAGCTTCAAGAAGCTATAAATTCGACATGATCTGATTAGTTTGTGGCAGGGCAAAAAGGATGCCGGAAAAAGGGAGAAGACTGCACGGCCAGATTGCAACCGCATGGAATAACACCGACCCCAGGCTGCTGTGCGAGTACCCCAGCACATTGCTTGGACGCACTCACAAGCGAGATAGCGAGGAGGCAAAATTAATCTACCAGTGGCAAAAATCATTGTATCTTGAAGTGTTGAAAATGCGTGTGTAACGTAGGGCCAACGCATGATTTCAAAAAGAAGTTCAGTTTGTTAATAAGAAATCAAATCACGTCACAGGACTACATCAATATTATTATTCGCTCTTCATCCTCTTTTGCCCTTCTCTTCTGCTCTTTGCAAATAGAGTGCAGCGCGCATAGTCACAGGTGAACACATGACCTGTACCGATGGTTCTGGCACCTAGATGCGTCCTGTCTAAATAGCGTCTATATTAGCTGCAACTCCTGGCATAGAGCTTATGGGTGTTCATCGACCCAGGTGAACAACATTCTACCAAGAGGCTCGCATCAGCAACTCTTGTGCATGTATCGACATGGGCGACCCGGGTGAGCGTGGCTCAGGCATTTCGGGCTCAAATCTCCACGGGACGGAGATTCTGGCACTGGGTCTGTGCTCTACCTCGTTTATCAGACGTTTGAAGCATCGTACAAGTTATGGCCGTGAGCTTCCAATCTTGCCTTTCTCCATTTCACACTTTGAAATTAATTGTCTTGTCGCCTGTAGTTTCGGACGACATCCCTCATCATCTGAACTTTGATCGTCTTCAGGTCTCCTAGAGAAATGTCTACGACAGCAACTTTCAACAGGACAGATGGGGCTACAATTCATCCGAAGATGGACATCCATCAGACCGGCGACTTGTTACCTTTTGAAGCCAGCGGCTGGGATTCAGCCCCGTTACAGTCTCGCAGGAAGGTCCCCGCCCCAATGCCTCTGGAAATACGAAGCGCCAAAACTACCAGACCTCCACTCTCGCTGACCACTGGCCCAATCGATAATACACGCTCGCCACAATATGAAAGCCCCTATGAAAGACTACCACATTCAGCTTATACATACGACACGTTTTCATCCAGATCTCCAAAGTTTCTCAGAGATGCTGAGAGGCGAAACGGCACATGGGCCGTCCCACAACGAGCGAATGTTCTGCCAGCCATCCTCCGCGACGATAACCCGCGCTGCAACGTCCTCTATGTTAGCAACCTACCCATGGAGACCTCCGAGGACGAGCTAGAGAGCATATCCTCCTCGCAGCCCGGCTACAGACGAATGAGCCTGCGTGCGAGGGCAAACGGGCCCTCGTGCTTTGTCGAGTTCGACGACGTCACAAGCGCGGCGAAGGCGCTCCGGAATTTGTATGGGTGGCCGCTCAAGAACAGCAAGATGGGTGGCATCCATCTCAGCTTTTCCAAAGAACCCCTTGGGATCCAGCCTCTTCAGGTCTCTGCTCCCCGGGCCCCGAGGCGTGCCCCGCCGCCGCCGCCGCCGCCGCTGATCTTGCCCGGCCGATCTTCTTCCCACTCGGCAAGCAGGTTTGCATCGACCGGGTCTGCTCCCATGATTGCCGCGCCTGAGCCCCCGAGACCTGATATTGAGATCGAGTCCGTCAGCAGTCCGAGTATTGCAGAGTCGGCCCCAATACTACGAGAAGACAAGTCGGATAAAGAGAACCCTCATGCAGAAGAAGAGACAGAGCTCCGTAGTCATAGTCAGGGTGATCAGGATCATGCTCTTGATGATCTGGCCATGTCCATTGTCAGAGGACCGGACTATAAAACTGAACCCTTTGATGAGATCCGACTTTGGCTAGAGAGAGCACTTGAGATGGAGCTTGATTGGTATCCTTTGCCTCCAATCAAGCAACCCGTGAGGCTTTCGCAATCCCGGCTGGTATGGACGGTGAGTATATTGCAAATCCATTCATTGCAGTGAACAGAAAAGCCCGCAACTGACTTCGATACAGTATAACGGATAGCCAATGTCGGTCTACCTTAACGAAGACGAAACACAGCGATGCAGTGGGTATCTCGAAGACGTCCACGGAAGACCTAGGGCCAACAAGCCTATGCTTCGTTCAGGGAATCCGGCCATTGTTTATGCCAGAAAAGCTAGCTCATTTGCCGCAGCTTGGGCTCGGATTCTGGCCTTGTCTTGGCAAAGTCCGGGAAGTCTCAGAAATAGTCGGTCGCATAACACTCCCGATGACAGTGACACAGCACGGCGGTTGGAAAGCCATCTGTGCATCGAGAAACACCCATCATCAAAGCACGATACCGAGCTTTTGACCCTTAGATTCCTGGAGCGCATGCAGGATGACTCCGAGCTATTTGTCCAGGCTCGACGCATCCTAGGCGAAGCACAGGGAAGTTGGATACGCCAGTTGTTACCATGGTCTTACCATCGAGACGTGTTGGCCAGAGTATGTCTCGAGACCACACATCCGGATCGGCGTTCAGAAATACTGACTACAGCATAGTTCCGTTTCCCATCCAGTAACAGTGGCAAAGTGGAAGAAACAGACATAAGCAGCCTGCCAGACCTCCGAGATTTCTGTGGTGGATACGAGTACAAGTGCCCAGAGGGCGCAGCAATAGATATCCACATGCGTGTATACGCCCACATACTGTTGGAGGGGTTTCGATATCCCGAAATCGGTCGCGGTTCCAGGACTTTACTTGATGGTATTCCGAAACTGAGGACACCTGTCGGCGTCGAGAAGGAAGCGCTGAATTAGTACGGTTGGGGTTTTCATGTCAGCCAAATCCTATCTATACCCAAGATCCTGAGCTGGGTTGTCGTTATAATGGTCCTAGGTTCAATATTTGTGCCGCTCTTTGCGCCACTCTCTCTTTTTACAACTTTCTTTATACTGTTCATATTGCGGCTGGGAGCCCATACAGAATTAAGGTGATAGATAGACTATTAGAAAATGGACTGACCTCAATAGTACTGTCATTTGGAGCTTGTAACCGATTACAGGGCATTTTGAGGTGTTCGAATCGAGATTGTATTCTTGCTTCTACGTCTTGCATGCAAAGCTTGATCTCGGAGCACTATGGACAATAGAATGCGCCGCCCATGGAATTTCGCCAGAGGAAATGTAGAAGCTGCGCACCTGAACAAACTCAGAACTTAGTCGATCATTTCCTGGTGCTGTTCCATGCCGCAAATACCGTGACATCTTGAATAAAGCAAACATCTGAGTCACAGAAAGCATTCAAGACATGTCCACTTATATACAGACGCTCAATGATCGCTTTTACCAACCCGAGTGTTCTCGTTTCCTCCCCAGCAGCAGTTGTCCCCGTGGACCGGGCAACTGGTGCGTGGGCCTTCATGACCACACCCTCCGCCGTAGTGGTGTTGAGGTCTATCCGGGTCCCTAGACCTATCATAGGGGTTCACGCCGCTGAGATTGGTCGCCATGGTGTTCGCTTGATACCATCCAGGCTTACGGCGGTGCTTCTTCCCTTTGCCGCCCTCGCCGTCCGCTGTGCCTGGAGTAGAAGGGGAAACCGCTTCTTCACCTGGTGGTCTTGAGAAAGAGCCTGGCTTCCTACGAGGTGTCAATAAGACTGCTAGTCGCTATGCAAATGGCAGCCAGAGAGTTAGTAACGGCGCCTAAGAATCAAGCTTGACATGATTTGGTGTGACTTACACCGAAGCACATTTTCCGCTAAAACTAGTCCTCAGCCGCTGTGTTTAGCAATTTTCAACCTGCTAGATGGTCAACGTAGTGGCGAGGGAGAGCAGTGTTAATGTTATGGTTTCGTTCTAAGCTGTTGATTAATCGAACTTCATAGAGTAACACGGCCATCTTAAAATATTAACATGCACATCTCATGCGGTGACGTAGGAAAGTGCACTATGTGTGCCGTCGTCATCTCCGCTACGAAACAGGTAAAGCCTACAGGTCGCTTACCACGGACGGAAGGTAAAAGCTGACACCTTTCAGCAGCTTGATTGGTTCCAAAGCGCCGGTGCAACCCATCAATTCACCATTCAGAATTGGCGTATGAGAAAACAAAACCTGATTTCCAGCAAATTCCAGATTCTGACAGCTTCGTGCTTGACACTGCCGGCCGTAGGACGCAGCTGCACTCGTCAAGGTAAGTTTCTCGGATTTTCTTCGTCTTTCCGGATTCTTCGTTCGGATAACTTACTTAAGTCTTCTTGGGATAGACTCCTCGAGTCCTCTGGGTCTGGAATTCTTGAGATAGCTCCGTCCAGGATAGCCTCCGTCGGAGCCTATAGACAACGTCGTAGACCGACATCCCATGTCCCGTTGCACTAACACGGGGAACACGCCCTACGCTCAACGATTACAAAAGCTCGCTCATAGAATAGCACAAGACATCTATTACTAGCTAGAATGATAGGAAAGGCAAACAAGGACGTGCTATACGAAACTCACTAATACCTACCCATACAGTCATTCGCTTGGCGAATGACTGTAGTGCCAGAACTGCCAAGCATATAGGCACTCTACTGGACTAAGAATGAAGTCAGTCACTGAGACAATTTGGAAAACAGTGGGCAGGTACATCACAAGAGCAAAACAGCTTTGGTTTGCATCACGACATCGCACTACTTTGTAGAAGTTGAATGCGGTGCACAGAAAACGGAGATGAGAATACATTAGGCCGCTACCCCACCTTCAGCTGAAGCTAAATGACCCAGTAAAAAAGGCTGGTAGTCTCAACTGCACAATAATTACCTTTTCCGCCAGCTTCAGAACCTGCTTGGTTGAGGGAAGGACGGCGATTGCGTTCGGCAAGTCTCCGGCCATACCAAACGTCTCAAAAGTAAAGCATTTACGACGCTAGACCCACTATGGAGACTTGAAGGATACATCAGTGACATCATCCTGCCTCGATGTTTACCAATGGTCCCATCGTTCACGAGCCAGCTGCTCAAGAGAATTTCTTTGATACAATTCATCCAAGTACTTGCCGAATTCCCCAGAAATATCAATAATCTCTGGTATCATGGCATAATCCAGCTAACGATTCTGGCTTCCGGGATGTTACAGGTTCCACTTGGCGAATTGCCGTGCGGTCATAATGGCATTGCGGCTCTTTCTTCCGCTCATCTTATTCTTGGCCAATCCTGGTATGTGGCCCATTAGGTCTGAGGTGTCGATGTCCCCTTCGTTGAGAGCCTGAAGGCGACGTATGAAACTACCCTGGATCTATATTTCCAATTTTGGAAGGGATTAAGCCGACTCGTCACATTTTCACTCAATTGCGTCTATCCTCGGCGCCGTGGATTTTCGGGGGCTCCGCAAATTGTCGGAAAGTCAATTTCCCGATTACTCAGGTTGCACACCCTGAACTGCATCTGGAATGCCGTCGACTTGTGAGGCGGTGTAACGGCGCCGTCGATGGAACCAGTTATTATACAGCACCCTGCATGTTGGTAGGTCTCTTGTACGTATGATAATCATATGGGAAGCAATCATGTATTAGTGTTATTCTATCTAAGTTCTGAGAGGCTATGTGTCCCGGAGGGGATAACTAAAGTAGCCTTTTAAGTAATAAGAATTATACTTATTAATACTTATAGTTTTTCTTTTCTTTTAATAAGTATATATAATTCTTATTATAATTAGCCTTAAAATTATAATTTATTATATATTAAGTATATATAACCTTTATTATAAAAAAGCATTATTAAAAAGGCTTAAAATTATAACTTATAAGTTTTAAAATAAGTCTTAGCAACCCTTATTATTATATTATTTTTTAAACTTATAACCTTTATTATTATATTATTTTTTAATATTATACTTATTATTCTTAATACTTAGCTTTTAAGGTTATTTCTTTATAAAAATTATTAACTTTTATATAAGGGCCTTAATTTTAAATCTCTTCTTTATAAGAGAAGTTAATACTTATAAAGTTAATGCTAAACCTTTTAGCTTATATTTATTTTTATTATATACCTTTATAATATAAATATTATTATTTTTATTCTTACTTTTATTATTAAAACGCACTTAATATTGCTTTAAATTATTTTCCTTTAGCTACTTTTTATTTTCTTAAAACTAAGCATTGCAAGTAGCTTAATTATTTATTAAATTTTTCTCTTGCTTTTTATTATTTTTTTTAATCTTTTTAATAATTATCTTTTGCTTAAGTTGCTTAAGTAATAATGCATATTTCTTAATAAGTTCCTTTATATATAAGCTTTATATGCATTTATTAATAATTTAATATAAAAAGTTTTAAAGTTAAGTTAGCATAGCAATTTAATCCTTTAATAACTAAATCTTTTTAATTTAATATATATAAAAAATACTTAAAATTAAAACTCTTATTAAGTTATTTATTATAAAGATTATAATAATTTAATATTTAAGATAATAATTACCTTAGTAATTTTTATTATTAAGAATGCTATATAATCTTATATTAAGAGTTTTAATGCTTTTAATATAAATATATAGTTTTTTAATTATATTATTAAAAAATATTTACTTATTTTAATATTAAAAGTTATTAATAATTTAAATAATAGCTATTATAATAACATTATTTAAGAAAAGTGTTTTAGCTTAAATTATAGCTATAGCCTTTAGTTTATTAATTTTAATAATTTTATGGAAGTTAACCTTAATAAGCAGCTTACTCTTTTTAATGCTTAGCATAAAAATAAAGTTAAAGGCAATCTTTGCAATCTTTATTAAAGTTTTATTAACTTAATTTTAATTATTTTTATTATTAGCAATAATTAAATTACTATTAGTATTAAGTGGATAAGAATTATTATTATTAATATCCTTATTAATATTTATTAAATAAGCATTATTAATAATAACCTTGCTATAAGAATTAGCAAAATCAATAAGCTTATCTTTATCTTTATTAATTAAGGTAATTTTAACTCTTCTTATAACCTTAATAATAATTTTAATCTTTATCTTATTGCTTAATAAGAATATAATTGCAATATTTATTTTATTAGTTAAAGTTATAATTGCAATATTTATTTTATTAATTAAGGTTATAATTATAAAGCTTATTTTATTAATTAGGGTTATAATTGCAAAGCTTATTTTATTAATTAAGGTTGTAATTATAATATTTGCAAGGAAATCTTAATTTTAATTAAGAATTATAATAAGGCTACCTTTAATGCTAGCTATATTAACGGCAGCTATAATAATGATTATATTAAGTATATTTTTAATGCGAAAAGCAAATGCAATATTCGCTAAATAATTTTACTTATCATTATTATTCTTATAAAGCATATTAATAAAAGTATTAAATAACTTTTATAAGTTATTATTAATGTTTTTTATTATAATAAAAAGGAAAAAGATTTTATAGGAATTTAGTAATTAAAATAAATATTTATAATATAAAACTTTATAATTATTATATAATAATTATTAATTTATTCTTTAATTATAAGAAAAGTTAATAAGTTGCAAATAAATTTAATAAAAGTTAGTTTTAATATTATTGCTAATAAATAGCAGCAAAAGGTAATAATAATAATAAAATTAACTTTAAAATAATAATTATTAATAATATTAATAATTATAAGGTTATCCTTATATATAATAAGGTATTAAGAAGGTCTTAGTTAAAATATAAAAGGTTAAAGTTTATATTAAGGGTTTAAGTTTAAAAGGTATAAAGTTTTATAGCTAGTAATGGCAAGGTTAAAAGGAAAAGGGTATTAATAGCAAGTTGTTTCTTCCTTAGCAGGAAGGGGCTACTTTAAGTTTTTTAATTAATTTATTTACCTATATATAAAGCTTATTATTATTAATAAGCTTTTATAATGTAGTATTTAAAGTTAGTTTTATTATTATATTAGCAGGGTTATCTTTCCTATTTATTTACCTTACTTTAATAATCTTTTTTATCTTATATAATTTTTATAATAATATAATATTAATTATAAGGTGCTTTTTCTTTATTATTCTTAGCTTTATAAGGTATTTATATAAGCTATATAAATTTATATAAATAATTAAAAGTATATTTAATAATAAAAGTTATTTTATAGCTATCTTAATTATTATAGCTAAAGAAATTTTAATATTTACTTTATTTATTATGCTATAAATTTTGCTTATTAATATGCTTTAAATAATATATTTATACTTTATTAATAATTAATAAAGAATATTACTTATTATTATAAATACCTTAGTTTTCTTATAAGTTTTATTTATAAGAATAATAATATATTTAAGTTAAAATATTAAGTTTTAATTATTTATAAATAATTTATTTATAAATATAAAAAGTTTCGCTATTTTAAGATTTAAAGGTATATACTTAATTCCTTGCATAGCGTTATTTATTTGCTATAATAATTATATATTTAAGCTTTTATAATTTTTTGCCTTTAGGTTTTATATTTATATAGCTATTAAAAGATTATATAAAGCTTTTAATTAATAAATTAAAGCTATATATGCTTTGCAAGCTCTTTATTTAAGGTATTTTTAAGGAGCGTCTTTAATTATTATATTAATAAGGGTAAGTTTATTAGCTTATTCCTTTTATTAAGTAATAATTAAGCTGGTAGTATTTATAATTATATAAGCCTTATTATAATTTATTAAGTTTTTAAGCATTAGTTTTTATTTTAATTTTCTTTATAGTTTTATAATCTTTATCTTAATTTTCTTTTTATCTTAAAATTTTAGTATAAATAAAATTAATATATTATTTATTTATATACTTATTATCTTAAAGAGTTATGCAAGCTTTATAATTATTAAGCAAGGATTATATATAAAGTAATTTATCTTAAGCTTTTATTAATAATATTTTTAATATATATTAAATTAATAAATGCTGGATTTTGCTATGCTATATAAGAGTTAAATAATATAAATAATTATGCTTAAAGAGTATTTATTCTTTAATTCCTTTAATAGCTTTATAAAGATTATCTTATATAATTTTAACTTTATTTAAAGGTAAGCTTAAGTAATATTTTAAAGTATAAAAATCATGCCTTTTTCTTAAATTAATAAAAGGGTAAATGCAAGAATTATTTATTAGCTTATTCTTTAAATAATTAAGCTTTATATTAAAATTAATTTCTTTTTATTATTATTATAACCTTAAATAATAAATTAAGATTTCTTATAAGGTTTTATAATTTTACTTTTTACCTTTTATATTATATAAAATTTAAAGAAATAATATTTATTATATTGCTTTGCTAACTATTTCTTAGTTTAAAAAACACCTTTAATAATAAAATTATTAATTTCTATTTTATTAAACTCTTTAAATAATAAGCTTAATATTATAATAACTTTATTTTATTTTAGTTTAATTGCTAAGTTATAGTTTTTATTTTCTTTTTTTAAGATATATAATATAATAATATAGTTTTTTATTTTTAATAATGATAATTATATAATAAGTTATATTTAAGGTTTTATGGTTAAGTTTTTTATTTATAAGGGTTGCATTTCTTTATTATTATCTTAATAATATAATTAAATAATTATTAACTTAAATATTATGGCTTTATTTAGCATATTTAAGGTTATATTATGGCTATTTATGATAATAACCTTATATAAACCCTTTTATTCCTTTCTTTCTTTCTATATATAAACTTTGCATTATAGTAAATATTTTATATTGGAGATAGGTTTAACCTTAATATTTAATATATTTTATACTTATTATTTAGCTATAGTTTTTTATAGCATCTTTATAGCCTTTAAAATAGTTTTTACTTACTTTTATATTAATAGTAATAATGGTAATTTATATAATATTTATAAGTAGGCATTAAAGATTAAAAGCATAAAAATTAATTTATTTAGTTTAATAATATTATTAATAGCTTTTATAGCTATTTATAAAATAGCATTATTATTTATACTATTATATAGTTTAGTGTATAGGATTTTATATGCTTATTTAAGGGCTTAATGATATTTTTTAACTTTCTTAATAAATTAATATATCTTTATGGGGACTTATTTATATTTAATTTCTATTATTTATGCCTTTAAATAAAATTCTAAGGATGCAAAGTTTATTCCTATATTATGTTTAATGATATTTAATAATTCTTAATATATATTAATTTAAAGCATTTATAATATTTGCTATATAATCTTTATAAATATAAATTTTAAGAATTTCGCTCCTTAAAAAGCAATAGCTTAATTTATAACGTAAAGAATTAAATATTTGCTTAAATATATTATATTAATTAAGATTTTATAGTTAAATTTATAATTATTATATAACGTAAACTTAAAATACCTAAGCATGGGTTTGCTTATTTAATAATGATAATATATCTTTTTAATCTTTATTATTATTTATTTATTAATATTTAAATTACTGGCTTTTTTAAGTATTTAGTATAATTAATTTATTAATAGGTATTTAAAGCAATAATAAAGTTTCTTTATTTTTATCTTTAAAAAGAAATATATAGTATTAATAGTTTAATTTAAAAAAAACTATAAATAACCTTATTTTCTAAGTATTAATATAATAATTATATTATTAAAGGAAATTATTTTATTTATAATATTATTATAATATATTTAAAGCTTATTTATATTTATTAGGTAAAGTAAGAATGGGGTTTATGTTTAAATAATATGGAAGTTAATATAATTAATTGGGGTGGAAATTTTCATTATGTTAAGTAAATTAATAATTATCCCATTATTAAATTTAACTTTAGCTTTTCTTATAATGGTTATATTAATTTAATATTTTAGGTTTTTTTATTGCAATATAAGAAATTGCTTATATTTAGTTATAAATATTAATAATACTTTTATATTTAGTAGGATTCCTTAAAAATAAATTTAATTATATTTATTCTTTAAGATAAATTAATTAGCTATAATAATTATTTTTATTTAAAAGATATTATTTCCCATAATTTAATATATAAACGCTTTATTGGCTAGGAAATTAATATTTATATAATAAACCTCTTTATTAAATCCTATCTTTATAATATAAATATTGCCGTTATAATTATTATTTTAATTTTATTTATCTTTATATTTATAAAATTTATCTTTATTATTTATTTTATATTTTTTAAATTTATTTAAAAAAGTATTAAAGTTATTATTATAACCTTTATATTTATATTATATTAAATAGCTTTTTCTTATTAAATATTATTTATTAGCTAAATGTTTAATTAATTAATATTTCTTCTTTTTATAAATATAATATCTTTTCTTTTAAGGTTATTTTTTTCTTTCTTTATAAGCATTATTACTTTAAGCTTTATAGCTAATATTATAGGATCTTAGCTGCCTAAAGCTTAAATAGCTTAAGTTTAGTTAGCTAAACCTTTAATTTCCTTAAAATGCTTAAAATTATAATTATTATTTTCCTTTTAATTTTTAGCCATTATATTTATAATTAATATAATATTAATTTAAGACTTTATTTATAATATAAATTATAATTATATAGCTAAGCTATATTTTTACTATAAATTTTAAGTTTAAAAATAACTCTTTATATAATTAAGCTAATTTAAAAAGAGCTATTTTTAGCTTAAGAACTCCTTTATAAGCTTTAATTATTATTATTCTTAAATTATCCTTTTTAATATAATTTTAACTTAATATTTATTAATAAAGTTATAGCTTATTAAGCATTAAATATAAAATCTTATATAGGTTTTTATTTAAGTTTTATATTCTTATTTTTGCAAATATTATTATTATTTAATTTATATAATAATGCTAATAATTAAGGTTTATATTAAAATGTATTTTAATTTTAAGGTATGTTATTATAAATATATTAGTTTAATTTATAAAATAAAGGTAATAAGCCTTAGCTTAATTTTTAAGCATTTAAGGAAAAACTATATAAAATTAATTTAATTAAATTTTAGCATAATAATAAATATTAAAAAATATCTTTATCTTATTATTTAATAAATTATATAAGTCCTTAATATACTTATAAAAGTTATTAAAGGTTTTTATAAATTATATTAACTTTATTAAATTTAAGTATTTATTAAAAATATATTATAAAAAAAGAGTTTTATATGGGTTATACTTTTTATTTAGCAAAGATATTCTTAAAATAGCTTAAGGTTATGCTAAGTATAATATATATCTTTAATATAAGCTTTATCTTTATCTTTTTGCTAATAATAATGAGCCTTGCTAGCTATATTAATTTTTAATAAATTATATTATTAAGTTTAAGTTTTATAATTGCATGCTTAAAGCTAATAATAATAATAAATATTGCCTTAAGGATTATCCTTTTAATAATTATTATTATTTAAAGCTTGCCTATAATGCTTATAAGGGCTATATTTATAATTACTATTTTTAAAGTTATATATAATATTTATTTATGCTTAATTTTGGGGTTAATAAGGCATTATAAAGCTTATTATTAATTTATTTTAATCTTTCCTTAGCTTAAATTATAATAATTAATTATAATACTATAAGTTAATTATTATATTTTATATAAATGCTTTGCATTTAAAAAAAGACTTTTAAGCATTATTAATAAGGATTTAGCAATGCTTTAAATATTATTTATATTTATATTATATAGTTCTTATAATAAATAATAAAAAGATTATTATTATAAAGGTTTTATTATATATAGCTTATTAAAATACTTATTAAGTAGGTAATTAGGTATTTTATTAATGTTTTTTATATAAGGGCTATAAATTATAGTTTTAAGTTAATATATTTATAATAAGCTAAGTTAATTAAAGTTTAAATAAGCATTTTATTAATTATATACCTTTTAATAAAAGTTAGTAATTTCTTAGCATTATTAGCTATATTTATAAGTTTTTATAATAAATATTATAAGGAATAAGCTATTAATAAAATAGGTAATATTTAAGAGTAAATTAATAATGGTAATTTAATAATAAGTAAGTTATAATTATTAAGAGGAAAAAGTTATTAATTCCTTTAAGTTTTAAAAGCTAAGGCTTTTTTTTATTATTAAGTTTTTTTATATTAGCTAAAAGTATAATATATAACTTATGCTTATTTATAATATAATATTATATTAGCTTTAATAATTATAATAATTATAAGCTTTATTTATTTAATAATTATAATAATTATAAGCTTTATTTATTTAATAAAATAAAGCTTTATTAAGTTTTATTAAGTTTTAAAAAGGATTTAAAAATAGGTTTATTTTTAATAAAGTCTTATATATAATAAATATATATTTCTTAAATAATAATAAATATATATATAGATATTATAGGGAATGCTATTTAATTTATTTAATCTTTGCAATATTTACTTAGGGAATTTAATAATATAAGAAGGCTTAAAAAAGTAATTATTACTATATAGCGCTTATTAATAAAGAGGATATAATTTTTAGGTTAGGGAAATCCTTATAAAGTTGCCTCTTTTACCTTATTAATTTATAATACTTATAACTATTAATTAATATTAATAAATCTCTTGTATATATGATAATTATATGGGAAGCAATTATGTATTGGTGTTGTTCTATCTAAGTTCTGAGAGGCTATATGTCCCGGAGGGGATAACTAAAGTAGCCTTCCAAGTGATGAGGGTCGTACTTGCCAACACTGCGGGCGGCGCTTGGAGGCTCACCTGCTGACCGTAGCACAAGATGACGGGAGGATGCGCCAATTTCCAGAAAGGGGTGGCTAGGAGGTATATGTCAGATATGTAATGTGTGCGTTGCTGTGCTGACGGCAGCACCAACTTTTGAGATTGGGGCACTTGACATGGTGGGAGCCGCACATGGCGGCCGGTCCGAAGGCCGAAGGTGAGCAGCAGAGTACGGGCCGACTACATACGTCTAGCCACCGACTTCTCGTCGAATCCTTCTTCGATGGCGCCGATTCCAAATGGTAATCTGGATGGATGGAGTACGACGAAAAGACGATCGGAAAACGAAAGGTGTTGGCTCCGGTTCTCTATGTCAGTTGTATCTTGACCAGACAGGCCCACTGGTATTCTGTCTGTCCCACCAGCCTGAGTCCTGAAAGCGTCGACTGCCGAAGTGGGTCGCCGCCGGACCGGGTCGGCGATCAAGGCGGGACCCGGGGCAGTGGAGCCCTGGGCATCTCCCGAGGCTCGAGCAGCGTGCCCAGGTGCAAGCCCAAGGCACATCTCCCGTTCTGGCAATTCCACTTCTCATGCACCCCGCGAAGATCAGGACCAAGACCGAGACCCCCACGAACCATGACGCTGTTGCTGTTGGGAATTATTCAATAACCTCGACAGCCGCCAGGCCTCTGGCTCGGCATTCCCTTTCGAGCATGGCCGATGAGGCTCGTCGAGTCGAAATGGAGGCGTTCTCGCGACACAACCATCACAGGATGCGGTCTTATGCACATCGTACCTGCTTCTGAGGCTCAACGCGACGAGGTATGACTCGCCAGCGTGCGAACGGGCAGGCAGGCGGCAGGCAGACGAGATTATGGCTGGTTGGAAGCTGGACTTGTCATACGCCAGAACGCCACCCTGCGTTAGTGGTTGGAGGGATTCGAGTCCTACCAACAGCTTCGTGGTTGGTGCATGTGTCCTCACCGAGAAGCCGGCAGGCAGAGGCGAAACGGGCCTCGAGGACAGAGGGAAAGAGTCACTCGCCCGATGCGCCACGGAAGACGCATAATGCAGGTACGATTCCGCCGAACCCTGCCGATCTGCCCGGTGAGTCCAATGGCCAGGTGGACAGCAGAGTGTCTCTGGGAGGGCAGGTTCGCATCCTGCATTTTGGCACCCGCACTGTGACGAAGCTGGACGAAGTGTGCAACCTTGAGTCAGAATACGACGCCTCTCGCGGACGGCTTGCGCGGAAACAAGAGATAAAGCGGCACCCTTAGGTGGTGGTGATGGTGTGCTGGCTGGTCATGTGGTGTTGTGGTTAGCGAGTGATGATCATCGGCCTCATGCCTGCCGGGAGAAACTGGCAGCAAGCAGGGAACGCCACGGGCGTTGGGGGTGGTGTGCCACAGCAGCTACGACGGAGCTGCTCTCTTGTCTCACATCATCACACACACAGCACCGGCACCAAGCTGCAACTAGCTGCAACTAGCTGCAACTAGCTGCAACTACCTGCAACTGCACCTAGCCTGCACCCTGCGAGTCCTCACTCACGTCTCTCCTCTCGCTCGTTTCACTCTCCCACCCCAGGCCGAAAGCCTATCACGGGGTTTTGTCATACGCGCAATTGGCGAGGCCGCTCCACCCAGCTGCCGCACTCGACAGGCTTATCAAGCCATCAGATAAACCTGCCGTCGTCCGTGCTCGTCACCATCATCGCTCTCCCATCATGCACCCGGCCTAATGCGGCCTGCAGGAAGGAATTACAGCGTCGTAGTATTATATCTATCGCTGCCCAGGTGGAGCCTGCCGGGCACAACATCCCCCCGCGACGCAGGAAGCCGCTTTGGGCCGAATCGCCCTTCATGCGCCTCCTCCAAATCTACTGCTGTCTCACGCTTTCCGAGGCCGACATGGGCCCCAACCGTGATGATTTCACACACACGCCCACGGCAGGCGCAGCTGGGAGGTGATTCATCTCGCTGCATTCGCCGCTCCCATTGGTGAGGCCCACGTGGGAGGCCCAGGCCGCCCCGCAAAAAGATTTGAGACCTTTGGCCAGCTGAGAGGCTTCGCCCAGCCGGCTCTGGAATGTGAAGAGCAATGTCGGCTGGCCGGTGACCACCACCCTCTCGCCTCCCAGCCGCGTCCAGGGTCCCAGCCCTCGTAGCCAGACCGAAGGCTTTCCGCTTTTGGAAGGGTGGTGACTTCACTAACTCGCCAGGTAATCAGCACTGTGTCTCTTGGCTGGGGTGTGGGGTCCACTATTGCTACCTACACCCGACGTATTCAAAGTCCTACTGATGCCTGTGATGGGCGTGGGTTGGTGTGGGTGGTGTGCGCGTTCGCGTGGCTCAAGCATCAAACACCTAACATCACCCAGCACCTTGGTATATATTCCCATTCAGTCCCCCGTCCGAGTCCACTCTCTTTTGTCTTCTTTTGTCTGTCTCCTTTTACACTTCCTCTATCCTGGCAACCACAGGACTGCTTCCATCCTGTGTCACTTATTCAAGGGGAGGAACTGTAGCCTCGTCATATCTGACTTCTCACGGTCGCTTCTGACAAGTCAAGTGAGCCGGCGTGGCCGGCGGTAGATGTCCGCGTTCTTTACGGACGGTTGGCACTTTGCCTTATTTTCCCCCCTCTTCCCTTTTCAGTTGCCTTGTCACACTGGTTGCCTGTAGCTGGCAGGACAGTGACTGGCCAAGCCCAACAAGCCGGCGGCATTTCATCCATGACTCCTCAAACACAAAAAGTGCCGGCTTCCTCAACGCCCTCAAACACCCATTCAGAGCGTGTCACTTCAAACACCTCCACAATGCCAGCAGCAAGAATGGCTCACCGGGTCTCACGGCGAGACTCATGGCCGCCGACCATGATGCGTCTGCACCCAAGCATCGAGACCGAGGACACGGCGATGGATATCGATCCCAACCACGATGAGCTATCCCTCGAGGATGACGACCCCATCAACTACTTCCTCACACCCACGCCCCTCTTAGACGATGGCGACACGGACGACGATATGGACTCGATGGATCTGGAGATGGACATGTTTAATGCCGGCATCGAAGACCCTCACCACCCCCAGCCAACCATCCGGAGCATCAGCCCGTCCGACCTGACTGGGCCTAGCCGGCCACCGTCCGCACTGCCCAAGATGCTCCCTCTGCCCATCCGATCTCCGACACCTCCCAAGGCGAGATCCAACTCCAGGTCTCCGCCCTCAAGAAACTCCCCTGAGGCCCTGACGCCGACCACAGAGCACGACGATGACGACGACGACGAGGAGGACTACGTCCGCTTCACCCCGAGCGGCACGCTCGCCCCGTTCAGCCTCTACCACAACTTCGCAAGCTCCAAGTCCAAGGGTGCCAGCCGCAAGGCGGCCGCCGCAGCCCAGGCCAGGGCACAGAGGTCACTGGACAAGAACGATAGGGTGGGCATGATGATGGCCCACGGGCCCTCGACCTCCTCCGCCAACCTCCTGCTCCCGCCCGACGCGTTTCACGTAGGCCGACCTCCGACGGCGCCGACCACTCGAGGAAGGTCAACCACCGCAGCCGGTGGGAGGGGCCGTCCACGACTGGTCCAGCGGCCGCGTAGCTGGTCTGGCCCCACGCACGCCGGGGCCCTTGGAGAGAACAACCGCCTGTCGCCGCGAGCGTGGCGAGCCCAGCCCAGATGTTTGGTCGATCGAGGAGGACCCCGAGGCAGAGATGATGAGCGAGTTTGGCGAGGGGAGCGTCGAGGTCGACACCCTCGGCCACAAGAGCGAGGCGATGACCCCCGGCGGTGACAAGGCGGGAAAGAAGGTGCGCTTTGCGCTGCCCGTCACGGAGATCCCTTAAGGTGGTGGTGGTCGGGTTGGTGGGTAGGGCCGTTGCATTTCTGGCTGCTAGGGGCTCCTTGAACAAGGATATCTACGACGGACTCACGTCCTTGCATTGGGACGGCGCCGCGGGGGATTTCATGGTTTTGGTTCATTCTTGGGTCTCGGCCTTGCATTTACACACACGGGTCATGGACCGCATACACGAATGGTCCGCTCTCATCATCATCATTATCATCATCTCATATCGGAGGAAGCATTATTCGGGGTCACGGTTTCATTTCTGGGAGCATACATTGGTGCCCTTCTTACAACTGCATAACTAGATTGATTGCTCACGCAACACATCGAGGAGGAACGTAACTGGGAGTAATACTTTCGCAAATAAATATACAATATCAACAAATGCCGTATTGAGGCACTCAAATCTCGTTCCTCCTTTGCTTTACTCCCTATGCTTGCTGGTACTCACTCTCCTCGCCACTCCCATTCAAGCGTCAATGTTACCACTCTCTGAACCACAAATATTCCTGCTACTATTTTAGATTTTTCCCACTGATATTTCGGCCAAAACCACCACTCCGAGACTGATGTGCAATCCCATGATCACAGTGCCCCCTTGCGTACAGTTGTCTCGGCCCCATGAGCAGCAGTGTTTTCAGCTGTTTCTCAGCATTAAGACTTAAGATATCCCTCGATGATCCTTAGATAGAGGCCTTTGCTCAAAACGGAAAGGGACTTTTATAGCCTCAAATCAGCTTACCAACTCAGCTGACTACCACCTTTTTGTTTCTTAGCCTCCGTTCGTCTGCATTCTGAGAAACTTTCCCAGATTGGGACCCGACCGGGATCTGTCTAATGCCGAAACCTAGACACCCACGTCGAGAAAGACTGGCTTGCAGGGAGCAAGCCAAGTAGGTAGTGCTGACCCTCTTCTCGCCAAGCTCAGCCTCCTTCGCTGCGCCTGTGGCCATGGGGTGCTAGGTCTCATGCACCCCGGTCCATAAAGTTGATCAGAACTCACGCCATAGAACTTTTGGCAGGTGTTAATTTCCGGGGCTAATCAAACTTGTTGATTTTGGTGAAAGAAACTGGTTGGATTCAATAGCTGCTATCTAATCCGCTGTGTTCTCGCTCGTTCTCCAATCAACTTACTGACAAGTGTCATTCTGAACAACCCAACTTTTCTCAACTTCTTGCACCTTCGCTCTCTCTTTTCCTTTTTGTGACCGTGAATGCGCCAGAAGTCTCCGCCGTGTTTGATTCCGACGGCATCCATTGGCGTCCACAGAAAAAATGAAGGCTGGATCTCATTCTCTCAGCACGCTCTGCAAGTGACGGCAGATCCGCACCCAGTGACTAGAGTCCCCCATCGCTCCGGTGGACCTGCTGAAAACATGTAGTACAACAATAATGGAAAATTGCAAATGTGTCGGCGTGTGCCATCTCGTGGACCATGGTGGAGAGGACCTCAATGGGGGCCACTGGCTCGGGCTCGACGCTGGCGTGGAAACACTGTGCCAAGCTGAGTTGCATACGGACGCGATCCTCTTCGTGATCCCCTCTGTAATGTCTCTCTGGCCTCGCCACGCCCCGCTACTCAGCTTCGATCCACACGGTCGTCTTGACCGAGGTGGGCCGCCCTCCCGGACGTGAGGCTTGCTGAGCAGAAATGGTTGTCTATCATGGCATTGAATTGGTCAGCAACTTGCTTTGTGGTTTGATATTATTTCTTTTGGAGGAATAGTACCAGGTGTGGTGCGAGGCGATCGGTCTCGGTCAGGATCGCCAGAATCTCTGGGATGCGATCGAGCCCGGTCTCCGGCATGATGGGGGAAGAGTGGCCCTGTCCCATTAAATTCGAATCTCCTTGGAATGTGGTCGTCTGTGCCCCTGGTGTACAAACTCCTTGCTCAAAGTCGGTCGCGTGGTTTCGATCCGGACTGTTGAGGCTTGCTGTGACGAGACACCGAGGATTTGGACAAGTATGAGCCATTGGGTTATTTGTGGGCTCTTTTCTAGCACCGCGAGTGGCGAGGAGAAGAATAGAAATCATGAAATAGAGAACCATGGTGATCTTCAAGATGATGATGTTCAGAGGTCTTCAAGTTATTTTGTGTGATACAATGTTGGCTGCTGATGTACGTGAGAAAGGTTAAGGACTGGTGCGATTTGAAACTTGGTTTGCGATGCTGGTTGTTTGGGTTTGTGTCACCTGGGCGGACGGACGAGGAGTGGGAACCCCTTTAAGACAGAAAGACTGACACTTTCAGGTGTTGGTATGGAAGGTGCGTCTCATTGCCAAGCGACTGCTCGGTAAACTGTATCTTCCTAGGGAGGTACCCAGGTACACACTTCAACAACCAAATCAGGAGACTACGTACATCACGTTGACAACTAGTAACGGCGAGGCGCTCATATCAGCTTCCCATCTCCGAAGGTCCACATCATGTTGACTTCAAATGCTTCATACGACCTTGTCGATCAAAATGGACAGACACATTTCCCAAGCCGTCGTTCACTCAAGACCAACGCTCTTCGCACTGCCCGCTTGCCATGTTCTCATACCTGTCTAGGTAGCGCTGGGCTTTCAAGATATTTGAGAGTTGCTCTTCCCTCGCAGCCTTCAAAGTTGTGCTGATAGGCACTTCCTGATACGGCTCTCTGCTACTTCCTCACATCACAGCCAGGCCAAACAGGCTCCTTCCAAGACAACAGCAATCCGCTGCCCTCAAACGCGCACCTCCTATTGAATGTCTGCACGAGGCACAGGAGACATCGGTGGTGAAAAATGAATGCACTGCGAGTGTCCAAGATTTCTGTGAAAATGTGATCATTTTGGGGTTGAAAAATGTACAGAACTCTTGGGTATTCTGAAGCTGACTGACACCCGTGAGTGGATAGATTGTCACGGACGATTCAGCCGGTCTGATCAGACGGGCAGGGCTCATGGACATGCACAACTCGGGTTATATCCAGGTGATGAACTGTCTAGACCAGATTAGAAAGTGCCTAGTGACGTCCCTGAATGAGCATGGGCCTGATGACGGTGCCTCTGCTGTCGGGCTCACTTCTGCAGCGGGTATCCGAGGTGGTGGAGCTGTCGGCGGAAATGCAATGAGTACTAGTCCCCCAGACGGCGAGACAGATGGTAAATCGGCCACTGGAGGGAACAACGAGGTCTCATCTCCTTCTTACCGTGGCGGAGTCTCGCTGGTGGCAGTCAGTGGCATAGGAGGAACTGCGATTGGTAAAAAAGCGACCGGAGGTAATGCCGTCGGCGGGAGTGTGCGATGGACATCAAGGAGCGCATAGGGCCGTTACTCATACAGTTCAGACAGAATTTAGAATTCTTTCTTCTTTTTTCTCAATGCTCAAGAAAGGCTGCGTTGTATTCAATCTACAAGTGCAGTTTTGTGGTTCAAGAAAATTTGAAAAAGTCATTTCCGAGCAACACCACTTCATAAGACATCGCTGGCTTGTCATATCTGACGTTATTCAGGGTCCGTAGTGCTTGCTCAACGGATGATGTTAAGTGTCTATAATCCTAGGACAAATGAACTTCCTCGAGAAGCAAAGATGGACTTGAATGGAAGAGCACATTGCTGCCCGTGGATTATTTGGAGTACATCAACTCAACAGATCTAAGGGAAACAGCCATATGTAGACCTTACTATCTCAGGAAGCCGTTTCGATGTCGTCTTCAAATCATTAGAGCCACTACACTGGTGTGCAAACATATCCATCCTTGCCGGCCAATGCCATAGTCCATTGCACCAGTCTGTCTCCGAATGATTCAACCATTTAAAGCGACTGAGGACGATCCGAGACACACCGAGTCCGTCTATCACCGCAAAAGAATTTCCTCCTCGTGCAAAGCCCCTTCTTCCACCAAGTTCAATGCCTCCCCATCCATGAATCCGTGCACATAGGCTGTCCCTACAAGGCTGTATGTTTTGACGCCATCGTGACTTCCTAGTTTGCGCAATATCAACGGCACCTTGGCTCCTTCGACGGAAACTATCGTATCTCCAGCCATTGCATCTCGAACCATTATGTACAGGCCATTATTCGTCACCGAGAACATCCAGTTCTGATAATTCCGACACCACATCGTCGATACCGTTTTCGGCATACTTTCCCAGAGGCTAGTCAAAGTCTCATTGGACACCTCATCGTCTCCACTCCATGTGAAGTGCTTGCGAGGATCTTTTGTATCCATAGGTCTTCCGCGAGCTTCCCCCGATGCTGAAGCTCTGAGCTTGTCGTTTAAAAATTCAAGGATGCTTTTGAAAGCAACATCAGTTTGCAGTTTGTCTTGCTCTGCGAGTCGTTCGATAGGATAGGCACCGCAATCCATGACCAGCGTGCGCCAATATGCTCGGATTGCAGCTTCTCCAGTTCTTCTATATGGTATCTCACCGTCCAATATGTCGACTCCGAGTCCAGACGTCTCAAGCCACTCGAACGGCGCCCCAAATAAGGGCCATACTCGGTTTTTGATGCTGGAAGACCCATCTACCAGCCACTTGCGACATTTTTCGACCGAATTTAAGGTGTAACGACTGGATTGCGTGATGTAGTCACCGCGCAAGCAACCGAGGACCACTGCCTTGACGGGCAAGAATTGGTGGTTGATGGGACGACATCGAGCTTTGAGACATGCCCGACCAGCTGCATAAATGCCGCGCTGGGCGAAAAGAATTGCCCCGTGTGCGTCAGAGTAGACGCGGGCAGAGAAGTCAGGCACCCAGCTTGGTAGCTCGTGCGGACTTTCGGAGCGAGAACGAGCCATCCAGGCCGTCTGACAGAGGACATCAAGGTTTTGCGAGGCCTTGATGAGTGAGACCGCTGTATCCACGAAGACTTGCGTAGCTGATTTAGTGTAGTCAACGACAATGCCGTGCTGGTCTGTCACTAAGCCCAGGATGCCGTACACGCAGTCTCTCGGGTCAGTAGCCCCATTTTGCTGGAACCGGGCGAGGACATCCAGGAGAGTTGACCTGTAGTTTCCGTCCCAAAGAGCTCGCCGTTGATCGTGCACCCTCACAGATCCCGAAAAGAAAAGATCAAGAGCCCTGCCACCGCCACGATGGCCGAAGGCCGCATGGAACGCGTCGGCGTAGGGTCTGTCCCCGAGGAATGTGGCCACCACAGCCCAGTCTAGCTCATGAGGACCCGCCACCAACCTCACCTGTGGCGCATACGCAAGTTCATGCATGGTCCAGATGCGGTACCAGATGTCCGTGTAGCCAAAAGCCGCGATGAGTGCTTCTTGTTCCTCAACACCGAGCAGGAAAGCCCCAGGCACAGTGTTCCGACTGTGTGCATGCGATGGCCCATCGCGCATCTTGGCCAAGGTCTCGGTATCCTTGAAACTGATTCTCTTCATTAGCTCAAAGGCTCTGTGGAGTTCAGCAATCCGTGCCGGAAGCCTTGACACGTTTTGTGCCGTCAGCATCCAGGCAAGATCAACAGTGCAACGGGCGTAGATGTCTCTCATCAGGCGGACCTGTTGGCTGCGCTCCACGGGGTCACGTTGGTTGATGCATAGCGCGTCGACCCAGAGCGTGCGTTCGACAGACGGGCGCCTCAGATGGCGCATAGCCATCTCAAGATTCCGAGTGATGAAGTACGGCTCATTGTCCAGAATGATCTCTGCAGTAAACTCCTTGCAGTAAACCTCTTCTCTCCCCATACGTATGACAAGGCTTCGTATCCATCATCATCGCCGTAGAGAAGGCGATGAACCAGTCGGCACTCTAGCGGGGCGTCGAAGCTTGCTGAAGGCAGCAGCTTCAGCACTCGAATCTCGGTCAAGTGCGGATCGAGAGCTGTATAGATTGCGCTCAAGCCACGGGGCGGAGAGACTCTAGGCACGCCGCCAGCTGTTCCCATTTTGTGTCGTCACTTGCTACGTAGAATGTAGTTAATGTCTATACTTGCATTACTGGACGCAAAAGACTTGCATGCAGGGCGCAAGATGCAGACAAAACCGGGACCGATTCCCCGTCCGTTACGCACAGGAACGTTTGTTGAGAGCCGCTTGGTCCCTTGCAAATGCATCGTCTACGGTCCGCCCCACTCTCTCAAAAAAAATAAGCTGAATGAGGGTAGACAAACCAGTTTTGTGAATCTGGAGTAAGCACTCTTCACATTTACATCTTATACCTCTGTGCCAAAAATCGACTAGTAATTCTGTATTGTAGTGCTGCGTCTTCTAATCGCCTACTGTGAACTCAGTGTCTGTATTCAAATTAAGGTACCTAGGTATGTACTTGGGGTAAAGGAAGGAAGGATTGTTGCACATGCAATGTTTACGTTGGCGGATTACATAAGCCTGTTTGTCCCCTCACCAGGCTGATCATGCCAGCTCAGACACAGCTTCAAACACAGTTGACAACAGTTTCATCTTCTTTCCCTGTGCCGCGACTGTTTGGACCGTTTGGATTCACAACGTACGGGGCAAGTAGTCTGCGGTCTGTGGAAAGGAGAAGCTCACCTGGGGTGTGACTCTCACATCCAGGATCATATATCTAGGTATGGAGGCTCCTCACCAGCTGTTATCCTGCCCTACGACGGATATGTTCTGAACTGATCACCGCATGTTGGAGGCAACCCCTTGGAATTGAGCCTCGATCTGTCCTTGAAAACAAAACAGAGACACTAATTCAGGTTGAAAGACCAAAGAACAACCGTCAACGAGGTGGAGCCGATAGACAGTTGGAAGACTCGCTCGGCCAGCACTTGAGAGGTACTGAGCTCCCGTACAGTCGAAAATACCAGTCTTCACAATGGGCGTGCACGAATTGGAGAAAACGATGCCACTGCGCGTCATCACTTTCAACATCCGCTACGCAACCACGTCCCCCGTCCCTGACGAGGAACTCTGGAAGGTCAGGCGCCCCAAGCTCTGCACACAGATCCGCTTCAACACAGCCGGCCGCTCCGCATTCATTTCCTTCCAGGAGGCCCTGGCCAGCCAGGTAGACGACATCCAGAAGGAACTGGGCCCCACCTGGGCACACATCGGAGTCGGGCGGGACGACGGCAAAGCCGCAGGGGAGTTCTCACCCGTCTTCTACCAGGTCGACACGTGGAAGTGCGAGCGCAGCAAGACGTACTGGCTCAGCCCCACGCCGGAGGAGCCGTCTACGGGTTGGGACGCCGTGCTCCCGCGGATCGTCACCATGGGCCAGTTCGAGCACAGGCAGAACGGCGCGAGGGTCGTGGTGCTGAGCACGCACTTCGACCACATCGGGCTCAAGGCAAGGGAGGAGAGCGCAAAGCTGATCCTGAAGCTGGAGGAATCGTGGGTGGGCGAGTCTGGCCGGTCGGGGAAGGGTAAGCCGCCGGTGTTTCTCGGGGGCGATTTCAACAGCACGCCGGAGGACAAGGCGTACCAGACCATGACGGCGCCGGAGACCGGGATGACGGACATATCGACTCTGATCCCGGAGGAGAGGCGATATGGGAACGCGTTGACTTACACTTCTTTCAACGAGCCCGACTACGAGCCGTCGAGGATCGACTTCCTCTTCGTCAAGGACACGAAAGACATCAAGTTCCTCACATACGGGGTCTTGGCCAATCGGTTTGACGATGGGGTGTTTCTCTCGGATCACCGCGCGGTAATGGCAGACGTGGAGATCCCGGTCAGAGGACAATCACCCTCCATTTGAGCCTCTCCATGAGGACTTCTGTCATGGGGAATCACGACTCGCGCAGAACAATAGGTTGCGTGTTTGTTGCGCAGGCAAGCGCAGGCCTACGTTCCCCTCTCCCTGGACTTTCCGAGGTGACGTGCTCATTAGAGGAGTCACATGCCGATGCAGTGGTCGTGGGTACGGGAGCAAAGCAGAGTTGAATGCATACAACGTCTTGACTCCTGCAATCTTGTCCAATATGTCGTGATTGTCACCCCAGGACCTGGTTCTGGAACGCACTGGGCGGAAGCAAGAGACAACACCAATGCACGAGCGGCCGCCTGCCTGCCGTGCCCAGGGATGATTCTTAGAGCCTCACCATAAGTTCTCATCTTAAGCATGTTCCTCTAGATCATTCTAGCGCCACCGATCTGGCGCGGAGATCTCATGCAGGTGCTCTGGCGTCCGCGAAGAGAAAATGGCGGTGTGGAGCTTGGGGGACGGGCAGTAGTGCTATTGTTGAACGCAAACCATCACAGACTGCATTATTTCATCAGAATTTACGACTGACCAGTCATATCTCTCCAGAATGGTCATTTCCTGTGAGGGAGAAAGGGGCGGCTCATGTGCCTGCGCATGAGACCATCTCTGAGGTCACCCTGAGATCCGGTTGCTTGTGAAGGGGCAGACAGGGACGTCTTGACGGCAAGCAGGCGAGATCGTATATTCCACGCGCATGCCGGCCTCCAAAGGTAACGAATGCAATTTCATTTGAGTCGTCAACATGATACAGAACCTTGCTTTCAGAACAGGCTGCTCTGGACACGCTCCGGAGATGCCGGGCATGTCGTGGTTTGACGGGCAGCACGACGGCAAACTGCATCTGTGGGCCTTTGCTCCCATCAGGCGACCTGGGGAAGCACGGTGGACAACATGAAGGCCTGTGAAGACTGACAACGTGTTTTCTCCATGTCGTCACAGGTGTCATGGAGGTGTGCACCTAACGTGCTGCCATTGGAGCTCCGAACCGTTCCGCCGGGCCATGCCAGCAAACCCATCCTCGGCCTCTACCCGGAAGGGACAATAATCATCGACCCTGCGGTTGCAGGTTGCATTCCATGCCGCATGGCCTGCAGCAGGTTCAGTGAACCCCCCGACGGCTGAGCCACCTGTAGACCCTTCTGACTTGCAGTCGAGGTTGCACCCAACCATGACGCAGGGAGGGACAGCGCTGCCGGATGCGTCTTTGTGGAGGCTGTGGGACGCGGGGAGATAGCATTGGATCGGGCCCGTGACAGGAGACACAAATACGGCCGCTGGTGGCATACAGCATATTGTGTGCTGCAGATGCGCAGGCCCCCCATTGTTCAGATGCGGCAGGTTGAGCTGTCGACGGTACTGTCCCTGGGCAGCTGAGCGCCCTTCATGGCAAACCCCCCCCCCCCGTTCCTAAAGCTCACACGTTGCGGTGCAATTAAAAACACATCTTGCCAGTGAATGTTAAATGCCAGATAGACTGGACAGAAATCTCACAACTTCAACAGCCGGGTTCCTTCATGTTTGTGGTACAATCATGGCCCAAGTGCCGAAGGTGATGATGCGTGGAGGCAAATGCTAAAGTCAGCAGCCGGTTGTCACGGATCTGGAGACGACAGCGCCGTCAATTGCTGACATAGTACCGCCTGTTATTGGTGCCGCTGCCAGGATTGGCGAGAAGTCTATCGCGAAGTCGACGGACGAGGCTAGGTGGGTAGCGGGTTCACGCGAAACCTTGTCTTGCTCGCTTCCGACATGAACCGTAGCAGGCAGGACATGTTCATGTGTCTGTCTGCTTAGTTCTGACACGACTGCTGCAGTTCCTCAAGAGTGCGAACGACTGGTGATCGTTGGCTAGGGAGTCGTCCTGCACGCGGTTCCATGAGGTACGAAATTTCTGCATCGTGGGGGAAACAGCGCCAATGGCAGTGTAAGCAAGCTGCAGGGCGGCGTCATTCGGCATGAGAGCAGGATTGTTCGTGTCCTGTTCTGGCCATGGTCTTCTCCCAGCCCACGGAGTTTTAGTTGAGCCTCATCGTCAAGCCCGACTTTTGCCGCTGCCACCCAGAAATGGAAAGAAACGCACCGAGGGGAGCAGGGCCTAGGCCACGCCATTTGAGGGTGGGATGTAGACTGCAGAGTAGGCCGCCGGCCTGTGTTCTGCCGCCCATTCACGCGTCGTCCTCGGCACGACACATCGCTTCCATGGCCGAGTGTGTGCTCACTCTATTGGATGTTTTAGTTGACGCCGTACTTCTGCCTTAAGGTAAGACTCGGGCTGCTCTGTTGGCTGTAGGGGGCGCCTGTCATGCACACGCCACCCGCGTGTTCTCATTAGGCCTCGACCATCCTGCCGTGCATGCAAGTTTTTAGACGGGCTCTGGGTCCAGTGGGTGAGCAAGGCCGGGAGGCAAGCGGGCCTGAAGTTGGGGCCTGACGATAAGCAGCGGGCGAGGGTGCATGGAGTCGTCCAGGGTGCATCTGCACAAAGTCGTCGCCGCGATCCTGTGACTGAGATCCCGGGGATGCTCGTTGTTTCCGGGCTCCACATCCCGGACTTCTGGATCTTTGCTCCATCATGCCATGCCTGTGGCAGGGGCCAGGGTTGGTGAGGACAGCCCCAGCGCGGCCCCAGAGCCTTGCAGAGCCTTGCAGAGCCTTGGAGAATGTCCGTAGCTTCCACGTCGTGCGGAAGACGGTCCGCAATGGAGGGGAAGTTCGCGACAATCAAGTCGTACTGAGCAGGAGCATGTGTGTCTGTCGGTTGCCTCATCAGATTCCGGCATCAATAAAGCAGGGATCGAAGCGTGCACCGCAGGCACAGATTGGTCTGATAAATACACAGTAAATATCGAAGAAGGGGGGGGGGGCCGGAAAGAGAAACAGCTTACTAGAAGGTCGCACCAAGCTTCTGGCAGGAGTGTGGCATCGCGCCTCGCTGCATCTGAGCATCTGGCACCCGGCCAACCGTTCCCGCCTCCTGCTGTAGGTCTCACGTTGCACCTCTTCCATTCGTTGTCCTTCAGCCCTGATATTCCCCCCCTGGAGGGGGGGGTGCGGTGGTGTTGACGGGCGACGGGGACCAAGACTTTCGCGGCGCACACCCACTCCCTCTGTGGGCCACCCTCCGCCCACTTTGACTCGCCTTGTTTCCCCACCATGTCCTCTCCACGGCATGCACTTGTCATCCCTGCTGCCCTGCCATTTTCTGTCTCCCACACCCTCCCCCAAAGGAAAAAAGACACAGACGGACAGGCACAGAGAGCGTTGCATCGAGCGCACAATAAAACTCGCCAGTAGCCGCCCCGGTCGTTTCCACCCGACATCTTTTTTTATATTCCCCAGACTGTCCAGTTGCTACTGTGTTGGCTGCGACTTCAACACCGACCGCTGTCTATCTACTACTACCTGCTCATCATCATCGTTGTCCGTGTACTGAGCCATTACAGCTATTGCCATCCAGTATCCTGCGAGCTCTTTACCAAGGTTCCCACACGGCTCCACTCGGATGACCCAACCGTCTTTGGCTCGTTGTCCCGCCCCGACTCGGCCTAACGATTACTCACACCGGCAGCGATTGAGCCACCGCGACCGAGACAAGCAGTGAATGTAAACTACAAAGTGCTGCTAGGCCCGACGCAATACGAGATCCATCCATGACTCGACCAGGGATACCTTAATCACTCTATACCGGTACAGCCTGTCACCAACCATGACGACCAGCGCTGAGCGGGCATACATGGAGGACGCTGATGACGATGGAAATCCTATCGACGACACGAGGACATATGTCTCCGTAGTACCGCCTGGCATCAAAGAGGCAGCCAACGTCTCGCGGACGAGGAACCGAACCCTGACCAGGGGGTCGTCGTCGTCGCCAAACCCAACCCACCTCCATACCGACTCCGACTCTACCGCCCAGCCTCGCAGCCCACTCAGGCAGGACTCCAGGAAGCCCAAGACCAAATCTCGGGACAAGGAAAGGCCGTCGGGCAAGAAAACGGTCACACATGCTCCTGTCAGGCCCACTGCGAAGTCGTCCAAGACCCTGCCCAACCTTCACACGACTGCAACGAGAAGGTCGCAGGAGCAGTCCAGCTTCTACGGCATCAGTCCTACTGCCACTAGCCCAATCCTTACTCCTGCCGCCACCTCGTCACGGCCGAGGGCATACACGGCAAATCAACGGCCAAACAGCTATTATGGTACACCGTCGAAGCCGCCGCCGTCCAACGCAAGGTTCTGGCAACACCCCAATCCCGTCCTGGGTACATCCTTTCCTCCTCAGGCGCCCTACCCACCACCAAGTGCCCCACAGTTTCATTCTCCCTTCCCGCCGCCGCAGCAGCAGCAGCACTTTGCTCAGCCGCCAGTAGACTACCTCACCAGCCAGGATGCTCTCGCAGCCCGCTTCGACCCGCTTCGGCCGCGGTCAGCCATGGGACGCCATGGCATCGAGTACAGCCCGGAGTACGATGACCATGAGGAAGGCGGCGTTCTCATACGGCGGCCGTCCCTGACCAGGAGAAGATCTACGAGGCAAGACCCGGACCGCATTCGCATGCCTCCCCCACCGCGGCCCAGCACAATGCGCCCACAGTTAACATCGTCTTTTGCACCCCCGGCTCTGAAGAGGCAATCGATTGGATCCGTCGGGTCATTGTACGATGACGAGTCTCTCGATGAAGACTCTCTCTATAGTGGTACATCCCCCGCCGAGCGATATCCTCGCCGAGCCCGTCGTCCGAGCATCGACTCCACCACGAGGTACGACACAGGGCACGGCTATGCTGAGGTGGCGGGCAGGATAAGTCGACGAAACTCTCATTACGGAGCGCGCAGGCGATCGACAGAGCGAGACGTCGAGGACAAAGTCAAGGCGGCGCAAAAGTACCAGGAGGATGTGGACGGCCCAACGAACAGCCTGACAGCCGATACTCTTCGGCGAATCAATAAGACCCCAAGCAAGGGCACCAAAAGCTCGGGCAGCAAGGGCGAAAGCGGCTACGGGCGTTCCGCGGCCTCGAGGAACAGCATGGACCCGGACGACATGACTATCTTCGTCAAGGGCATGGGGTCCCTGACCATAGGCAACGCGCAGCTGGACATCAAAGACGGCGCCGAGATCGCCATCCGCACCAACGGGAGCGAGAGGAACTCGCGCGGCGGCAGTGACAATGCCTCAACGGCGTACGTCGACGACAGTCGTACGACGAGGTTCGAGCGGCCCCAGGCACGCATCCGCGCGAGCTCGCGGGCAGGGTCGCACTCGCGGGGCTTCGCGCACCACGCACCGCCGGCTCCTCATCCTCCCCCACCCGCGCCCCATCCACAAGTGGACTACTACGGGAACCCGTATATGTCGATGCCGCACGCGCCGTACTCCCCTTACACTTATAACCTCTGAGAGCGCACGTGGACAGCGACGGCATACATCATGACGCACACGATAAGAACGATGATGATGATGATGACGACGACGACGACGACGACGACGACGATGCAAGATTGATGACGACCACCGGGATGATGCATGATTTGGCTTTTGCTGTTTAGCGGCTGTTTAACAGGTCTTCCTCAAACCGGCCTGATGATTTGAGATCGATTGGACGATTTAAGCGAGCGATGGTTTCTGACGTTTATAATTATGGGCTGCGATGTCCACGACACACCTCTCCTCACTCATCCGGCCCCGGCCGACTGGTGTCGGCGGACTACGCCGGTTTTCCACCTTGTCATCGGGGCAGCGATTTTTACTTCTGTATTTCTTGCCTGAGAAAAGAGCGCAAAAAGGTTGCTGAGCGGAGAGAGATACCCTTCCCGTTTTGTCATACACCGCTTTTCGCCTTGAATTCTCGGGGACCACCTTTTTTCTTGTCCTTGCTATTCTTTTGTGTTTTCTGTGCACTGGATGTGTATCCCCAGAGTGCTCATGTGGGCGGGCTACCGCACTCTGTTCGAGCCTGGCTTGTGTATACATGTACGAGGGGGGCACTGGGAAGCGGGTTTTACTTGCGCGCTGGCCGGGGGCTTGGGCGCCGGAGAGACAAGAGTTTACCTACACTGGTCACCTGCTTGATGTTGCTGTGCCATCATCAGAAGTCTTTTTTCTCCACATATATTACATTTCCATTTATGGCTTTTTGAATTCTGCCAAACCTGATACGCTCCAGACCGAATCTAGTGAGAGTCTACATGGGGCAAAGGGCATCCTTCCGAATCGGGACGAATAACAGCGCAAGCGGTGGCGCGGAGATGGGTTTGTGTATTTTGACAGCAGATTTCTGGAGTCTACGGATATCCTGTGCCGTGTTGCATAGCCAGGGCAAGTTGAAGGATGTCCTGAACAGAATGTTCTTCCGGAGCCTTCACTTGACAGTGGAGGCATCTGGATTGAGGCAGTCCGGACGGTGTCTCTTGAGATGTGTCATGATATACCACACATATTACACACCACTGTCACGGACTACCTACCCTTATTCGCGACATGTACCAAGGACAGGGTCCCGCCCCGGCTTGGAAGAATGCCTGCACAGACTGTTCGTGTTCATGCAAGAGTGGCACTGGTACCGTAGACTGGCTGGCTCGTGCCGGATCCGTCTCCCTGTCTCCCCGTGTACCCGGCCGCACGCCTCCGTCTCTGCCGCGGGACCCACCGATGCCGTGCATTTATTCACCTCTGCTCTGGGCCCCACGATGGAGGTAACCCGAAACAAGAAGGTCGTGTTTCTGGAAGACATCCCTGAGCTAGCTCGGGGGGTTTCGTCCGGAGTTGCAGGGTGGTATTGCAAGTGTGCCTGTCTTCACTACTGTAGTCCCAGGAATAGCCCAGCCGGGATTTCGCCATCTCTGCTCCCCGATTCATTCTGCGAGGGATGGCTTTCCGATCTGGGTAGTCGTTCCCCCAGCCCGGCGGGAGCGCGGATCCCAGGGACCGGAGCTTGGGACGAGCAGCGGAGCTCCGCTGGGTCTTTCTTTTTCCCCAGATACCTGGGTACGATACCGGGCTTCTTCCTAACCTGGGCAATTTTGTTGGAATCCTCGGCGCCACGAAGGGCTGGTTGACACAGGCCTGAAACAAGCTGTATCTCGCTCGTGTTGGGCAGACTGGGTTGCGTTGGTATTATTTTGCTAGTAGATGATTGGGGGGGTTTTGCGTTGTACGGTACAACGGTACATGTGGCAGCATTGTGTCGAGTAAACCCCAGGGGGAAAGCTGAGCCATTTTTATTTCGAGAATGCCATGCCACATGTCCGCAGCTCACTCGGCGCCTCTCGAGGGGCCGCCCACCAATAACGGCGCCTGCAGGTCTGGAGCTGAGCTGGCTGACTGACTCTCTGTTAGCCCACTGGAGAGCTCCCCGGCAGCAGTCTCGTCTCTTGTTACTCATGTCACGTCTCGAGTCTCACAGGGTTTGGAGCGGTTGGGCGATTGATAATGCGACCCCCCTCCCCCTTCACTGGTGGTGCGAGGTGGTGGGAAAGGGGTCCTTTCTGGGCTGGACTCATTCTTGAGTTGAGCAGTCGGTTGCTCGGGACGGGCCCCCCATTCCGATCTGTCAGGGTGGGAAACGTGGGGGCCGGATGGGTAACTGGACGGGGTAGGTGGTCCAAGGCAGTCAGTGCGTGTTGTCTCGCCAATACCCGAGGCGATGACGTCGGTTGTTGACAGTCACCGTCAACAACCGCAGGGCTGCATTAACAGGCACACATCCCAGCACGGTGGTGGATTATGGATGCAGCAGGATGCTACCAAGGATGCAGGCATTTATTTCATCAACATGGGCTGTGTGCTGTATTAAACGTAAACGTAAACAAGGCTGTCCATTGTTCCTGTTCTCTGCTTGGAAGGAGCGTTGCTGCGGCAGGGGCAGGGGTGGCCTGTCCCAACCACCGCTTTTCCCCAGCCATCGCGTTTCCACAGGAACAAAACCACCCGCCCACAGCAACCACGTCTCACACGCTGCACACAGTCTTGAACCTCCAGAGATCGCTTGACTCTGTCACCGTCCATCTGTCTACAACGTATCTATTCTTCACTCAGTCGGTGACCAAACTCATTCGTCGCCGACCTATCCACCTCACAGTTTGTCACGGAGACAAACATTCACATACGACGAGAAGAAGCATAACCTCCGTTTGTGCTGATCGACTCTGCAGCGCCGTCGACCTCGGCTGGTCTGCCAGCTAATACCAGCCAGAGTCCAATTCATATGTCAACGCTCCCATCTAAATTCCAGTGAAGCGGGCCTGCTTCCACCAAAGACAACATGGCGCCAGCATTTGCTGCCTACGCCCGCTCACTTCTAAGCCACGCCTTGTCCACCAACGTCGAGGCCCGCAGTCCAGACGACCTCTCAAAACTCGGCCCCATCGCTGCTCGGTCCCTCCTTCTGGCCCGCGACGATGCACCCAAACGGCCCGACCCCGAGGCCGGCATCATCCACCCTGAACAGTTCAACAACAAGTTTCTCTTCGTCCTGTTCGGTCTGCTAGGCGCCGCCTTCATCGTCGTCGGCATCTGGTTCTTCTTCTGGGCCAAGAATGGCGGCTTCTACTTCAAAGAGAACGACTGGGACGACTACAAGTCCACCGTGCTGCGTCGCAAGGGCCCCAACGGAACCACCCTGTCAGGCGCCACCACCGAGACCGACCTCGGCGGCGGCAGTGTGTACAAGGACGTCGATGACGGTAGCACCGAGGACACCACCACTGTCGTCAGCGGCACAACTGGCATTACTGGCGGTGTGAGCGACTACGCCGGGCGGGAGAAGAAGCGCAGGAGACGCGAGCAAAAGGAGCGTGACAGGGAAAAGCGCCGTGAGGAGAAGCGCCGCGAGAAGGAGGAGCTGAAGCGCAGTAAGGAGCGCAAGCGCAGCCGCAAGGTCGCCGAGGAGGGCGGTGTCGTCGACGAGGAGGCCGAGGCCGAGGCCGAGCAGTACCTCCGCAACTACCGGCACGAGAAGCCCGCACGCGTGGGCGGCATCAACAAGGAGAGCGACTCGAGTCAGTGGGACGGCTCCACGAACCCGACCGAGTCCTCCAGGGGCGGCTACACCGAGAGCAGCGTCACCTCGGAGCTCATGCAGGACCGCGAGCGCACGCCGACCAACACCCCGGAGAAGCCCAAGAAGTCCAGCGGCATCCGCAAGGTCTACTCGACCGCCGACAAGCGCGACTCGCGCGAGGCGGAGCGCATCCGGGCCGAGGCCAAGAAGCTGCAGGAGAGGGGCCGCGCCGCCGCCTCCTCCGCGGCGGGGGCGTCATCGTCCCACCGGCGCAACTTCTCGTGGCAGCAGAACAACCGCGTCGACGAGGACACGCCCATGGCGCCGAGCACCTACGGCCCCAGCGACGACGTCGAGTCTAGGATCCCGGGCAGCTGGGCCGAGAGCGACGTCGGCAGCGAGGTCGGCACCAAATCGTACCGACACGTCATCCCGGGGTTGTCCGACTCGGGCGCCGGATCATCCATCGGTGGCTCGGATGTGAGGGACTACGCCGAGGAGAAGAGGAAGAGGAGGGGCGGTGCCGGGTACAGGCGGGAGAGGTAGGCACTCTCGCTGTTGCGGTATGTCATGGGCGCCCCTTCGGAGCAGCCACGGCCGCTGCAGGGCAATGACGGGATATCTTTGTGATGGATGCGAATGAGACTTTACGAGCGAATGCACGAAGGATTGAACCTGTCATGAATGCTCTGTTTGTTCTTGGAGAGCATGGTGAGGGATCAAATCGGTATGTGTGATGAAGGCAAATGATACGGAAGGAATCTGGGCTGGCAGGGGGTTTTTACGAGGGACCGGTGGTACATCTCCTTTGTGTCGTCGTCAGGTGAAACCAGCCTGGCTTGGGTATACAACATTCAAGGCGTTTGTTGACTGGGAAATTGAGCAGCATTGTCAATATAATGTAAAGAATCCAAAAGAAAATTACCCATTTTTTAGGCTCCCTGATCAAGATGCATCTCAATTCTCATAGCATGCTTCTCTTTTGACTTCATGAGCTACTGGATGTCTTATTGTCAAAGTTGCTTGTACAAGGAGGGAGGAACCTCGGAGTCTACATTGCGGTTACTTGTGGCCTGCCCGCCCCAATTCCGTGTCAGTGAGGCAACAGGATTCGGCGAATGCATTCCCAGGCGGTCCGATGGGTGTCTCACTGTCTTCAGGGCAGCTGTATGGAAGCCCTGACCGAATCAAACCTTGGGAGTGCAGGTCATAGCGGCAGCTTGCCGAGACCCAGGGGTTGACAAGTTGACTGTAAACACCACGCGTTTGACATCCTGAATTCAATTTCGCACCCCGCACAACTGCTGTACCGTTGCAATTCTCGACGAGCCTACAATTATTCATCCAGATCCACCGCGAGAGTCTCATTCGAAGCACCTAGAGTCGATAAAGCAATGGGGCCTGAGATAGACCACGACCTGGACGTCGAAGGGGACGTGCTCCTGGTACTTCAGAACCCCAATGGGCCATTCGCTGTCTGGGGTGAGAAGGAAGCTTGGGAGCACTCACGACCAACGCCTCTGGACACCGAGAGTGAGCAGGCCTACGACTATATATTCGAAGACCCTGCCTATCGGATAAGTTGTCGCAGTACCACCGAGGCTGCGCCGGAATCACCAGAACGAGGCGAGCCTCGGCGCAAAAAACACAAGAGAAATCCTGCAAGTGTCGCCGGCGAAGGCTTTGAAGTACGGTTCCGGCTTTCCTCAAGACACTTGATATTAGCCTCTCCCTATTTCAGAGCCATGTTGACCGGGCCATGGGAGGAAAACTCCTCGCGATCTGGTTCGATGTACACAATCAATGCATGCGACTGGGACGAAGAGGCTTTGACTGTGCTGATGAATATAATCCACGGTCACAGCGAGAGGATCCCGAGATCGATGAGCCTGGAATTGCTTGCCAAAATTGCCGTCCTGGTTGACTACTACAAGTGCCACAAGATTGTGAAATTCTACTCCGACACATGGACCACAGGAATCTATGATGAAAATGATCTTCCTCGGAAATACACCAGGAACTTTATGCTGCGGCTTTTTACATCCTGCGTTTTTGCCCAACACGACATGTTTCACTTCTTGACACTCTTTGCGGTGCGGGAAACCCGAGGACCTCTTCGGACGCTAGGCCTCCCATTTCCTGATGGCTTAATAGGTTTGTGGTCGGCCCTGCTGGCAGATCCGCTCTCGTTGCTGACGCTAAGTCATTACAGAGAAAATCGACGACACGAGAATGGCAATCGTTGAGGTCATAATAGGCCATTACCATGATCTGGTGGCGTATCTCGGCACTCGAGATTACTGCGATGTATACCATTGTAGTTCGATTCTGCTGGGGCAACTTGTGAGGGAGATGATGGCCCAGGGCATATTCAGCCCCCGACCCAGTCGCCCCTTTCTTGGGCTCAGCGCTGGAGAGGCCATCCGGATGACCCTTGATATCAAGTCACCAGATTGGAATGCCCTTGGCAGTTCTTCTTCATCTCATCGATGCTGCCTAGGGCTGTTCTTTAAAAAATACATGTCGCATGTGCAGGCCAAGCTTCGAGGCTTGAATTTGAACGATTTCATCGGTCAAAGCTGAGACCGCCTTGACGTCTCGAACGCCGTACATTCTCTGCGCTGTGGAAGTCTTGACCCAGAGATTCCCGAGGACGAGTGGAGGTGATTCGGACTCTATCTATCCCAGAACTCCTCCAAGGTCCACAGTCATAAAACCACAAGCAGGACTGGGAAAGACCTGTTGGCAGAGAGATCGGGCTCGTTAAATTCAAGATGACCTGGTCAGACCTGCTTCGCTCTCACCATGTACTGCGAAGCTCATCAGCTAGCAGTTCCTGGACAGGGTATCATTTGGGATGGAATCGGCTGACAATATGATCGTGATACTCAAGTTATACCACCGACTCGTTCTTGACATCGTATTTTAATTGAATACAGAGATTCGCATTGAGTCTTCTACAAATACGCTACACGTGTAAACCATTCTATGTTACATGACCAACCATGCCTAGATTTTAATCAACACATCACCCTTGGTAGGGCTTCTTCTGCCCTCTGACTGGGGGAATTTCATATGTCAGAAACTTAGGAAGTGCTTTCAAAGCAACCTGACTGCAGCCCACCGTCCCGTTGTCGAGGAAGAAACAGTCGAGCAATGTTCCGAGAGTGACTGCATCCTGCACCAGTCCAAGTCGCTTCTCCAGCATGTCCCGGATGCGCGTTGGCATGCCGTCGAAGAGTTCCTCCCAGAAACCTCTTTCCGCAACCTCGAATTCGTCAGGCATCCAGAACTCGCCCCCGGTGTATTCGCCAGCGATGATGTGGATGCGGCCGAATCCAGCGCCGAAAGGTAGTGGGGAAGACAACTCCCAGTCAATCAACGCGGTGACGTCGCAGTTGTCGTCAATAAGTACATTGACGTCGTTGAGGTCGTAATGGGCGACCCACAGGGGTGGCTGCACCAAGTCGTCCAGCTTGTCGACAAAGCCCTGAAGAGTGTCTTTGAATGGCTGTATCTCTTGCAGCGGCGACGCCAGGGTTGCGTCCAGATGCGGACGAATCGTCTTGCCCACAGCCTCGTTGCTGTTTTCCGCGAGACACCCCTTTGAAAAGACACGACCGAGAGACTTGTTGACCGCAATGCGTCCTTCAGCACCGCGGCCAGCGACTCCTTGGTGCCACATCTTGCCTGGCATGTGTGGGAATGAGTAGGCCCAGGCACCTTCTTCCTCCAGCTCCTTGCTTTCAAGAGCTCTTGCGTCGGGGACAAACGGACCAAGAGCGCCCTTTGCCACCTTAAATGCGTCGACGTCAAGCGGTTCCGTGCGAAATTGTACCACTACCTCACGAGCGTCTGCCAGAGTCACAAACATGGTCCTGCTGAACATCCCTTGCATCGGGGGCTTGTCGAAACGCTTTGCGGCACTACCTAGGTGCTCCATGACCAGCTTCTTTATCCATTTGACCTGCTTCGTGGGGGTGTCGAGCAGCTTAGGCAGGTCTTTGTCAGAGGTAACCATCGGCATTATGAAGGATTTCCAAGAGGATTCAGAAAGAAAGGTGAATAGTTCCTGATGAGCTTCCACTGGTTGCTTCCTTTTTTTCTCCGTTTTTGCAGTTACCAAGTTGGTGAGGACGTGCGAGTCGAGTCACTCCCGAAATTGTGTTGGCCGTCTTGTCGAAAGCGCTATCGAAGTTGGAATCTGGGGCCAGCTCCTGGTAAGGGTTCCGAAGGACCTTGAAATTTCTTGGCGGTCGTACTCTGTGTCCAAATACTGTGGAGCGGTTGGATTCAGGATCGTATCCGATTGGCTTGTATCCATCACATTGCCTAGGCATTCCATCCCGTCCAGGGATCAACCAGCCTATAAGACAACACTTCCCCAACAGTACTTGAACAAAAACATTTTATACATCCAAGGCAGACAGGCTAGGGAAGGCGGCTTCATGATCAAGGCAAGCCGTGTGCGCAACTTTTAATAGGCAGGAAACAGTCACGATGCCACCACACCTGGGTAAGCTTCAGGAAGTGCAACGTCGATGTGGCGTCAATCAACCAACAGCGATGGCCTCGGACGAATCGTAGCCAAGACAAGAGAGCTTCCAACCTACAATAGAGAGCCTCGCGAGAATTAGACATAACACGTGCAGCAGTCTACTTGTAGAATTATCTGTTGAATCAACTAGTCTGTGGCACAATGGTGTGTGTTAGTTCTTCAATAGATCTCTCATCGTGTCATCGGATGGCGAAACGCCTTGAAATCAACTGCGTGTCCAGATGTCAAGCAATGATCAGAATCGTGGCCACTGCTTGCGCAGATAGACTGCTGTGTCAGTCATTACACACGATTCCATCTTTGTATAAAGAACACAAGATCTCGTGTCCTGTTCCAACATCAAGACATAAGCCAACAGCTCCTGTTGCCGTTCTACACCGTTGACTGCCCACCATGTCTACTCTCAACTGCCTCAACAATACAAACCTTCATGAAGGCCCCTTCGCCTCAACTGAATACAACAAACTCCCTCACATTGATGACATGAAGGATGCCGCAGCAAGTCATCCGAAGGAACATGCCATCCTACTGGGCATCATTGCCGCTCATGGACTGTCTGAGCAATTCTCTATCCATCTCGTCCACAAGCATTTTAACATTGCTGATGGACGAGTTATGGTCTACGAAACTGTCCAGGGGAATTCTCATGGTGGCTTCGTTCTATGCAGCCCCCGAGTTCCGCAGAAGTGCCCCAATATGCGCGGCCTCTAATACTTCAAGGCTGCCCCTGGTGGAACAATGGTTGCCTACGAGTTCACCACTGAGCCAGGCATGGACTTGTCAGACCACGAGAGCTTCATCAACAAATTCGCTACTGCTGTCTTGGAGCTTGGAGTCGAGGACATATTTGCTCTGACTGCTCTCTCCATCTGTCCCCGGGGACAATGTCCTCATAGAGTTTGAGCTGGGCCATGTCGGCTCAACTGTTCTGGTTGCTGACGCCAGCTGGCTACCTGCCCAGGACGTCCAGCTGGCCACTTCAACCGACTGGCTCGTAACCTCTGATTATGCACAATACGCCGGAGGCTCAGTTCCGGGCATGATTCAACTCAAGTGCTCAGTCACTCGCAGCGGCTCCCACTACAACGTCACCTGCAGCAGGACCAGGAACGGCAGCCATCTGGGCCATGCCCCTGACCCTTTTTCTGGTGACCCACCACAGGATCAGGTCCTCACAATCAACGGTGAAGCTCTCGAAGAAGGAACCGAGCCACACGCCATCGTCCCACGCCTTGGAGGTGATTGACGTCTGCTGAGTTGGACGGTTTGAAATGGGCTGCCCTGGCACGTTGGCAATGTCTAATCACAATTCTTCGTTTGGCACAGATCAGAGAATCTTTTGACGCCTTGGAACACTGTCTTTTCTGCTTGCCATGATCTTGTTTCGATGATTAGCTACACTCACTTTGAACATCAATCCTAGATAGAAATGCCATGAAAGCCATGCTTTAGGCTAATATTTGCGCACCTGAAAGGTCAAGTGAAATCGTATGTTATGGTGTGGGTGGTGCCAAGCTTGCTACCAGACCCAAAGTATATACACGCATGAAGATCATCAGACTGCCTCTTCCGGCCACCGAAGCCCTCCAGGCTCCCACCTGGACACACCTAACTCACTCCTTCCTGTGATGTCCACAGCTTCCAGTGTGGGTTGCTCGCCGACCAGGTCATAAATTACCTATTGCTCATTTAGTTGAAGCATAGATTAGCTTTTTGATCTTCAGAAGCGTATCAACCTGTCTTTTTCGTGTGGCCCACTCGCCATCTATTCAATTCCTGTCAAAGAGCAATTGCTCTTCTGTTCGCGTTTACATCAAGAACAACGGACCCACATTAGGGCTTATGATCAATACGAACAATAAGAAGGGCGCATTGCTATGGTCTGTAGAAGTATACCTAGACATGACTGCCCAGGTGTGGTACGGCCAGTTTGCGATCAAGCAAGGTTGAGTGGATGTCACCATGCACAGTAACCACGAAAAGTATACGTCCTAAGATGGCAGAAACTGTTTATGTCTCGCTCTCCTCTCCGGAGCGAATGTGGCCCAAAAGCCAACATGGAATGTGTTGAAAGCGCGCTCAACAGGAAGTGAATGGACGCCAATGAGGATCTACGTTTTTCCAACCGATCTCATCCGTGGTTCAATGAGGTCTCATCAGACTATCAGCCAACCAGTGAAGCCTCAAGCCATTCGCGGCCGAGTACCACGATTTTGTTGGGAAGGGAAGGGCGGTGAACCTCGGCTTCATTGACCTCGACAACATCGAGCTGACGTACCAGTACGCACTAGAGATAGGGTTTGCTGCTCTGGTGGCTGCGTATGGAACTGAACACCCACTGGAGCTGTGTATCCACTGCGTGGCTCGAGAACGAGGGCACCAACTTGATCATCAAGCCCGCCCTATTGAACAACGTAATGGATCTGCTCAGCGACATTCCATCGTCCAAACGCCCAACCTGCTTCGTCGATGTTTCGAATACCGGTATTTCTCAGGCTCTGCGGACAGCTTCCGCCATTTCCGTCCATACTCGGCGAGATCTTCCGGGGTCCCTAAAATACACACTAGACGTCTGGCCTTCTATGATGTTACGGTTCTAGGACAACGAGATATGCTGCGTGGCCGAAACCCAACTTACCGTGGCCACGATCGCCGAGTTGTTCATCGCAGCTCTCAAGAAGGTTCTGGCATAATACTTGCCCGGGCTAGAGTCGTCTGCCAACAATTTCTTCGTCCTGTTTTATCCTATACAGAAGTCCACCAATGCGTAAGGGAGGCTTGGAATGGGCCCGGTTGCGTTACTTACTATAATATAGACGCAACTATCATGATATATGGACAATGAACCGAGCTCAGAATACCGGTAGCATAGAACAGAGAGAATGGTATGTCGTCGCCTACGAAGCAGCAGAACCTAGGATAATGATAGGCGAGGAGTAGTGTAGTGTACTTGAGCAGTAACAAATACTGTAGGTTTTGATGGTACTACGATTCCCCATGAGCCTCAACCTAAGCTCTACCAGTAACAGGAGACGGTGGTACCAGTGGTGGTGGTTGTTGGTGACCAGGAACTCTACCGTGGGTGAGAATCCAATTTGCCTAGTCTAGGTGAGGCTTCCACGGCCCAAACGAGATGTCAGCCCCGGCAGTTAATCACAAGACGCCTGACCTTGAACGGAAACCACGGCCCTTCGACAAGGCTGTGTGCTGTGCAGGCGGATGCACGGTCGTAGGTGCGAGAGAAAAGAGGTATATCGACCGCAGCAGAGCTGATGTTCCAGTGTTGCTTTGGTTCCTAGATGTCCCGTCGGCCTCGGCCTGCTGGAGCGCTCACTCAATTCATTGGCTGCAGGAGACGAGGGCGGTCGATCGCTGTCTCGGCTGTCATGTACACTCTGACACACGCTGGCAAAGGGCAATTGAGCTGCTCGAAACTTGTTTAGATTGAGATCTGCGGCCGTCAATTGCCATGTGAAATGGGCAGGGTGTGAGGTGACAGGCCGGGAGGCATAAGCTTAAATGTATTATTAGCAAAGGGAGGCGGCTCGATGGACAGGCACCATTGCGCCTCCTTCCCAGCCGTGCACAGCAGCTGTGGCTCTGGTTGAGCGGCAGGAGAAACAAGACCAAAGCATATGTCAAACGGCGGTTTGGCGGGTGAGGTCGTTGATGGGCTGGCTTTTGGACCACGATGGACGGAGGTTAATTATAGGCGCGGGCGGGCCTCGGTGGTCCAGGGCTGAATGGCTCTGCACCGGGCCAACTCCCACTTCCATCATTGCCGTATTTATGTGTGGAACGCCAGCACAGCTCAGCCAGTGTACACGACTCACGAAACAGGCTGCGGCTGATGAAACCTGGCCGTGGGAGCCGTCCAGTTTGTCGAGGCCGTGGTCGTCAGACCCGCAGCTAGGGCCGGGGGGGGGGGGGGGGTTCATGCGGGCAGAAACGGGTGCGAGGGAGGACAGCCCACAGCATGAACCGGGCATGAACTGCGCGGGTCCTAGGGAGTGTGGGCTGGCGGGATATTGTGTGACGGCGCATGAGTGTGAGTCGTCATTGCTCCCTGATATTAGATGTCCTATAGCGTGCGTGCTTGTGCAGTCTAGTGGGCAGACACGTGCCGTAATGGCTATCTAGTCTACTCTCCTGTGTATTAGAGTCTTGACACTCAGGCAAGGTGAGCAAGGGAGCTCGAGCTGATCAAGCTGATGTCTCGAGATCCACCTCGCAGGAGGAGCGCGTCACTGCGTTCTTGGCACACCACCCTGCACTATCCGGCGGCTGTGCCCTGATAGTGGTGGTATGTCTCGCAACAGCCTGTCCCTAACAGCGGGCCCAGACGGGGACACGGAACAGAAGTGGCGGCCCACCAGGACAGAGCAAGGGCGTCTCTGAGGGTCTGAAGCAGGCTCCTCCTTGGCCACTGGCCCCGTCCCAGACACCCAGACGCCAGCAGTGCGGTGGCTCACCCGCAGTTCAAAGACAGGACCGCAGCCAAATCATGACCCACCCGCCTATCCGTATCCAACCTGGGCAGACAGACACAGACTGCGTCTCCAACTCTGGAACCCTCCCCAACTCTCTCCTCGCCATCACCCTCACATCCACACCCACTCCCCCGTCGATATCTTTGTAATGCGGATCGCCTTCACTTCATTGCCTGTGTCTTCTCTTCTCGCTGCCCTAGGATACCCAAGCCTCACTTTTTCTCTTTGTGACGAGCGACTCGCTGCGGCTCTTGATCCGTAACGCCCTCGATCTCAACCTCATCCTCAGATTCGGGCTCTCAGACTCCACCCTCCTTCGCTGTTGCTGCTGCGCTAGCCTGCAGCTGAAGTCCCTCTGATTCCAGACCCTGCCGCACCAATCCTGCCTGGGCACCCAGCCAACCAACCAGCCGGCCAAGCCCACAAGAGCCCCAGTGCCCCAGTGTCCCAGCGCCAGCGGGCAGAGCCATAGCCAGAACAACCGACCGACCGACCGACCGACCGACGCATCACACTTTGTCCCGCCCGCTTTGAACGACAACAAGCGCACCACGCCACTCCCTCTCACACGATCCATCTCTTTCTGCTACCACGACTGCGTCAATTTTGTTTTCATTTCACCTGTCGACGCCGGCTGCCCGCCAAGCACCGATTGCTTGCTCCTTCTCGCACCTTGTCCCTCCTGCATAGCGAGTCTCTTATCGAATGGTTGCGTCACGGCGGCAACGCCACCCTTGAAGTAACTTCTTGGGACCCGATCAACCACGAACCCAATTCATACCTTGATCCGATTACCGTCGCACGAACAAAGATCTCGAGATGCCGCCCAGCCGCTCACCAGACGCCCTCAATGGCGTCCTTATCGGCCTTCTCTCGTCTCTCGGCTCCGCCGTGCTGATCGGTTTCATCTTCGTCATCATCTACTTCTTCAAGTACACAAACTCCGGCCGCATCTTGCTCGACCGGATCGGAAGGCCCGGTGAATACGATGATGAGCAGGCTTTTGCAAAGGAGGAGGCCGAGGCGCTGGAGGTTATGGATGATATGCAGCGAACAGAGTACCTGAGGGCCAAAGGTGCGTTGCATCATTTCTAATCTCTCCCAAGTGGGCCGCCCATGCTAACAGCAGGACAGCATTCATCACGGCAAATCCCCCGGAGTCCGTCCAAACCGATATTTCCCTTTCGCAGTATCTGGCCATACAAGAGAAGGGTGTTTCAGCGTGGGAGTTCGAGCCGGAACTCGAGATCGCCAACTGCTTTGTCGAGGGTCGCACAGAGATAGAGTTCTTCGACTCCGAATGTACTGTCATGACGAATCTACCCGTCCCGAAGCAGAACGAGGTGTATTATTGGGAGGCCAAGGTGTACGAGAAACCCGAGGCGACCCTCGTTGCTATCGGTATGGCCACCAAGCCGTATCCGCTCTTCAGGCTACCAGGTATGCGCTTTGAGGCGATATCCCTCGCGAACACCACTTCACGATTGCTAACCTTGTGACAGGCTTCCACAAGCACTCGGCAGCCTACTTCTCAAACGGTTTCAGGCGTCTTAATCAGCCATTTAACCACACGCCTTATGGGCCTCAGATCGTTCAAGGCGATGTCATCGGCTGCGGGTACCGTCCCCGAACAGGCTGCGTCTTCTTCACTCGGAACGGCAAGAAGCTGGACGATGTGTGCCACGGGATGAAGAATCAGAATTTCTTCCCCGCTGTCGGCGCCAACGGACCCGCAACCGTCCACGTCAACTTCGGTCAAGCTGGATTTGTTTTCATCGAAGCTAATGTGAAGAAATGGGGCCTGGCCCCAATGACTGGTTCGCTGGCTCCTCCGCCCCCGTACGGTTCCGAAGCCGGCAGCATCTTGCTGGAGGCTGGCAGGAAGGATAGCTACACTGGGTCGCAAACCCAGGGTCAGGGCAACAACCCCTCAGTTCAGACATACTTCAGGCCACAGCATCAGTCAGGTCTCGAGCCTCAACATGGTCACGGCCGAACGCGGTCTGGAAACTTTAGGGTGCTTTCTCCGACAAGTCCCGGCCCCGCTCGGAGTCCCACTGACATCTCGCTCGCCCAGCTGGTGCCCAACGATGACGGCGGCGAGCCTAGCAGTGCTGCTGCCGGTACTGCTGGAGGAACCACGGTGCATCCCGCGGCCGGGCTGGGCCTACAGGAGCCGAACCAACCGCCACCTGACTACAGCAGCCCTGCATCATCGGATGCTGGGAGCCGACGCAATAGTTCCGAAAGCGAGCATACACCCTTGATACGCATTTCGAGAAGTAGAGGGGCGTCGTCAGTCACTGTGCCTGCGCGAAGTAGGAGCAACACGACCCAGCCGGACGGGCCTCCGATCCCGAGTTACAGTGATGCTCTGCGACAAGGAGCTGGGCGTGATCGCAGTGATAGCGCTAGATCCGCACGATGAACGAATCGTCGTACCACAGGGGCCTACCACCACACCCGGTTCCTGCGCTCCGTGGAGACCAAGACGTCGCTGGAGCCTGACTTCAAGTGGCAGGGTCTTTTACATAACCAAGAGCAATCAGCAAAAGCAAACAAGAGCGGTTGGGGAGACAAGAGCATTGGAAATACCCAGAGTCAACAATTCACAGTTGAACAATTACTTTGATGAGCTTTGAAAGGCGGCAAACACCAGCACAGCGCGAGCGATAGCAAGCAATAGGAAGGGCGCAATCCCGAACGGCAGGGAAGCACAGGAGTTCTGATTTGACATCTTTAGCCCTGCCGTCGTTTCTGGCTCATGAGAGGTCATCGAACGGTAGGATTGCACGGCGAAGGTGGAGTTTTTGAATGAATTGGGTTTGGGTCGAACGGTGTGTCAAGAAATATCACAATGACAAATATGTCCAACTCCGGGTTCCGGTCCTGAAAAATAGCTGTAGCATCGATGGTGCCCATGCGCACTCTGTCTCAAATTTGAGAAGCTGTTTGAAGTATGTGCACAGCATTACTACATATATCCATGCCGAGGTGCCCAGTATGATAACATCGGTCCATGTTCAGACCTCTCCCTATATGTGTATGTTTTGCACGGAGAACGATGTCCTAAAACTCAACGGTGGGAAGACCCCTGAGTTCTCTTCTTTAAATCCAAACTAGAGGTTCCTGGTAGTAATAGGCCGACGACTTTGTTGAGCGAGCCAAGGAGAGCATGCACCTGGACAGCGCTCTCTAATAATGCGGTCTGACAGCATCGTCCACTTTGCACGTGTCTGCTCGGCCCGCAGACCTCCGACATTGGGATCACCCACTTCGCTATGTCTCTTGACAAGATCCTGCGTCTCCTAGACACAGGGTCGCTGCGGCTTTTTCTTTTTTTTTCACGTGAGTTTCTATGGATGCTGAAAGGGTCACTGACGCTTTTGAGAGTCTGGTCTGAAATTCCGTGATCAGGGCAGAAAACTGGCACCAATCTGCCAAGGTCCCCTATCCGCCGGGGATGCTGATGTTCCTGGGATAGGCACATCTGCACTTGTGCCCGCATACGGCAGGCCGATTCCATTTGCTAGACAGTGCTGTTCCAAGATGGTGACGCGGTCTAGCAGGGCTTTTATACGGCTACTCGTAGATCAGCGTGCAAAAATGAGCGAGGGCTGCTGAAGCGGTCATATCTTACACGGGGTCGTGGAGACACTTACGCATCTCTGCTTGTGATGCCTGGGTCTGCGCTCCTGCTGGCCGCCAGATCCACCTGGGGCGAGAGCTGAATGCTCTGCTCAGGCCGCCGCGGGCCCTCACCATCACTCTGCATGCTCTGCACCCCGGGACTCCAAGGCTGCTGTGCCACGTCGTGCTGACCGGCGCGCTGAGCCGGGTACCCGGCATCCTCCGGATCGGAGGCGTCAGGCGGAGGTGCGAGCTTCGCCTCGGTGAAGACGGAGTGCTTCTGCCTCCGCCTGCCCCTCTTGCCGAGCTCCGAGTCGGGCCTGTACCTGCCGAGCCTCTCGTCCCACCGCCGGTAGAGCTTCAGTTCCTTACGGATTTGGATGATGGCGCTCAGGCTGACCGTGAAGCCGTCGGCGAGCAGCTTCTGCAGCAGCTCTTCGTCCGTCTTTGGGCGGCTGCTCCGGTCCTCCCAGTAGGATCTGATTTGGTCATTAAGGTTGTCAGATTTTTTTGTCTGGACGCGGTGGAAGTCGAGGTCCCACTCCTTGAAGCGGCGCATTATTGTCCTGGACTTCGCTCTGCAACCGTGCTCATTGAGCAGGATGCTCTCGATCTTGGACCATGGTGTTTTCTCATGGTAGAGCTTGATGATCAGGTCCTTGTGTTGATCGAAGTCGGCACGTCGCCGGCCGACCATAGCGAATGAGCACCTTGAGGTTGTAGTTGGCAAGATGGTGCCTGTGGTGAGAGACCCTTGCAGGGCAGACAGAGCTCAACAAGGGTCAAGACTGAAGAGGCCGTTGGGCCTGGTGGTAGTGGAAACGGAGCCGATGTTGCACGGAAGTCGGCCGAGCGCCTGGAATCCCACCGGCGGCACGTAAGGGAACCCACTACCCCAGATTTCAGCGTGGGCGATCCCTGGTTGGCGACCCCTTTTTTGAGTTCTGACCTGCAAGACCCAGCCCTGGAGGACAGAGGGATGCCGTGCAGACCAGGCAGACCGCCTAGGTGTATAGGCACCCAGTGCCCGGTGCCCAGTGCCCAGCCTGCCAGGAGGTGGTGTGTGGAGAGAGAGGCAGACCTGGCAGGGGGAAGGAGAGCTCTGAGGAGGAAGGACCTGGCCGCAGCCAGCACAAGGGGAGCTAGCGTAGCTCATGATTTCGCACCTGTTAGCACACAGCACCTATGACACACTGCAGAGATCAGCCCAGATCTCCCCAACGTCCCGACGTGCCATCTCGCCCGTGAGCTGAGCTTTATTAGTCTTCGCGCCTCCGTCCGCCTCCGTCTGCTCCGTGTCCGTCAAACCGTGTCCGTCCCCATCTTCAAACCTCGACCCGCCCAGCTCTGGCGAGCAGCGCCTAAACGAGCATCCACTGCTGCGTCGCACTCACGTATACACTAGTCCACCCGCCACCCAGTCCACTCCACATCATCCTCTTCTCAGTCCAGACTACTAGATACGTACTTGAATGATCTAGTTCCCAGTCTCCTTGCACGGACATGGTGCTGACAGCGACTACCCTGGAAGCAACGCGCCTTGCTATCTCCCACTCGACTCGTTGCCTCGGATTGACCACCTCAATGCCACCAGCCGAGCTTGGGTGACTACTGCCCAAGTGTCCCATATACCTCACACCATGACGCGCCGAATAGTAAGCTCGCCCGCCCGCCCTTCTTCTTTCACAGACGTTGCGCCGGTGTGCTGGTGCTGTTGGGACCCCTCAAATGTTCTAACCCCCGGCACAGGTCAGGACGATTGTCCAAGTGTCTTCGGTTGCCCTCGTCACCTTCCTCGTCGTCTTCTTCCTCGACAGAAACTTCCGCGTTCTCCCCTCAGCCATCCATGAGTACATGCCCCAGCATCATGCCGGCCTCCTCATCACCGACATCACCATCAAGAAGTGCTCGTCCATCAACGTCTTTTCCTCCTGTCGCCTCGACCCGGACGTGTGGCATCGCATCGAGAAAGACCTGTACCTGGGCAGGACAGTGGTGTCGAGCGCATATATCCATGTGAGGAGGAAGAAAGAGGAGGAGCTTACCTCGGACGACAAGGTCATCATCGATGTCAACGTTGGGCGGCTTGACCCCGGCACCAACAGAAAGGGCCAGGCGGACGAGAGGTGGGAGCCCAGAGAAGCTGGGCTATGGATCAAAAGATCAGCAAAGAAGGTCGCCATCGATTCGAAGCGGACGATCACCGCCGTGGATGTCCTGTTTGGCGACGATGCGGTCGAGGCGCGCGACGGCTGGGAGATGCCTGAGAAGGGCACGCCACTGCTCCTGGACGCGGGCCCCAAGGTGCCTTCGGCGCATATCACAGTGAGGAGAGGCAGCCAGCAGGATCCGTACAAGTCGCAGCCCAGGATAAAAGAGAATGGGAAATTCAAGGTCATGCAGGTGTCGGACATGCACCTGAGTACTGGGGTCGGGGTTTGCAGAGAAGCCATGCCGGAGAGCCCGGAGGGTGAGAGGTGTGAGGCTGACCCGAGGACGCTGGACTTTGTCACCAGGGTCTTGGAGGATGAGAAGCCGGACCTGGTTGTTTTGAGCGGTGATCAGATTAATGGAGATACCGCCCCAGACGCGCAGTCGGTAAGTTGGGCCCTCCATTTCACCTACACTGTTAGCGCTACTGATTGACACTATTGGAAGGCCATCTTCAAGTACGCGCAGCTCTTGATCAAGCACAAGGTACCATATGTCACTATTTTCGGCAATCACGACGACGAAGGCGCAGCAGGCGCTTTGACACGCGCAAATCAGATGGCGCTGGTCGAGACCTTGCCCTACTCTCTGTCCAAGTCCGGGCCAGAAGATATAGACGGGGTAGGCAACTACTACGTGGAGATTCTAGCAAAGGGCAGCTCCAAGCACTCGGCCGTGACCGTGTACCTGCTCGACTCGCATGCGTACTCGCCCGACGAACGCCGGTTCAAGGGCTACGACTGGATCAAGAAGAATCAGATCGACTGGTTCCGGCAGACGGCGCAGGGCCTGAAGAAGAAGCACAAGGAGTACACGCATTTCCACCTGAATATTGCGTTTATTCATATTCCTTTGCCAGAGTATCGTGACACGGAACAGTACTTCAAGGGCGAGTGGAGGGAAGGCGTGACTGCGCCGAATTACAACTCTGGCTTCCGTGATGCCCTGGTCGAGCAGGGCGTGAGCATGGTTAGCTGTGGACAGTAAGTTACTGTGTTCATGTTCGCCCAATAACTCCAGACTGACATTCATCGTAGCGACCACGCCAATGAATATTGCGCCCTCTCTGCCAACCCAGACACCAAGAAGCCTGAGCTCTGGATGTGCTACGCGGGCGGCTCTGGTTTCGGCGGTTACGGAGGGTACGGCGGCTTCCACCGCAAGATCAGGATCTTTGATCTCGACTTGAACGATGGGCGGATCACGACCTGGAAACGGGTCGAGTGGGGCGAGACGAAGCAAAAGATAGACGAGCAGATCATCGTCGATGCGGGGAAGCCTACGGTGCCCATGGAGGACTGAGCGGGTTGGCGAGATGACGGATAAAACACCCGGTGGATCCATCCACACTTTTACGCGGCATGCGATGACTCGTTTGACTTTCTCTTGCGGGACCAAGCAAAGTACAACGGAGTTTGCGGCGCAAAGGGGGGCCCCAGCAGGAATTTTGGCTGTCATGTTTGAACCGTCTTATTATTTTGCTTATGCATGAGCCTCTGGAACTTTTTTGTGAAGACGATGACTACAGAAGGGACATCATCATCATATTGGCGCAGCTGAGGTGGGATTTCCTCATAGCCTAGCCTGGGACGCAATTGTTTCACGCGTTCGAATCTTCCTGTCTAGGACATATCGGCTCCAGCGTACAAGAAGTGGCAGCGATATTTAATGGGTAGCAAGGAGGAGGCATTTGGCGGGACGCGCGGGAAAAGCCCGGCGTTCCAGATACCAATGATACAGACTATTCTTCTCTGCAAGAACTTGGAGGTGCGTTGCAGCACCCTTTCCTCGTCTTCGGTCCCTCAACTTTCACAGGCTTGGTGATGATTGATGAGATGAGACCAAGTCGAAAGCGAGAAGATATACATGCTGGTCTGGCCAGGCATGGCAGGAGAACAGAAAATAAATAAATAAAAAAAAAAACTTCGGTGAGAGAAGCATTATTCAGAGACTCGTGCACTTGTGTCCACTTGATCGTTTACCTGGCCGTCTGTTGACGGCCCCCTGGACGGGTAGGCGGCTTCCATCCGGATTCGCCCCTGACTGGAGGAAAAGGCGGGCTTTTTTTCCCCAACCAAAATATTAGCACTTCCACTATTGATTGAATTCTCCAAGCAGGAAAGACCCATAATCTCTTGGAGGGGCTTTGGAGAGGTAGGAGCTGGTCACGGCATCTCGCTGTCAGTCAACCTTGTCAAGCTACCAACGTCATGGCCCAAGCCAGCCCAGCCACACCAGTGCATTATTTCGTCTTCACGTCTGACTGCAACTGGTTTTCAGCTTTACCTGGTTCACGTTTCGACTGCGGCACTTGTCCGCTCCGCGTTGTCGTCACAGATGGGTGGCAGTCAGCCCGGGCCGGGGCCCGGCCGGCCCAGGCCGTGACCAGCCCTCCGAGCGTCAGAAGTCAAGTCGCGCTTGATGAATGCCATCACATGCGAGGCTCCTGAAACAGCTTGTGGGTTGAAGCCGCCGGGCTGGACCACGTCTCTCCAGTGGTCGCTCGATGAGGTCCTCTGCGACACCCTCAGCAGGCGCCCCCCGTGTTACGCATATATCATACAGTATGCTCGGCAGTGTTGTCTCACGCCCACCCTCGTCGCCTCGCCGAGATATTGTTTCAACACACGAGGAGTCCTGGGACCTGTCTGCGTGCCGTACGCAATTCTCCTAGGAAGACGCGCTCAAGGTGTGAAAACAAAACAAAAAACAAGACAAGACAATGCTATCCAAACTCCCCCTCATCACAGCCTCAGACAGGCTCTACTTCGCCTACGGCAGCAACCTCAGCCCGGAGCAGATGGCCCACCGCTGCCCGGACAGCATCTTCCTGGGCAAGGCCACCCTCCCCGAGCACAGGTGGCAGGTCAACGAGCGCGGCGTGGCCAACGTCGTGCGGGTGCCGAGGCGTTCAGCGCAGGAGGACAGGGAAGGGAGAAGAAGAGGGCGCGACGGCAACGGCGATGACGACGACGCGGCCGTCGTTGAGGGCCTCATATACGCCATCAGCGCGGAGGACGAGCGCCAGCTCGACCTGTACGAGGGCGTCGCCAAGGGCCGGTACGAGAGGCAGAACCTGTGGGTCGACTTCGAGCCCGTGCGCGGGAACGTCTTCGCGCGGTGCACCTCGGCAAGCGTGGCTAAGGCCGTGAGAGAGGAGCGCGAGGAGGAGGGAGGGATCAAGAGGGAGGAGAGGCGGGCGCGGTCCTGGGGCGAGGGCGAGGGGGACCAGCAGCGCCGGCGCCGGGACAGTCGTCATCACCAGGATCGTAGCCGGCGGCGGGCGGCCAGCGTGGGCCACCCGCCCACGTCCTCTTCCTCGGCGGCGGTGGGCAGCGGCGGGTGGAGGAGCTCGATCCTGGGGCTCCTCGGCATCCCCGGCAGGACGAGGCGGGCCCCGTCGCCGTCGCCCGCCCGGGACCGCGAGAGGGCGGTAGGGGTCAAGCCTGTGTGGGCCCTGGTGTACGCCAGCACCGTCCACGTGCGCGATGGCGATATCAGGGCGAGGTACGTGCCGCGCATGGAGAGAGCGATGGCAGACGCGGCGGCCCTGGGTGTATCGAGGAGTTTCATCGAGAAGCAGATGCTCCCGCAGGTCCGGCCGGCTTGGAGGGCGTCGCGGCGGATGTCGCTGGCGGGAGGCGAGGACGGCCCGGAAAAGGAGAGGGAGAAGGGCCGGCGGGATGGGGAGAGCGGGAGGAGGAGGAGCGTGTATCAGTGAGACGGATCGGGTTGGCGCGGGCGGCGAGACAGTGTTATTGTGGATAGGCATAGGGATCACTAAATTGACTACATTGTATGTGGTTTCATCAGTGTGTACCTACCTGACTTCACTGCGATTCTCTGACACGACACACATGGGAAGATGTGATGGTAGGGTAATCTTGTGGAGACTGTAAAGACAGTTGCATTGAATGACTGGGGTATCTCTATCGACTTTGCTTGACCAATAACAACTTGCACGATCACTTCCGTTGCTCTGTTCAAGTGAACAAAGTCACACCGCAAAATACAATCCGTAGCTTCATCCTGAGCGTGTGTTCTTGTCCTATCCCTGGGCCATCCATTGGGTTTTCCTCGTGTGTGTGAACGTGTCTTGACGAGGTGAGTATGGCACCGGATTGACTGAGGGGGAGAAAGAGTGTGAAACGGATCCAGCCCATAACCCATCATATTACCCATCATTATTGTTTCCTGCCGTGCAAACTCCCACATCTCCACACCATGTTGCTTGGCGTGTGGAAGTCTGTTTACAGCCCCCCTATAATCCTCAATCCAGCTGAAGTCGATCCCGCCATCCTGCAGCAAAGGAATGAAAAGAAGGTGGTACCGTCAAGCTACGAGCCTCGACGGACTGCCGCACCACAAATATGTATTGGTGCCAGCCCATAGGTTGGAAATATTCAGTTCGTTGGCCTGCCAATGCCTCGAGGTCCACTGTCCTGTGTCACCGGTGGCCTTTGTGCGTACAACCGCTCCCTCGGCGTGAATTTTCAACTCCCCACCATGAAATAGGCTCACTCCTCGCAGAGTGAACCCTTGGTAGTAATTTGCGGGCTCGCGCCCTCTTGATCTTGGTTTGTGTTTTTATTTCCCCTTGGAATTAATTATGAATTCCTGCGATGGCAGGTTCTTGATTTCGCATGCTGGTGATACTCCGTACTGCTTGATATGGACTGGAGGGTGCCACAGCTATCGCAGTGCTGTGGCGAAATGAGTTGAAAGCCTGGAAGAAATCATGCGCGAATTCGAGAGAGAGAAAAAACAGTAAAGTGTCGCTATGCACGCTCGAAATGAAAGTAAGTTGAGAGCGGGAGGGACGGCCCAGTGAGATGGGCTCTCAGATGCTTGCGAGGCGACCACGGGCATCTGGCATGCGTGCATGGCACACCATCAGCTTCAAAGTCGTCCTCCACTCCTCGCACTCGGCAAGTAGAGCTGGGTCACTCCACATGCTCCTGCCGCCAGGAGCAGGCGCGACGCTTTCGTAGCAGCGGTCGTACCACCACCGCCCGACCTTGGCAACCATCTTGGTGATGCTCTCGTCGGCGATGGGGCCGTCATCACTTATGATCTCGGCGAGACTTCGCGTGTCCCTCTTGGCCTTGCCGCTCGTGGATCTGGTGGGACCGGTCCTGGTACCGGTCCTCGCAGAGGACGAGGCCGACGTAGATGACTCGGACGGCGCGAGAGCACTCGCCACAGGCACGCCTAGGCGGCAGGTCTTGATGTCGGTGAAACCCTTGCGACCGAGGAGACGTAGTAGCAGGTCCGAGCTGGAGGCGAGGCTGACGTTTGGTGAGCGTATGTGCACACGCTCCTTGAGTTGCCGGACGGCACGGCGGCCCCGGTTCCCCATGTTGTTCAGATCGATGTCAAGGATCGACAGCTCCATATAACCTCCCGGCTTCAGCACGCGACGAGCCTCGGAGACGATGTTGCGGTAGTGAGACTCGGGCACAGCGGAGGGGAATCGGTACACCACAGATGTGAAGCTCTGAGAGCCAAAGGGAAACCTGTCCATGTGTGACTTGTACTGGATCTGGTGGTGGTTTGGCGGGCTTAGAGGAGCGCTGGATGATGGACCCTGGCTCTCGGTCGGTAGTGGTGAGCGGGGAGAGAGGTTAAAGAACGTAGCCGCAGGGTACGTCTCGGCCGCGTAGAAAGACCAGTCGTCATTTCCAAGCCCGTCGATCACCAGGATAGAGTGTCGTTTGAGAGAGCCCGTCATCGGAATCAGCTCGTCCCTGACTGGGCTGAAGAGCACATGACCAAAGGTCAGCCACTTGCTCACAGTCATCGAGCCAACACGAAGGTTGACCTGCGACACGGCTGAGTTGTCATCGGACCCTTGGCTGCTCCCGCTGGCGTGAGAATCTCGAATAACCCGTGCCTTCTGAGATGATGCAGTGCTTGTGCGTTGGAGCTGAGACTGAGAGTTGAGGCTGTTGTTGCGATCGCCGTATCCGCTGACAAAGTCGCTAATGCTGAAAGAAGAAGCCGCCCCTCCAATTGACTCCAACGTCTCGTCAATTTTTGCAGTGAGACCGGAGCTGTAACCGCTGGAGGACATGGGCGCAGGCTCATCCTGGGCCTCCGCCTCGAATTCTGTCTCGCAGTCCGACTCCACGTATGCGTCTATGGTTGGTGACTCCAGCTGAGTGTTCTTCTCGTTGGTAAGGTGTCTTGCCCACATCTCGAGATGGAACGGCTTGCCCTGCGATGAGCCTGCCGAGGGGGGCACTCTGAGGGCATCCTCGCCCATGAGATCATTGTACTCGTCCCACACCTCATCCTCAGCCAGAGGAGCATTTGGTCCTGGGATGACGGCTGTGGCGTCAGAATAGCTGAGGAGGCCTGAGCAGCTGGAAGATGTGGTCGAGGTGCCTTCAGAATCCTTGCGTGGAGGGAAAGACAGGAATTCGTTTTGTGAGCGGCTTGCTTCGGACGGAACATCCCTGGATAGCCTGTAGGCCGACGACGATTTATTTTCTCCCTTTTCAACAGTCTTCGGCTCCTCAGTCTTGGGCTCTGAGGTTGAGGTCAGAGATTGCGCAGGGCTGGGCCCTTTCGCAACGAATTCTGCGGCTGAGGCCTGTACGCTGGGTGGGGGCTGCTGATGCATGCTGGTGCGATTGAACGGTCGGGAGAAAGACCTGCTTGATTCTGCACGTGTGCTAGCGACCTTCGGAATACGACCAACCTGGGGCAAACGATTCGAGCGAGTGGTTGGGGGCCTCGTTGATGATGCTGCTGTTGTTAGGGCCGGTGTTGTCCGTGTCGGCTGGCCCAAAGACTTTCTTGGTTCGACCTTCGGGGCCACAGCCGGGATGCTCTTTGAGACCTGCGGTGCTCTGGGGGGCTTGGCTTGGACCGTATTTTCCTTATCAGCACGAGGCTGTTCTCGCAGCGCTGGAGGTCGCTGCTGGTTTGGAACCTGCGGAGCTTGCAAAGATGCTGTTGGAGCCTGGGCTTCACGAAGCACCTGCTTGACATCCGGAAGGACTTCCTCCTGTTCCGAAGCATCCATCATCGTGTAGAATGCCACAGACTTCTTCTGCCCGCCTGCTGGTGCTGCAACGGGCTTTGGTGTCTCTGACTCCTTGGTCTTGCTGGCAGATTGGGCCGTCGAACGACCAAACAAACTCCATTTACGGGGTGACTTCGGCTTCTTCAACAACTTCTTCGGTGGTGGATGTGCGGCGTCTATCTTAGCTAGGCCATGCGTTCTTCGTGGGTCGTATAGCGAATCATCCGACAAGATGGAAGTATCGTGGCTGGTCATGGCCGGTGTGCTCATTCCCGATCGTACAACGAGGGGCTGAGGAAGACGCATGTTTCCTTGATCCGCGTTTTGAAGTCTCTGAAGTGATCGCCGGAGTGCCAAAGTCGGCTTCATATTGAGACCCTCCGAGTCGCTGCTATCAGAAGGCCGCCGAGGTCCCATGGAGGGCCCTGGTACGGGTATGTGGGGCATTGCGGAGGGCCAAAGAGTGTTGCGGTCTTCTTGGGACGATAGAGACAACCCCGAATTGTTCCTTGAACCAATGCTAGGTCGGGGCAAGGCCAGGTTTTGCTCGCTCGCTGTGCGACTGGCATCGAAGCTGACATTCCTGTTCTCGATGATCGAGCCGCCTGCTATAACAACAGGACTCATGCGCTCGGCCAGAAATGGGTCAACTGACTGGCTGCTCGCAAGGCTCTCTTGTGAAGACATGGTCCCAGGCATTGCACGAGGATTGTTAGTCATGCTGCCGCTTCGTCGCCGAATGTGGCCAAGCCGCCCATATCCTTCGTGGCCGGTTCCTGCGGCGGGGCCTTTTCGAGGTGGTCTTTCCTTCTTTTCGGAGACATTGGTCGGAGCAGCTTCTGAAATAGACTTATTCTTGCGGCTGAACAGAGGAAATCGGGACTTGAATGCCGAGGATACACTTGGACTCGGAGTGCGAGGAGGCTTGCGAGGGTCTGACTTGGCTGTCTGGGTTGTCGGACCTGAACCGGCACCTTGAGGGACTGGAGTCGCTTCCCTGCCAACCCTGGGCGGGGGCAACTGTTGTGGTCGATCGCTTTGTGACGGTGTATTGGAACGGGAGGAAGGAGCAGTGTTGGTAGAGGGGATCAGTCCGCTTCGCCTCCTTTCCGATAGCTGAGTCGAAGACAGATTGCTGTGGACAACTGGTACTGGCAACCCTACTTGAGAATGTAGGTCTGGAGTCCCCTCCCTGCTCGGTCTCATAGGTGGCGTTGGTCGAGGTGTAGGAGCGCCTGACGATTCGCCAGTCTGACGAGCATTGTTCGCGAGCCTGAATGTGGGTGAGATGACAGGAACGGACTTGCTTGGCTCGTGGGTCTTCCTGGTGGGTGCTGGTTCCGGGTCCCTAGTCTTCTTGAAGTTCTCAGAGGACATCCGCGGAGGCGGACTGGGAGCGCGGGATGCAAGGAGCCTCTTTTGTCTCTGTTCCCTGAGGGTAGCATCTCGTACCGTGGAGGTTGACGATGATGAGTTCACAGACTCCCGAACCATGGAGAGGCCTTCCGGTTCCGTACTTTCGTCTCGGACCTCTTTGGAGGCACTGCCAGCTCTCCTACGGGTCACAGGTGGCCTGGGATCCGCAGGACTGCTCTGCTTAGGCCTTGAAGTGGGGAGTCGCATGGGCGCAACAAGACCGGGCGATTGAGATGACATAGAGGTTGGGGTCGTGTCTCGACTGTACGGACCGCCTCCCGGTGATTCGGAATACCTGGTGGACGGGCTACCACTGAAGCCGCTGTGTTGGCTGCTCGTGCTTGAAAACAGTGGCGTTGGCGGGGGTAAATCGGTCGATATTGGGTAGGGCACTTCAGCATAGTAGTTCCGGTAGGATTCTTGAGGCTCGAAGTCTCGGTACCGGTCAAGCTCAGGGTAGACTGAGGCAGGCTGCGCGTTTGTTGCTGGAGGCTCGGGTCTCTGGGGAGCTGTGAATCCTGCTGGACTAGGAGTAAACTTGCGGTCCATGTTTGCGTCTTGTGGTATATCAAGTGAGACATTTGACCGAGGGACTGAAGAGGATGAGTCGGTCCTCATGGAGCTGTTGCGAGAATGATAAGGCATGCTGGGAGGCTCCGGGGTCACTCTGGGATGCTTTCTCCGAAGGACATTCCTGGACTGTTTCGATGTTTCTTGGGATCGGCTCGAGGGACCGGACGAGCTGGCAACGCTTGAAAGGGCATCTTCAGACCCATTACTGGAGTTAGAGCCCCAGAAGTGCCCATGTGAGCCAAGGCTTGGTTTCCGTCCACGTGTTTGAGCAGGTGTCCGCATGGAGGAAGTCTGGGGTATCTTGCTTGCGTTCCGAGATGGGACATCCGAGGGAGGCATAGCGGCATTCTCTGCCGCCTTCCGGGCCCTTCGACTCAGTGAAGGTGTGAAGTCACTTGGAGGCGTAGTCACGTTGGCGCCCATACGCCTAGGCTGGGCTGCTGTGCCTGTCGACCCATGACCCGCCATCCTCGATCTCGAGGATTCCATGTCAGGTCAACTTGCTGTTGCACTCAATCACACATCATGTCTTTCCGTGGGGTCCAACCATCATCTGTTTCAAAGCATGCCGTGGCGGTAGTCAGCACATGGCCCTGGTCCCCAAGATGGGAGGAAGGATTTGGGTCGTACAAGACAAGATCGAAGGCTGACGTGCCGCGAGGAAACCCACTCACCGTGTTTGTGTGAGAGTCCCGAGCAGATTAACGCAGTCCAGAGGTGGCGAGTCCGCCCACAAAATGTCCAAAACAGATGCGAGGTGAGCGTATTATGTGCCAGACATGTGCGTGTAAGTGGAGCAGGTTGGAAGCCGAAAAGAGCAGGCGAGGGCGTTGAATGTCCCACCACGGTGGCACACGGGATTAATAAAGAGTATTGAAGTCAAAAGCGCGCACGACCGAAGAGGAAAGGGTAAAATGTCAACAAGAAGTCGAGATGGTGGGATGGGGTAACATCCGAGGGCTTGGTGGAGGGAGTTGGAGGGTGGTGAGCAAAACAAGGATGTCCCTAGCGACAGGCGTGTGCAAGCTCGCCAAGGGTGATGGGGTGGGTGGTGGCACCTTTTGTGATGGAGCAGTCCAGACGGGCGTTTAAAAATGTGCTGAATTCGAGGAGACGAGGTATTTAGGTTAGCCGACCGTATGCATCCTGCCCATACCGGTGCCGATGGAGGATGACTGACTGGGTCGCAGTACCCTGATAATAATATGAGGGATGTGCGGACGATAACCCGCACCAGGATGCAGGGGTCGTCAGAGCTGGGGAAGCGGCCCAGGATTCTTGACGGGCAACGCAAGATCAAATGACTCCCCACCAACTGCAGGCGAAGATGCTAACAGCCCCCTGCCCTGTCCCGCATGCCCGTATACTATCTTTGACCATTCGAGGTGGCGTCGAAGTGCTGGTTGGCTGCTGTGCTGTGCCAGAACCCATCCGTAGCAATAAGTGAGATGGAGTATCTGGCATGCGCGGTGGGCACAGCTGGGCAGAGACTTTGCTACGTGACGTGCAGTGGGGGTCAGGCGCAGGCTCTGAGCGATGATCCGAGAGGGAACCTCGGAGGCTGCACGTCGATTATTGAGTGACGAGCGAGTTGCTGTCGTAAAACCCCACCCGGCAGCCCACGGAACGGGTCGAACGGTGAGGTCGACTGAGACACGGTGTAGGCCTCCCTATGTACCGGCGCGCCGCACACTGCCCTGTGCGATGTACTGTACTTTGTTTGTGTGCATGTGTGTGTACAATGTACTGGACAACGTCACATGCTGCGTGCTGGCTGAGCCATTTAGATACCATTGGAGGTGGGCCGCAAAAAGATTCCCTCTCTTTCTCTGCCTCTTCCTCAATGTCCGTCCGTGGCGGGGTTCCATCGGCCACAAATGAAAAAAAGCAGTTGGACAGGGCAGACAGATCGGCTGTGGGACGGGTGTGAAGGGCAAGCGGTTGTTGGGCGGTAATAGGCGACAGTCGAGAATGAGCAGCATCGCATCCTGCCTATCCTGGTCCCGGTTGAAAGGGCGGGCCCTGCTGCTGCAGAAAGCAGACGCTGCGCCATGCGCGTAAAAAGAGGGACCCCCGGAGAGGCCCTGGACTGTGCATAAGGCGAGGCCCTATGGGAGCACCGAGTTTGCAGATTGGTGTTGCCATTGGGCAACAAAAGCCCTCGCCTCTGAGGATGGCGAACGGCCGACCAGACGACGGTCCCCTGGGTTGGGTCTTGTCGGGGCTTGTCTAGAGTCCATAATGCAGACAGAACCAGTCCTTGTCGACCTGTTCTCCCCCAGTCTTAGGAGTAGGAGAATGCGGAGGTCCAGAGACCCGTGACCATCTTGTGCTTGGTGAGTGGCGCCGATCATCATGGACCTTGCTGCTTCGCTTGATTGCGGTATTGGATAGAGGCGAAGCGAGGTGCGATGAGAGAATTGGTCAGTCGAGGAGGGGAATTGCTACCAAACGAGACGAGACGAGACGAGACGAGGCCGGGGTCGGTGAGGGGAGAGGCGAACGGTGAGGGGCAGTCGCACGGATAACGGCGGTTGACCACAAGCAGTGCTCAAGTCGTGAGCAGCATGTTGATGATGACACGCTTGATGCTGTGATACAGTATCATACCACATGCTGATGAAGAGAGCCCGATCACGTCGTCGAGAAGCCACATGGAAACGCCATAAAAACGTGCGCAGGGGTCGGGCCCAAAGACCGTGAACAACCTCAGCACGGCAAGGTCAGCAAGTTCGCATGCATGTCTTAGACAATGTCTCACTCTGTGCACGCCGATCGGTCAATTCCCTCACCCTTGACGGCGATCCTTGGGCGCCCGTTGCAGGGGAATCGCTGGGTATGGACTCGCGCCAGTCAACGGCCACCCACAAGCGCCGGGGCCTGTCGTGTTCTGACTCTTGCAGTTGGTCTCGCAACGGGTAGACTAGCAGACTAGTCCGCCGGCGGGAACAGAGACTGATGATCGATGGCTGACTGATGCTAGGATGATCCTCGGTAGCTGACGCTGCATTTGTACGGCGTTCCCAGCCCGGCTGAGCACAGGGTTTTCCTCGACGCATCCTGCCTTCCTGCCTTTGTGCCTTACTGCCTGGCAGCCTGGCAGCCTGGCAGACTGAGAGACTTGGAGACTGGCTCCTGCAGGTGGCCTGGTGGCTTGGCCAGATCGGGGGGTCACTGCCTGTTAGCTTTCGAGATTCGCTCCTTCCTTGCCTGTCCCGGCTGCTTGGGAGGGTCTAAGACAGATGCAGCCCGAGGCTTTCTTATCA